CAGTGAGGACATCAAATGGCCGCCCTAGGAGCACTCGGTATGCAGGTTTTTCCATAACGTGAACTTGCAAGTACATTGTCAGCTGGCCTAGCCGGAACGGTACGTTCTTAGCTAATCCACACGATTTCTCAATCTGACCATTTGCACTCTGCATGTTAATTGTTATGTCTGGGTTCCAAGTGACCTGGGATGCGATCGCCGCATCCTTACTCATGGAAATGATTTGAGATCCTCCATCGAGGAGGGATTCTTCGTGTCTCACCCCATTTATCAACGCACTCACCACCCGCAGTGATTCCGAGTCCGAAGATACGAAAACCTTCTGATCTCGTTCACCCGGAGGTAAGTTTTCCAAGTATTGGGACACTGGGTCATTAACAACCCAAACTTTCTTTGTCCCAGATTCAATATTTATTTCGAGTACCTGTGCCTTCGGTTCTGGTAGCATATGCGCCAGGACTCTCTCGACGCGTACTGAGTTTACGGCCTCAGTGACCGGTTCTTTCAATGTGCTATTCTCCAAGTACTCGGCAATAGCTGCTTGGGTAGCAGGTATTTCAAGAGGGACTCGCTTCTTCGCAAGTCTCTCTTTCCACTTCTTCGCATAGGCAGGCGAGATCGCGAGGAGTTCTTCATTGGAAACCCACGCGTCTCGTGCTAATTGCCTATCTAAAATTTTATCTAAGTCAATGTTCGCCTCAACAGCAGCTTGGTGCTTATAACCAGGCTGTCTCTGCTCTCGTACTGCTTCGCTAAGTGTCTTTGGCAGTTCGTCACGCAAGGGCTTCAAAGGACGCACGACACGGTATGGAACTTCGTCCTGACTGTCCCTATGGCCCTTGAAACTAACTCGTTTCGAAGCTGTTTTCTTTTTCTCAAAAATTCGCTGCAGTGGCTCGTCGTCACTGAACTCACTCGACGACTCATCTCCTGAGTCGATTGGGTCAAATTTCTTCGGTACGTCCTCAGGTGTCTTCGAGGTTTTTGAACTGACCCGCGTTCTCTTCACCTCAGACTTCTCCTTCATTGGACTCTTTAGAAACCCGACTGAGACTCCTTCTTTGCAGTTGTGGATCGTGTTTGAACCAGCTGCTCGTGGGCCCATATGTTCATCGACTCTTGTAGGGACTTTAGCTGGCTTGCAAGCGATTCCATACTTGTGGATGCCTCATTTTGTGCGACTGGTGTCGTCTTCTGAGTAAATTGGGGAGTCGGAACACTGCCAGTGGCTTGGTTAGCCCCATATCTCTCACGCAAGATGTTCAGATCCATATCGCGTTCCTCTAACATCCTAGTAAGTTGGCTGATTCTTTCATCTTTTGGATCTCGTGTCTGAACCGTATAGGTCGATTTAGATCCCCGTCCATCAAGTTCAGGTGCATCACCGAGCTCAGGCTCAAGAAGATAGACATTGGTCTGTTTCTTATCCTGATAATATCGCTCGACTTTGTCTTTAATCAGCCCATCGGGGTACCTTGGGATCTGGGTGCCATCTCCATAGAAGAGCTTCGGTCCATCCTGAATAACTCGTTTCGCCTGTACGTCCTTTTCTTTTACCACACACGTGTTCCAGTTATGACCAAGTTGACCACAGTAGAAGCACGGTCTCGGCTTGAAAGGTGGACGATTCTCAGGCGGTTTCTGATAGTCAGGCCTCGGCCGACTAAACGACGAGCTGCCAGTCGATTGACTAGCCATCTGTTTCGAGAAAACCTCGAGGTGAGACTTAATATTTCTCTCAGTATTAATCAATCTGTCTTTCATCTGCGCTATTTCAGCGTTCATCATCTCACGGAAATCCGTAATTTCTCGTTTGACTTCACCATCGGAGCCAAGAGACTTTCCAGACACAAAGGTAGACCTCTCAGAGATCGTTCCACTGGTATTCTTAATGGTACGTCCCTCTGCAATGTCCAGAGCGTGCTTAATGACCACTTCCAGCTTGTAAGGGTCCTCTTTTCGCACTTTTGGATCGTTTGGTCCTGCTCCCGGTGTCTGCTTCTTCTCCTCAAAGCTCAAGGCATCGCAAAACATCTCAACCAACTCTCGGTTTGTAACCAAAGGCGGGTCTACAAGGCATCTCTGAGCCTCGGATTTAAATCGTCATACAAAGGTACGTAAAATCTGTTCATCTTTCATCCTTATTCCTTCGAAGCTATCACAGATTCTTCTTAGGCGTTTAATCGAGCCATCCTCAGGTGCTACAGCCTCAGGATACTCTTCAAATAATCGCTTCTTAAACGCTTCCCAAGTCCCTGTCTTGAACTCGGTGAAATCGCTCCATTCACGAGCAATCTCTGTCTTCAGATAATGTGCTGCCCATTCGCATTTCTTTCGATCTTCGGTCACTCCTTTCGCCTCGAACAACTTCTCGAGTACCCAGAGATAGTTCTTCAACTCCTCGGGCTCGTCAGGCGACCAAGTCGGTGCATTGGGCGAATGTGGGATGGGCATCATTTTCTGTGTACTGTCCGTCATTGTGCTCTGATTCTCGGCAAGTATGTTCTCTATCTCTATCTCGGAGTTCTCAAAATTTAGTTCCTCTGCAGGGCGACTGCTGGAGGTCGATATCTCAGTTAGTGGACTGTCCCCACCAAATATATGTTGGTATCTAGATGTAGTCAGACCGTTTTGAAGGTCTTCGGAGTTCGCGTTTTGGGTATCTGGCCTCGAACGACTCTGACTGGCCGAGTTTTGCCCACCAAGGTGAGTAGTGATCTGACGAACTGTCTGTCTGATCGACTCTAAAGTCTCGTTCACTTGCTCTTGGCGTGCACGTCGGGTTCGTACAGATTCGCTCGAAGGATGGTCACGATCCTCAAGAAGGAAGTGCTCCCCGTCAAAAAGATGAGAGTACTGTGCTCTTCTAGAAGTCGCACTTCTACGCCCCGAGTGCGTAGAATCCACAACGGAAAACTGCTTTCAAATTCAAAATCAAGATCCCACCCCCTCGCGGTGGGCTCCAGATGATGTGCTCGCTCGAGTGGAAAGGCTAAACCTCAAATCACACCCAAACAATCACGCAAATTCGAGGGGCACGAAAGATCTTGATCAGAATAGAAATAGATTTCGTTGTGTAGATAGAAAAAAGAAATAAAAAGAAATCTTCAAAGAGAGCGGTCTTCCGTCTCTCTCAGGTCGTCTCTATCGAAGGGAGCGGTCTTCCACCTCCCAAATCTCGTCTATGAATGTCAAGGGATGGTCTTCCTGTCCCCGGACACTAATTCTCTTAACTTAGGGTGGTCTTCCTTCCCTAAGCTCAAATTCTCTCAAAGCTTCCGAACGGTGGTCTTCCTTCCGCTCAGGAGCTCTCAGACGACTTAGACGACTGGTGGTCTTCCTTCCAGACGCCTAGGAAGTCTATCTATCGTTTGTCTTCGTCGCAGACTCTATCACTTATCGCGGACTCTATCAAATATCGCAATCGTGTTTTAAATGATTTATTAAACCCCCGAACCCTCGTTAGAAGCAACCTAGACCTTGGGACGATGCGCTGCGTGTGCGGTGCGATCCTGTGGTCTTTCCCGATGATGGGACGTGGGCTACTTGCCTTTCTACCTCCTCTGGGTGAGTCTTTTATATCCTTCCCCTCGGAATTCCGGGTCGGTTGTATTCCGAAGGCTTACTCAGCCTTGTATGCGCTCGTGATTATTCCTTGAGCTTGTCCAGCCAATGGGAAGGATTGGGCACGGACACGTACGCAGTTTTCAGAGGCGCCATGCGCCCCGAATTCCATAAAAGGTGTGTTTGCCTGGTTCCAGAATATTCCCGCGCAGCTGAATGACGCAATGTCACCAGGGCTAAGATCGTTCTTACTCATCCGTTAGTATCAAAAATTATCTCTGACCATTCTATTGGTCAATTCGCTACTGGTGATCGCGTGAAAGTGGCGTGCAGGCATGTCTAGGCGCCTGTGGACATTGGTCATGCGACCATCACTCGGCCTAGGGGCTGTGCCATGGGATGCGCCCAAGTCTGCACTGCCACCACTCTCTCACGACCACACTCGGTCGCGTCTCTCTCATGGCAAGTCAAACTATCGAATTCATGACGTTTCATTACCAAAAAAGAAGTCGCCGTATCAGGACATGTCGGATAAGAAGGATTCATACCAGATATCAATGGCTACGGCTTTTGTGGATTTCGCAGACTGCTCCTCACAGGGGATGCTACTAGACGATAGCACCAGGCGTGTACACGATTAACAGTTTCTGGCAGCTTCCACGTGCACTGATGTCAGATTTGAACAGCCTCGTCGCCGCCTCGATGCTCGAGTTGTGGTTGTGCCAGCAACTCCTTCCACTGCACGATCTCCCTGCACGCTGGGACAACAACAAGGTGAGTGCTACCACGTCAATCGTGTTTCTGATTTCAGTCTTGTGCTAAGAATAAGGCTTCAGAAATCGGGCCCAGCTGTCTTCTCCAGGGTATCCGTTGAGCATCATGGATCTATTCAGAGACAGTCAGAACAACACCTTGAAAGACAGCATAATCATTGCCAGCCAATTCGGATATCGCGGTAGTTCAGGCAAGCCTTCGTTTACTGCTGTTGTTTTTCGCACTGCTGATGTGCCAGTACTCAAGTAGCTTTCGACCAGTTCCATGCCCAAATCGCGGAGGGTGCAATGCACGACTCTGGCGAGCGCTTCGACCCACCCAAATGCTACCCGGGCACTCGGGAGGTTGTCCTCAAGCAGCTCCTCGACTGGATCATCGCGCACGATCGCGAATCCTTCATGCACTGGCTCCACGGACCAGCAGGTGCTGGCAAGTCCGCAATTCTCCAGGAGATCGCAGAAAGATGTGCACAAATGAAGCTCCTCATCGCAAGTTTCTTCTTCTCCCGGACAGCTGCATTGCGGAACAATAAGAAGCGACTCGTTGCCACTCTGGCTTATCAGCTTGCACAGTCGGTACCCGAAACACGACCTTACATCGAGAAGGCGATCGGGCACGATCCAGCTATTTTCTCGAAACGACTCCAATCCCAGTTTCAAGCCCTGATCGTCGAGCCTCTCAGCCAAGCTGCCTCGACTGCTGGCGAGGAGTGGGCATGTTGGCCCCACCTCATCCTCATTGACGGTCTCGACGAGTGTAGCATCGACACCGTTCAACAAAATATCCTGACCTGTCTTGCGACAGGTGCTGCTGGTTGCGGCTTTCCTATCACAGTCCTTGTTTCCAGCCGCCCAGAAACACACATCGCCATGACATTTGGCCAGCATCCTTTCAAATATATTCTCCGGACAGCGTTAGATGAGAATTATCGACCTGAAGAAGACATTCGACGGTTCCTAGCAGGGACATTCAGAGGGATCAAGGAAAATCACCCTCTCCGTAGTTATCTCTCTTACGACTGGCCATCGCCCGCCTTCGTAGAAGCTCTCGTTCACAAGGCATCTGGTCAATTCATTTACGCCGCCACTGTCGCGCGATATGTATCCCATCCAGACTCCCATCCAGCTCAGTACCTCGACGTCGTGCTCGGACTCTCGCCTTCGAATTATTGTGAACCCCCCTTTGCAGAACTCGATGCGCTGTATTATCACATCCTTTCATCATTGCCGGACGAAAGGACATCGTTACGGATTCTCGCACTGGTTGTTCTACCAAGTCAAGGGTGGAATCAGACACCTCAACGATTCGACTCGTTTCTCGGGCTGCGAAGCGGAGTTTCTCAACAAATCCTCCACAAGTTGGCCTCGATAATTAAGCTCGATGATGATTCCAAAATTCGCCTCCTACATGCATCACTAGCTGACTTCCTACTTGATCGATGTCGGTCTCAAAATTTTTACGTTGATGTACCCCTTCAGGCTGCCAACTTTGCCAGATTATGCTTCCAAAATTCTGCTGGTGCGACCAGTGAGTACTTGCTTTTCCTCTCAATAGACGTCCTCCAAGTGTCTCATTGTCAATAGGCGAAATACTATTCGAGAGGATTGTGCTCTATCGTGCATTTTCTTACTGTAGTTTGGCTGCGCTAACTGACAAATTATTGGAAGATCTGGCAGATTTCAACTTCCCGACAGTGGCACAAGGTACTGATGAACAGTCTGAGGTGATAGATCCCCCCACCATTCGGACATCGAGACGCCCTGTTGTGGATGGATATCTGTCCTGCTTGCAGATCATCAAGGTGTGAAATCTAGACCACATTCTTCGTTCTGAGCCAAGAATAACACCCTTTCGGTAGGACCGTTTCCCCAACCTGAGCGTGGCTGTATACACGCGTTGTCAACAAAACGTCCACTGGGTCATTGGATCTCAGGTCGAGCTATATTGATCGTCTGTGATGCTGGCCACGCTTCTTAGTCTTTACGCTGTGATACCGGCAAATTCGCTACTCGGATCGCGGGATATTTTCGATGTCTTGCTTGCACCAGCTCAAAGTCCTGAATTGCAGAGTGCTATCTTGATTGACGACTCGTCGTTGCGGCTTCGTGACTGGTTTGAGGGGCAATTCATGTACAACAAAACCATCTATGCGGATGAACATCGATATGCGTCATTTATTCGAAAACTCCTAGAACCTGAAGACTTTACCAAGGCGGCAAAGGTCCTGGTGTCGCACATTATTTCTATCAGTGAGTACGCCTCTAGTGTCACTTGCAATCAGGCTGACGTTCTTCGTGTTTTCAGGGCTTCAACATCCTCCATCATAGAAGGAGACCATGACCACAGAAGAAGCGCCTATTTTCTTGCATTGGAATACTTACCCCGCCTTTTACGGAAGGCCAGCGTCGATCATGAATTGCTCAACTTGCTGCGATTGAACCCAATACAGTAAGTGAACCCAATAGATTATTGGATGAAAATGTCAGGTTGACATTCAACCTCTAATTTGTTAGACGGGAACGAAATGAGATATACCACATGACATTCAAGGCGCAGACAGAGCGGGCGATTGCCGGTTATCTTGGGGTAGATATTCTCTCCTGACATGAATATATTGTATAGGACTGATGCCAATTCCCCTCTACTCTAGAGATCGGGTTCAAAGGTGCGCTTTTCTCCAATTTCAGGTAGGCATGTATTTATGCCAAGCCTCCGTTGCAGTTGGACGTCCTCAGGGCATTTTGGAGGATAATCTGTCTGCAAAGGAGGATGTGGGAATACTTTGGGTATTAATTTTTGATCTTGCCTCGAATGACAGCGAGAAGTTGGATCCATGGTCGTGGACTCTCAAACCCACTCTCTGAACTCGACGTTTACCGAAGCCTTCACTCCGCTCCTCCCGCCCTCCATGGAGCCCTCGTGCGTGAAGTACGTCACCTAATTAAGCACTTGACATGTTCAAGGACTATATCTACGGAAGATGCTGATGAAGATAAATGATTTAGGGTGCGACTACGACGCGTCCCTCCTCGCTGCTGTGTGCCGCTGTCTTCAAACCTCGCCATCAACCCCCATGCTAGCGCCCACGTCAAAAGTCTATGCATTTCCGCCCATGCTTCTCCTTCACACTTTGAATGCCCCTGGCCCAAAAACATCGTCTACCTCCTTGCTACCATCCAGCATCTCTCTGCCAATCTTAGGCCCTGCCGGCTGTCGCTGAAGCCTGCCTCTGATGTGTACTGGTGCTGCGGCCCTGCTGTTAGCATTTTCGGGCCTGCGGCATCGTCTTTGGTTTTGCAGGTGATCCTAAACCTAGCTCTTGCGAACGACGTCCCTGTTTGCGTGTCACGCCTTTTGATCTCATCCAGTTTATAGCGGCGAGGATCGCGACGTCGGTTCAAGAATCCTCAGAAACAGCTGACAACTGCCGGCTTGTATTCGTAACTTTTCTGCCTTTCTTCCCACATGCACAGCCATCCATATATATTGGATGACCTAGCAGCTCATTCGCCTCCGAACAAGTGGTTATTTTTGGTCCACGTTTGTCAATCGCTGTCATTCACTAGCGCCCATCCTGCGGACGAAGTCACCCTTTCGTCTCATTTCTACCCTCCCTTAGCCATACATATATTTATGACTGGAGAGTAAGCTCAGGGAGCCAAAGTCTATCTTCACCGTCCATTCTCAGAAAACGAAGAAGCAAAATCCAGCGCCAGGAACTGAAGGATGCCGTCAATCTCGACACGTTTGTCGTTCCATCTGTCAAGGGGAAATTTCTTCGGCAAAGCTGTCATACAGATATTAATAAGGACAGACACCTCCTTTCTCCTCTTTCCTCCCTTTCCTCCCTCCCTTCGTTCCCGTTCCCTACATCTCCGTTCTCGCTCCCCCTCCCATTCCACCCCATCCGTCGTCAATGTCATTATCTGCACTTAGCCCGGCCACATCTATCTTACAACACCAGAGATGGCATGCCTATGTCCCCTCGGGTTCGATATTCTCGGCACCTACGCGCTGAGTTCTTCGTTGATCGACAATTGATCGATTGATCTGTTATTGAAGTCATCATTTCTATTTCGTTCACTCCCCGTCCAACCACTCCCCCTATCTCATACCCTCTTCTTTCTCCACTGAACGCTGTCAGTTTTCTTCCGCCTCTATTGGCGTTACCCTCTCCTCGGCGCCATAGGAGCGTTGGCCCGGAACGTTGTTTCGGTATTGGAGCCTTTACCCCTCCGACAAGACAGAAAGATTTGACGCTTAGAGAAGATGAGAACGACCACGTCATGGAGAAGGCGGAGGACAGCTGCGATATTCGGTGGTCGTTATAATTTCGCAGCAAAGTCGGCGAGGCGGCTGCTTCTGCTGGAGGTAAGAAGTCTCCGGTTCTTTCAAATTCGTGCCGCTGAGGACCCTGACAATGTTTCTAGACATACCTGCGGCTTTGTCTTCTCCGTCGCCTGCAATTGCTTCATCTACAAATGCAACAAATTTGGACAGACTATGACAATCACAAAAGTCCTCCTAGGATGACTCTGGTAGCTAATTTGAACAAGGTTGGGAAGAAATCGTCGTCATCATCGTCCTCCATGGGCCTTATCTGGTCCCGCAAGGCCTGCATTTGTCGTTCGTGATTCCTAGCTGCCTCTCCGGCGTCACGACGGGACTGGTCAGCAAATTGCTTCATGCGGTCCTCCATATCCGCCTTCTCCTTCTCGTATTTTGAGGCGAGCTTTTGCGCATCTGCTTGAATTCGATTCATCTCATCCTGAAGCTTCTTCGCTGCGATCTCAAGCTCCCGTTTCGTCTCCTCGTCTTTCGATCGGATTGCGGCTGCAGAAAAACAAGCCACATCAGCTGTGAAATATATCTCAAAGACGCAGCGTGAGTCTACCTTCCATGTCCTTCTGAAGCTGCTTCATCTCTTTCTTGTGCTTTTCCATCTGCAGCATCAGCTCTTTGTTGAGTTCCGCCCCAGCAGCGGTCTGCGAGATATCCTTATTCTCGTCGACCAGTTCACGCTGGATCTGAAGCGAGAGAGGGTGGTTCTGGATGATGCGGCGGAGGATGTTGTGCGCCGACTCGCGCGTGTTCTCATGGCGCACCATCTGCGCGCCTTTCTCAAGGACGGGTCGGAAGAGGAAATCCTCTCTGGCCAACTCGGCTTCGCGCGCCTCGCCGACGTCCGCGCTGACGTGGTCCCACATGTTAGTGACGATGACGACGTTCTTGAGCGTCGAGTCGCCACAGAGTTCTCGGAACATCCGGAAGTTCCGAGTGGAGATGCCGCCCATCTTGAAGTCGGAGATGCGATGGACGTAGATCACCCCGGCTAATTTCTTGCCACCTCGGTAGCTATGAGGCAGCTTTCAGATGCATGTTTATATGACCCCCAAAGCACACTCACGTCGTAGCGAGAAACAGGCCGATCACGCGAAGGATATCGGTGTCACTCTTTGTGGTGTCGTCGAATCCCGGGGTGTCGATCAGCGTCACCTTCCGTCCATCCATAATGAAGGGCTCCGCCACTTGTATCATGTTGGTGGTCGACTTGAGACCACCTCCGACGCGAAAGTTTGAGCCGCTGGCCAAGTTGATGAACTATGGTACTGGTATAAGCAACTGCAGTCGTCATACACTGTTCGGTACGTACTGTGGTCTTTCCGCTTCCTGTCGCTCCCATCACGCTAAAAATGAATGTATTTATGATAAGGTCCAAAATTCAGACGCTTGAATAAACACATACACGATGGCAACATCCGTTTCATTCTTGATGTGCAGCTTTCGCCAATGATGAATGACCCGAGACTCTCAGGTCATTGCACACGTACATTAGGGTCCGTCAATTCGAAAACTGGTCTGTTTTTATGGCACCCATGAGCACACCACTAAGGATAGAGCAGCGTCAACGTACGCAGATAGGTCAGCATTGGTGCCCAAGGCTTGGTGAGCGGACACCAGGCGTAAGAGCGCTACAAGAGCAAAAAGAAGTATGTTCCGGTGCATTGCAAGGCGAGAGAGCTGCATGGGTGACTCGCTGAAGCAAGGTCTTCATTTATGTGAACCTCGCAGCTCGCATTCGAGTCACACAAGTCGTCCAGGTAGCCTCAAGCGACTATCACTCCTCTCGTTAATTCCCGCGCAAGCCAAATACCGGCTAACATGGGGTACTTCGTTCATTTCATTCGATAACTATGACCCAAAATATGATCTTGAAGAGGGCTTCTCGACGAAGATTATCAGAGAAGGGCATACTAGGGTACACACGAGATCAACATAGAAGTAGCACTGTCACCTTTACATTCTTCGGTGCACTGCTAGGTTTAAATTAGTGCTGTTGGAACGCTTCTGGTTTCCGGCGCGAGTACAGGGAAGTCGAAGTTCGGATTATGGGCGCTTTGTGTGAATTGTATCCCAGGAATACGAATCGTTCACTCACTTACCACCGCATTTCCATCCATGATGCATGATGTCGATCTGGGGTTCTCGCTGGAGCAAAATAAACAAATGAAAGCCTGGACTGCAGCACTGTATTTCCCGCAGCCCTACCTTGTCCCTATTCGCTGCGATTATGCAACGTGCCGTCCATGAGCCCCTGTCAGCTATATCATTGGTTTAGCGCCCATGATAACAAATGGCGTTGCCGGAGTCTATGAGGCCTTATTGAAATTCTCTTGACAAAAGTGGTGGCAAAAATGAACTCGACTGTTCTGTGAATATCTCTCTTGTGTGGCTTCCCGGTTACAGTCTGAAGGTATCTGAGATTTAGGGCAAATGATAGGGAGCGCCGTTTTACTGGTGATCCTTCTTCCCGGGGGACCTCCGGGTCGACCAGGATACTCTCCTGCCCTCTTTTCTGCCCTTGAAGATTCTGCTAACTTGAAATCCAAGAGCATTTTCGGAAGACGTCGGAACTTACAAGGCACAGTGCAACGTCCACCTCAAGGCATTTCGAACATGAAGGATCCATAAGTTAACAGTGCCGAGACGGCAGCGCGGTCGTGGGACGGAGAAGTGCCAGACGTCAAACGTCAGGGTAATCAGTGGGTCCTCTCTTCCATCTACTACGTACTCACTATACTACGTCCTCTGTATGCCCCCAAGATATCTGCCCACAGACGCATCCCTAAACGGAAGGGACACACCGTCGACCACATCTCCCGCGACAAGTCGCCTTACTCCCCAAGATGCGACCCCTCGACGGGTGCACCTCTGTATCAAGATGGCAAACTCGTCGTTTCAGCACGTTGCTGTCCCGTTCCCCAAGTCATACCAGGTGTGATCGCGGTTCCTGCTACCTTCGAACAGGAGATAGTTCGTTTACTTACCTCGTTGACTTCAGGATGCCATCGCACTAGCTCGACAGATCTTCCCGAGCCAATTCCAGGGCGTCCAGCAGTCCGACATCGTCCTCAGGTGCGGGACGGCAAAAAATGGAAAGCAGATCTGGAGTGAAGTGAAGCCGCAATTCTGGGCGCAGGTTGTTGAGAACGACGATGAGATACTGGTTGCCCGAAAGTCGGACCCGATCACGATGGACCAGTTTTCTCAAGCCTTCCGTGCCATGGCCCCCATTAGCGCCCAAGCACCCGCTCAGACCCACGCTGTCCCATCAGTCACCTTTGTGCTAGGGAAGGGTGCACTGCATAATGCCGAGCGAGTCACTATGTTTTTGCCAGACAGCTACGAGGTGAGTAGCATTTCCTCCGGGGCAGCATTACTATTCTACTGACGCTACATTCGTGGTTAGGACGCCCAACAAAAGGTCTTTGAGAACTTTGACCGCCATGAGCTGTCCAATGAGCGTATCACCTCTGCGTCCCACGTCAAGCTGTTCACGGTGACTAGGGACTCCAGTCGGCTGTCCATATCGGGATACAAGTGGTCTGCGTCGGCGAAGAGCGGTTGGAGGGAGATTATCACTGGGATGAAAGCAGCTGGCACCGATTTTGAGATTGGGGTCCAATCTACAATCCCAAAACCTGCATACGATCCCTACGATTAGCTGGAGACGACATTGGTTATTGATTCTTTTCGAATGTTTGGGAAGTTGGACCGTGAAGCATTGCACATTCACAAATTCAAGGCAAAAAAACAAAAAAGCTACAATGATATTTCCAGTCTCTTGAATGTACAGTAGTTAAGAAATAAGGACGGTGATCTATTCCAGAAGACCCAGTAGCACGAATAGTCATCGGACTGTGGGATCTGCTTGTATTCCGCATCCGAGCAAGAGTGGTTTTAGGGCGGCATCCGATCGTCAAGAGTTATATGTAGGTCAGCGTCAACAGTGTCGGACACAAGAACAACGTTGATGGATGCGGAGACGGATCGGATAGTTTACCGAATGATAAGGCAAGGCTCGAGAGCTTCCCGGCGATAGCTTTGAGCAGAGAAGTACCCTGATATTAATTGTAGGGATGGGAGGGGCGGAGAGTAATCATGGAGACAGAGGTATTGGTGAGGGCCAAACGGTCGTATGTATGGGATTCAAGAGTGATCGAGGATAAATCCTAGGCGCCAACAGCGAGTTACAACAGGCAAAGGTGCACCAACACCGTGGGCGTTATGATCGACGGGGCGATGCTCGCAATAGTCGAGGCCTTCGCCCGTCGCTTAGCGTGTCCGAATTTAAGGCATGGTGTCGGCGATTCATCGGCGTTGGCGACACCGATGTTGAAGATAAAGATGGAGCTCGGTCAGTCGGTACGCCGATGAAGCAGAGGGTATCTTCAAAAGGAGTTCACAGATTTCATTGACGTTAGATAGAATCCGGGGCAAAATGTATGGGACTCACCCAAGGCAAAAGACCCGCGTCGGTCCATCCCAAAGACGTCAACACCGCCCCTCATAGCCCTCTACCTATCTACATCCGTCGACTATCATTGCCCTCTCAATGACAATAGGTATCTTGAGGATTGGAGATCGGTACCAGCGGTCGCAGCTGCCACGAGGGCTGAGCTAGGTTTGCCGGATCGCATAGGCCAAGGCGTTCGTCTGAGGTTCTGAGGACGAGGAAAAAGAGTTTGCAAGGCTTGTGGTAGTAGAGGCTCGATGAAAAACGGACGCTGACAATCCACAAGGCCGCGGTAAGTGTAATTATTCCAGACTTCTGGAGCTGTGGTTCTCGCCTCACGATGATACGACGAAGAACACGTCGACATTCTCCGTCAAGGACGAGACGGTGGCAATTGGAGGGTGGCGAATGCATCATGGGTACTGAGTCTTGAATGATTTTTTTCGGACGGCGGTCTGTCCCAGTTCCTCAAGCCCCAACCCCTGCCATCTTCTTCCACGACGTGTAAGCATGCACCTTCAACAGTCCAAGTTTTGGTGTGAAGGTCCAGCGAGTCCAGCGAGGTCGTGATGGCGGAATCGAACGAGAGCTATTGTGCGAATGATTCATGCTGGACGGAGAAAGGCGGTGAAAAGAGGTAGATGGGGTAGACACGGAGAGCTCTGCAACAGACGTTGCCGCCAGCTTGGAGTGCTCCGAACGGGGGTTCTTGTTGTGCATCGAACCCGGAGGTCGTGCTGTATGCGGACGACAGTGCCAGGAAAGAGCGCCGTGGCGTATCAAGAATCTCGATAAGGTCGAGAGAGGAGCTAATTGGTCTGAAAATTTGCCGATCGTGTCCTCGCAAGATGTCTTAACAGCGTGTTGTTCGACTGAACTTCCGGAAGATGTGAGGGCGAGGGGTGAAGAGAGGACGTCGTGGTCGTGGTGTAAGGCCAGAAGGTCGGGGACTTAAGATATTGGAAACGCTGAATCTGAGCGTTGCTGAGCGCGACCAGCGAGTTCGGCGTGGTCGAGGGGGCAGCCTCAAAGGAAGAATTAGATGAGTCGACGGGCAAAGCTTGGTGGGGGGTGAAGAACCCTGAGGAGATGGGTTCATTGACGGCGGGAGGAGGGATGAAAGAGGATGGTTGGGAGTCGGAGCTGTGCAGTGGGCCAAGGGCTGGGACTGAGATGGGCGAGGATAAAGGGCGCAGTGATAGGGATGGCGAAGGCACGTGACGACGTGTAGGCAATGGAGTGCAGAGAGGAATTTCGACACGGTCCTAGACTCAGAGAGGTGGGTGTTGGTTCGTGTCACCATTGGAGGAGATCTGCACGAGAGGATCGGCAAAGAAATTCGCACGCGGGCCGAGGCTAATTATACCGGGCCGGGGTATCGTCTCATTGCCTCGTGCCTCTCCAAGCCTCTTCTGTGCTCCAGTCCGGGCGCTCCACGTCGAATCGCATCTTATCGTTGGAACTCACGAGCATAGATGCCGCGTCGACACGTCAAGCGGAGCCACTCAATGGCTATTTACCAGGTACTTTTGTTTATGTAACCGTGTCAGAAGCCGCGCAAAGACCCGATGGGAAAAAAGGAGTGCGTTCAGAGTTTTCCCCGCTGCAAGTTGACTAGTATTAGCTCGACACCGGTTCCCAAGCGAGGACAATGAGGAGTACTTAAGTGTGCATTTAATTCTATTTCTTCCGCTTCTCTGATTATATATCATCAGTATGGTTTGAAACCCATGGAGGTTTGTGTCGAGCCTTTCGAAGAGCTCATAGAGTAGATGTACTCTAAGTAATGAGGCTTACCGAGCGCTTACTCTCATCGGCCGATTGGAAGGTCATTACCATGGTGCTGATACGTCACAGATTGCCCCTCGCTTCAACGTTAACGGCTCGTGCCAACTGCAGAAGCCAATAGGTTTCCCAGAGAACCAACGTCCTGAGAACTTGAAGGACCACATTCACCAAGCGAAGCGGATATATGGCCTCTTACGCTTGCATTATGAGTCTTGAGGATAAGCAAGCAATCAAAGCTTCTCGGTTCGCCAGCGCTGCTTCTGCTTCGAACAGGGTGTACAAGTGGATTAAGGCTGGCATATAAATGTGTACCACACCTTGCCATATTTCTCATCGCCCCCTCAGAACTTGCATATCCATAAAAGGCAACGTCAACCATGTCTTTCCTCCAGCCACCACCCAAGCCCAAGAGCAAACTCGGCCTCTACCGTCTCTTGTCGCCGAACGCAGGTGTTCATGTCTCTCCCCTCCAGCTCGGAGGTGGGAGCATCGGCGACCAATGGAGCCAAATTGGGATGGGGGAAATGGACAAGGCGTCCAGCTTCAAGCTCCTCGACGCGTACTACGACAACGGGGGGAATTTTATCGACACGGCGAACCTCTAGTGAGCATCCTTTCATGATCGCCTCTCAGCCAGATCTGAACAGGAAATAAATTATAAACAGTCAGAACGAGAGCTCGGAGATGTTCATTGGCGAATGGGCTGAAAAGCGCGGCATCCGCGACCAGCTCTTCATCGCCACCAAGTACGCGAACAGCTTCAAGAAGCGCGAAGAGGTCGAGCAACAGGTGTTCTACGCTGGCAACAGCGCCAAGGCACTGCACATCTCGGTCGAAGCATCGCTCAAGAAGCTGCGAACGACGTACATCGACTTGCTTTACATCCACTTCTACGACCATGTTACGAGCGTGCAGGAGCTCATGAAGTCGCTCCATGCTCTCGTTCTCCAAGGGAAGGTGCTGTATTTAGGCGTCTCGAATGCTCCCGCGTGGTTCGTCTCGAAGGCTAACCAGTACGCACGGGATCACGCCTTGACGCCGTTCGTGGTCTATCAAGGCGCTTGGAACGTCATGGACCGTGCGTTCGAACGCGATATAATCCCCATGGCCCGAGATGAAGGCGAGCTACTTCCTGAATTAATCTGTGTCTCTCAGAGTCTGAAGTATTCGCGGCAGGTATGGCGCTGGCCCCGTGGAATGTGCTCGCCGGTGGTAAAATCAGAACTGACGCTGAGGAGGAACGACGTCGCCAAACTGGAGAGAAGGGACGAACGATTGTAGACCCGAACTGGGAGAGGAACGAGCAAGAGAAGAAGGTCTGCGCCGCTCTTGAGAAAGTTGCAGCCGAAGTCGGCGCTAAGCATATCAATTCCGGTCAGTCCCTGCCAAGTTTTTATGTCGAGTCCCTGGTCTTTTTTTTTTTTTACTAATAACCACTTATTTTTCTAGTTGCCATCGCGTACTTGATGCAGAAGACGACCTACGTATTCCCCATTCTCGGTGGTCGGAAGGTCGAGCACCTCCTCGCCAACCTCGAGTCTCTCGAAATATCTTTAAGCGAGGAGCAAATAAAGTTCTTGGAAAGTATCGTCCACTTCGAGCCTGGCTTCCCTCACTCCTTCATTGTAAGCTTTTTGTCTTACTGCCAGCGTCACGCGGAACTGATTTGGGCGCCAAAAGGGTGATGGCTCTAATGCCAACTTACTCAAGATGTATGCGCATATCGACAGAAAGCCTGTAGCCTCCCCTCTTCGGCCTTCTACTTAATTATTAGTAAAAACGAGATTGTGTATTTCGTTGAATTAAGAATATCAATGAATCGCCCTTCCATAAGGTCATCTTATCTTAAGTATTATCCCTTCATTCTTCACCGCCGAGGCTAACTTCCTCTCCTCACTGATACTATTTCCATCCGTCGCGCCAGCCTCAAGGCAAACACTGCCCGAACGCTCATGATCCTCAAGCAACATCTTCGTCTCACCCGCGCTCAAGGCCGTCGCTTCTAGATTGTTTTCCTTATTTCAATAGTTGCATGTAAAGATTGTAGTTAACAGATTGCACCCCATCGACGGCCGTTCCCGGCCGTGCCCGGCCGTGTCTATTCCCGACCCGACCCGACCCGACAGAAATAACTTGAATGCCTTGTGAACGTTTAGCCGTCACCAATTCCTTGTGTCTTCAACATTACTCTCTTCCCCTCCCATCCCTATAATAAAGGTACCCCTCTGCTCAAGGCTATCGCCGGGAAGCTCTCGACCCTGTGCTCTGGGTCTCTTGGAATAGATCACCGCCCTTATTTCTTAACTACTGTACATTCAAGAGGCTGGAAATCCCATCATACCTTTTTAAAAATTTGCCTTAAATTTGTGAATGTGCGGTGCCTACTTCTACGGCCAACTTCCCAAATATTGGAAAAGGATCAATGTCATCTCCACCTAATAATCGTAGGCATTGTATGCAGGCTCTTGGACTGTAGATTGGACCTCAATCTCAAACCCGGTGCCAGCTGCTTTCATCCCAGCGATAATCTCCCTCCAACCGCTCTTCGCCGACGCAGACCACTTGTATCCCGATATGGACAGCCGACTGGAGTCCCTAGTCACCGTGAACAGCTTGACGTGGGACGCAGAGGTGATACGCTCATTGGACAGCTCATGGCGGTCAAAGTTCTCAAAGACCTTTTGTTGGGCGTCCTAACCACGAATGTAGCGTCAGTAGAATAGTAATGCTGCCCCGGAGGAAATGCTACTCACCTCGTAGCTGTCTGGCAAAAACATAGTGACTCGCTCGCCATTATACAGTGCGTCCTTCCCTAGCACAAAGGTGACTGATGGGACAGCGCGGGTCTGAGCGGGTGCTTGGGCGCTAACGGGGGCCATGGCACAGAAGGCTTGAGAAAACTGGTCCATCGTGATCGGGTCAGACTTTCGGGCAACCAGTATCTCATCGTCGTTTTCAACAACCTGCACCCAAAACTGCGGCTTCACTTCACTCCAAACTTGCTTTCCGCTTTTCGCCGTCCCACACCTGAGGACGATGTCGGCCTGCTGGATGCCCTGGAATTGGCTCGGGAAGATCTGTCAAGCTAGTGTGACGGCGTCCTGAAGTGAACACGGTCAGGGCACGAAGCGGTTACTTGTGATGGACGAAGTCGGATCGAAGAATAGGATGGCGGCAACACGAACGAAGAGGAACGCAGTGTTCCAGGGATCGGTCTTCGACCAGGAAGAATAAGGGAGATACAACCGCCAATGTCAAGTTGCAGAGGAGATATGCATCTTGACACTGTTTCAACATCATGGCGAAGGTGAAGGTAGGAAATCGAGGATGATTGGATGCCTAGCCGTGTTTGGACTCAGGGAAAATGAACGGCGTTCCCGTTAGCGATGAGTTTCAATTTCGATGGATGCGAAGCTCGCACAGAGGGTGTAAAGCCTGAGGAAGTGCCTCGAAGATGTTCTTCCAGTGCTCGACGACCTGCTTGGTGATGGCCGCGTCATATACCAAGAATTCTATACGGTCGCCAGTACCTATTGTCTAGAAGGAACCGTCCGGCTCACTCGATCAAGCACTAGATGATGTTTTCTACAGCCGCCTTGAAATTGCACCGACGTGTCCGAATCGTGCGGTCGAGGCCTGCCACCCCTCCGCGTCCTCTCAGAGGCACAAACTTGGAGTAGCCTGAGCAGAATATCGGGGGTGGCTACTCCAATGAGGCCGGTCGGAAATTTGAAGAGACATTCCCATGACGGGAGGGCGGAGGTGGAGAGAGGTGGAGCAAGGGGAGACGGGATGCCGACAATCCACGAGTTCGAGCATGATTGGGGCAGAGCTCAGTCACAGCTGACGGTGCGGGAGGTCAGCTTGTAGGTCTCGGGGCTCGAACCAAAGAGCCGGGTCTTTGCAGTTTTCGCCCTTGCGAAGGGGCTCGTCAGAGGGCTTAACCGCTACCCTAAACTGCTTTGGTTCTGTAAGCCAATTTTAACATTTCGTGCTACCCAATTTGACTTGCACTACGGGGATTCCACTGAGGTAAGGGCGTTCCACCCAGGTACCGTGCAGTTTGACCCTGGACTAGCTGGGTGTGCGTGAGGGGGGGTTATCGCCTGATTACGGCACTGTGGCGCGCCTGATGTAATCACAGGGGCATCACTCGCGGTTGAGCAACTGCCGACGTACTGCCATTTCTGGACTTTGCGCATCCCATGTCTGTTCGCTGACCGATCTCAGACTCAGTCGGCAGTCTCCGAAGATAATGCCGAAACAGTGCAAAGAGCTAGGCCTATGTCCTCTTTCCAGTCCGTCACATCTTCACCACGTGATAACGCCCGTCCTTTTAAGTTCGTTCGTTCTCACTCTGTTCCTCGTTCGCTTCTCTTCTTCCTTCCCTATCCCCGACTGAGGACGTACGTGTCACTTTATTCACTACGTAGTTTCTATGTAGCTCACTTGTTCCCCTTAGCACGCCCTGTCGTGTCTAGGTAATATAGTCGCTTCTCTTCTTCCTTCCCTATCCCCGACTGAGGACCACGCCCTGTCGTGTCTAGGTTCACAATTACGAAGATAGGCAAGTAGATATTATAAGCCTTCGTGTAGCTTCGGTGGGTTCAGCACGTAAATTGATTTCATTATCGTCAACCAACGCCGGCAGAGTATTCGCGAAGTGATACACTCCGCCTTGAGGCCGCTCTTCTCGTGGTCTCATGATGCTTGCGGTGCTCCTTCATGGCTCCCTCATGGCACTGTTGTTCTCCACTCTCGCAGACAGTCCAACCGCCTAGCGCAGGCTGAGAACAGTTGCCCTCAACCACCTCCGAGTCCACCACCATCCCCCTTCTATACTCATTGAATCTTTCTCTCTCCTTCTGCCTTGCTGTAGAAGGAGACAATGGCTGAATTTTTCCGTGGAAGCTATAACAATCATATTCAGAATTCCACTTTCAACGTCCACACGACAACGCACAATCACCATCCAACCGAAGAATCGCAAGGTAAGCACGACGACATGTCTCTGTGCTAGCAGGAGACACTGATTCGTGATCAGGATTCAAGATCCTCAAGAAGGCAGTGGCTCCCAATGCCTTCCATGACTCGGATGACCGCTTCGATCCTCCAAAATGCCACGAAAACACCAGGGTAGCCATCGTTAACAAGATCATACAGTGGGTCAAGGGTGAAACAGAGACTGATTCCTTCGTACTCTGGATGTCCGGGCCCGCAGGTGCGGGAAAAACGGCCATTGCACGCAAAATTGCAGAGATCTGCGAAGCTCATGGCCTCCTGCTCGCAAGCTTCCTTTTCTTCCGCCCAGATTCAAGACGAAATACCATCAAACCTCTAGTTGCCAATATCGCCTACTGCGCTTCACGTGTGGTCCCCGGTGTGCGACCAGCCATCGAAGCCATCATCGACACGGATCCCCACATTTTTTCCTCGAGCTTGGAGACCCAGCTTCGAAAGCTCGTCTTCGAACCATTGCGTCTCCTTTATGAACGCGGTCAATTTCCCCCTCCCCTGATTGTCATCGATGGCCTCGACGAATGCCTCGATCAAGATTCGCAAGACAATGTCATACAAGTTCTCTCGTCTTCCATGCCCAAGTACCAACTTCCGCTCAAGTTCCTGATTGTCAGTCGTCCAGAAACACACATCAAGTTCTCAATCAAGGTCTCTGGACAAAAAACCCGAATATCGCATCTAGAACTCAACGACGACTTTTGTCCGGACGATGATATTCGCCTCTTTCTCACTGAAAAGTTTGAGGAAATACGGACATGCCACCCATTGGCACCTCGGAATTCCTCCGTATGGCCTAGCGAGGAACAGATGGACACCTTGGTTTGCAAGGCCTCCGGCCAGTTCATATATGCCTCGCTCCTCGTACGCTTTGTCAATTTCGCCCGGGATTCTCCAACGCGAAGTTTAGACATCGTTCTTGAACTTCGACCGCCGGTCCATCGCGACCTTCCTTTCGCAGAGCTCGATGCTCTATATGCATTCATCCTGTCAGGAGCAGGGCCTGGTATCGATCAAATTTTGAAGATACTCGGAGTGCATATCGCCCTCGGCGTAGACAGGGATCGGTTGGGCAAAAATAATATCAGAGAAATCAGGGTGATAGAGGCTGTCTTGGGGTTGGAACCAGGTGACGTGCGGGTCGCTCTCATTGGTCTGAGCTCGCTTCTGGACGTCAGATACTCAAGGCTCCTTCACGGCGATTATCAAATCGTCTTCCACCATTCGTCATTGCAGGATTTCCTTTTTAACAGGCTGCGGGCGAAGGACTACTACATCGACATTCAGCCAATGCACCAAGCTGTCGCCCAATGGCCTCTACGAACCTTTACACTGGAAAACCGTACGTGGCTCTGACGGTTTCCTTTAATTCCCCTCTGTTCATTTATTTCACAGTATCTCAACCAGCTCAACACATTGCCGGCTGTATTGAGCTTGCGGGACACCTGAAGCAGTTGTCACATTCTCAGCTTATCGAGCTCCGTCGTGACCTTGAAGACTTTTCATTCGGTCCCTATCTCGAGAACAGCATAGAAATCGTTGCACACAAGATCCGTATGAACCCGACGAGCATAGGCGAAATGGTCCAGGCCTGCGCATGCATGTTTTTCGATGGCCTGCAGGAATTGGTGAGTGCCGTCCACCTGGAAGCGGGAAAATATGTTCGCTAAACACACTGCATTTCTCAGAAACAAGCTGAACTCCATCAGCATCATTCGGAGCAGTACCTCAGCTTTGTGGTCTCTCAGATCGACGGACGCCGTTGTCCAGAGGCGTTCCATCTCATGAGCGCTGTCTGGTTTGTCTTACAGCGACCTTTGAATTCTTGCGCCGAAGAACCGATACGACAGATGTTTCGTCCTCACAGTGTGGACCCCTCTGCGGTATGGCGAAATTTATGCGGGCGGCTCTTCGCGTTCGACGCTTGGGACGTCAGCTGGGACGTCAGGAATCACCAGTTCCTGCGTTACCCAGACTCGAAGTACAAGGATATGCGAGCTAAAGCTGGACCACTGGCAAAACTGTACGGAGCCGCCGCCGAAATGAACTCGGAGGTTTCGTTGCCGTCTCGACTCTCGCGGATTGTGATTGCATGTCTCGATTTCCTCCACCTGCACGGCTCCTACAAGACATGCCGACCCGACCAGCATTTACGTAGCTGGGCGGCGAAGTCCAAACGAATACCCTGGCTTTGGAGACGACGCACACTGGTTGGTTCTGTCAGACGAAAATACAAACCCACACGGGCTCAATCACGATGGCGGTGGATATGCTCATTGCTCCCGACGATTCGCCAACCACGCCAGACATTGCTGATGTTGGAGGAACGAACAATGTACATATGGACTCTTGATCTCCTCCGCCGTACTCTACGGAAAGCCAGGGGCTCAGAAGAACTGGTAGAAACGCTCACAAAGCGACTCATGCTTTGGCCAGCACCCATATTATTCCCCCGACGGTTCAAGCGTATCCGAAAAGCTGTTGAAGCATATCTAGAACAGGTGAGAACATGATCTGTGTTGAAAAGCGGGGCTGACGTTTAACCTAAGGTCGGACCATCATCCTCGAGTGCAGAAGAGAGCGAGGTATGTGCATTGGGAGACGTGCTCGAAGAAATCGAATATAGTTCCTGCGAGTGCTCTGATGAGGAGTATTTCACTTGCTCTGAAGGCCCTTAAAATCCAATGTTTAATACTTCTCCCTTGGTTACTCAAATAATCAAAATTTGCATGGCTCCCATACACGAGGACCCTGTTACCTCGCCAGCCTGCTTTTCTACCAGAAGCTAATAAAAGTGAAGATAGTCAAGAAGCACATACCTCGAGATGAATTTGAATGTTGATACCGTTGATCAACCTGCCGTTGGCTTGCAGTGCTTGGTCGGGACGATGATTCAGATCCCTGGAATCTAATCTGGACGCAAGGCTCATATCAAATCAGTAACATTATGATTGGCCTTACGTCTTCGCGTTGCTGTCGTCCAGGTTGTAGTCGCCGATATAGGTCTTGAGGTAGGGGTCATTGGAAGAAACAGGGGAATTTGCCTCGAATTTGGGTCTGCAGAATGAGTGGCCTGGAAAGAAAGTGCAACGGACTGGAAAGCACGAGATAAGAAAGAAGGGATCAGGAAAAGAAAACTAGCACCCACCCCTCGTAGGATGTTGTAGATGACGCTGCGGCGCACGGTTCCATCCTCGTTGAGGCACTCGCTATGGGGATTTCAGCAACAGAGAAGGAGGAACATAAGGTGAATGATTGTTTGAGGACATCCCGCACACACGTGAAGATAATTCAAGTTCAGTGTTGTATTGGCGCCACAGCTTCGAGACCAATGGGCCGATAATCCGGCTCTAATGAAGATATCAATGTTAGAAACCTTCGTCGAGATATGAAATTTCAATGCACCGATGCTGTAGATGACACATAAGGGACGAAAAGAGATGCCACTGTGAACAGAAATCCGGAATCCGAAGCGATCATGACATCCACCAACCGGTCGGCCTGGCATCTTCCAAGCTCAACTTGAGTTGGAACCCGCCTGCGAGAATTTGCTTTGTTGTAAAATGTCAACTTCGAGAGCAAGACGATCCAAAGAATGTCAGAGAGCGACCAAAAGGAGGTCTAACACCACAAAACACCCTCAACGCTCTCGTCAGCTCGGAAGAACTGTAGAGTGCTTACCCCGAGGGCGGTCATATATCTAGCCGAAGTCGCCGCGGATGATGTGTCCTTATGTCCTTCACACCATTCATCACCTCTTGGTCCCAGTCATCCAGATCTTCCGCTATGCACCACAGAGGGATGTCCCAACACGACGTCCGAGCCGAGGCCAACGAGAACGTTGAGAAGAGGGAGGAGCCTCTGGATCTAGATATCGGAGTGGCGAAGGACAACCCGGAAGAGGGCTCAAAGGTGGTGGGTCGATCATCGGGCCGGACAGCCGGACAGCCGGACAGCCGTCTCGTGCCAAGCGCCACATCGAAAAGCGTCGAACGAGGAACGGAGTCCTCTGCCTCTCGTCTACCCCACTACTTAAGCCAGCATGATGCTTTACATCCTCAGGCCTTCAAGCCTCAATTCCAATCCGACACATAAGATTATTTCAACAGCCCTGAGCCAATGGGCAATACAATACTACTCCACGTTGATCCCATAGCGGTCTACGAGAGATCCTTGAGGCAGAGACGATGCAGCAACAAGAAACATTTGAGGTTTAATTTATCTCTCAGGCTCTTTCTCTCTCTCTCTCTCTCTCTCTATGGACTAGACTTCGGGGCATTCTTCAAGAACCGGGAGCATAAAACGCAGATGAAAATTAACGCACCAGTTATGGCCCAAAAAGCACGGAACGGCGCATCAGAAACAGTACTGAGAACGGTCGAAATCTTGAGCAGCATCCTTTCCCCCACGAAACACGATAAAACTCACGACAGGTAGAGCAGGAACGATCGTCCTCCCCGAAATCGCAGACACAGGAGTGCACGATGCTCTCCGCCGCTCCCTACTCCTCTTCTCCGCCTCGCTCTCGCTCCATTTCTCCCTTCCCATTTCGTCCCTCCTCTCTCCTGCGGGGGCGAACTCTAAGTTGATCCTATGGCCTCTCCTTATCTCAGCAGATGTGAAAGTCGTATGCGACCCGTTTGTCCGAATCGAGCACGGCCTCGCGGAAACACGCTTGGAGGGCGGCGAGAAGGAAAGGGAGGCTCGTGAAGCAGGCTTTCCCTCTGGATTGGCATCTCCCGCTGTGATATTGACGGTGGAGGAACGCGAACGCGAACGCACGAGCGAGGAGATAGAGAATCGGCGTGAGTTGAAGTTGAATGAAGAGCGTGGCGCGAGGGGCGATCGCGCCTTCGTTTTCTTGTTTATGGGTGTGCCGGTGGCATCTGTCGGCTCGCGCGTCGTAGTGATACTCGTAGCACCACTCATGGCATTGGATGCTGTGACGGGTGTAGTTCTCGTCCGGGTCGTAGCAGAAGCCGAGGAAGCAGGTAGCTCCGACACGTTGACGATAGCATCCTCAGGGAATCGAACCGAGAAGCGCGCACGCGCACGCTTCAGCGCCGGTGTTGCACAGATCAATGGTCTGGAGGGCGCGATATCTAAAATTGCACCGATCGGTTAGCTGAAGGAGTAAGATAAAGAGTAGCTGTACCTTCTGCAGGCGCAGACGTGGATGCCGACGTCGAGATCGACACAGCCGGTGCCGAAATGGACGTTGTTGTCATCGACTCTGACCTGCGTCGGCGTGAGGATGGGCTAAAAGCAGACTTCACCCGTGCACTTATGGTGGCAAACTTAAAGTGCATTGTCCCAGGGGCGAAGCACGGGCCTCTGGAGTTGAGAGAAGTGGGGTTTGTCCTGGTAGGGCGTGCTGGGAGTGACTGTATGCGCGACACTGTCCTCCAAAAAAAAACGGCTTTTGGGTTCTCTGCGACGCGAGGAAAACGACGAGAAGAAAGGCGCACTAGCATCATGCGAAACGCATTCTAGTTATACCCCCCGTACCTAGGGCTCAATTTGGACCCTACTTCCCCCCAAACTTCACTCAGCTCCTCGATCAAGGAATCCGAAATCTGAGTAAGAACGAGGTCGGCGGGAAAAGGGAACCTTCGAACTACGTAGATGTAGCATTTTGATTCTATTGATGGGGTAGAAACCTGTCGTCAGTGTCCTTGAAGCTTCGTTCAGTATAAGGAGCAGAAGACATGCTGAGTTAACTAGTCTCGATTCCCACCTAGTCGCGGGTCCGAGGGCCCAGAGAAGTTCAGCGCCCGAGTAGGGGTGGTAACCGGTAACCATTACCCCGATCCAACTCCGGGCTCACGGGGCCAGATAAACGAATCTACAACCCCGTTCCGTAGTGGGTAGAACCGAAGACCGAAACTTGAAGCTTGAAACGCTCATGGATCAGAGACAGGGACGAGGGGATCGAACGGTTCCGAGTCGCCTGGTGTCCTCCTAGCCATGCTGTCACATGAGAACATCGAGAATCGATGATCGTTCCACTGCCCAGACGCCACTCCATGCTGTGTGCATGAGAACAGACAGGGAAATAAGGGGAAAATCGGACGGGGCAAGCAGTTCAGAAGCATCTAGTGCGACTTCGTGAGCAGGGTATGAGACACGTTAGGATGCGAATCAGGAGTCCAGGCGTCCCGTGGCGTTCTACCACTGTATATCCTATTCAGAAAGGACATCTCTGGCTCCGACGACCTGTGGGGCCACGATTTAAGCCACTCCGAGCGTTGCCAGCCAGATCCACGAGGCGGGCGGAGGGAAGTGATACATGTGGATGAAAGCAATAGAAATGCCGACTAGGGGACCTAGAGTCTACATATGTTCAATCAACAGAACGCAGAGGGGGCTTCGAGCGGTCGGTGTCGTGTAGAAGGAGATGGTGGAAGTAAGTAAGAGGGAAAGAATCAGTCACCGGTCGCCGGTGTTCGCAGAATCCCGGACCCGAGTGTTACTATTTTTTGGTTAATTACGTAACTTTCTTTCTTTTAGAGCTCAAGCGCTCAACCTCTGGCACAACTCCGAGTCCGGCAGTTAGTTTTCCTCGATGACCTCGCATTCTCGACATGGTTCTCCTCTTGTCATGCTACCTTCAATAAGCTAGCTTGAATATCATCCAGCGATAATGACAAGAACCTGAAAGCTGTGAAGCCCTGACACGAGCTGGACACTTCAGCCTGTCTGGATCGTGTCAACACTGCCCCTGATACATACCAATCCGACGTCCGTGTTCCTTATTCTTCCCCAACAACGTCGATGGCGAACATATTCTGCGGAAGTCAAGATGTTATGGTGCAAAACTCGACGTTCAACGTCACTTCAACTACATATCATACAGCCGGAACCAGAGGTGCGTCGAACGAAGAATGTCATGAGACCTTCACCTTGCTGACCCAGTACCCACAGGGTTCGACGTACTTGTGAAGGCCGTCTCCCAGAACGCCTTCCACAACTCAGACGATCGCCCTGACCCTCCGAAGTGCCATGAAAACACCAGAGTCGCCGTCATCAACAAGATCATGGATTGGGTCACGGGAAAGATTGACGCGGACGCCTTCTTGCTCTGGCTCTACGGCCCTGCTGGGGCAGGCAAATCAGCCATCGCACGCACGATAGCTGAACTGTGCGAGAAGCACAATCTCCTGCTCGCCAGCTTCTTTTTCTTTCGCTCAGATTCCGGGCGCAACACAGTGAAACCCTTGGTCGCCAGTATCGCATATCGTGTCGCTTGTGTGGTCCCTGCTGCTCGAGTGCAAATTGACAGCATCATCGGCGTAGATCCCCTCATCCTATCCTACTCCGTCGAGGCACAGCTCAAAAAGCTCGTCCTCGACCCACTCCGGATACTTTCAGATCAAGGCTATTTCTCTGAGACGCCTCTCCCTCCATTAATCGTCGTCGACGGCCTAGACGAATGCCTCGATCGAGACGCCCAATCACACTTGATCCAAGTCCTTTCTTCGTCGATGGCAGAGCACCGGCTTCCACTCAAAATCCTGGTCGCGAGTCGTCCGGAATCGCACATCAAATTGGCCTTTTCACTAGCAAGCGAGCAGGGTGCTATATCCCATCTCGAACTCAACGACGACTTCCATCCCGACGACGACATTCGTCGATTTCTCACCGACAAATTCTACGAGGTTCAGAGATCCCATCCATTTCGCTCGCAGATCCCATCCTCATGGCCGAGCGAAGAGCAGACAAAAACACTCATGCGCAAGGCCTCCGGACAGTTCATATATGCGTCACTTGTCGTGCGCTTCGTCAATTTTGCACGCGATTCACCAACCCGAAGCTTGGACATCATTCTCAATCTCCGACCACCGCCAGTCCATCGCGACCTTCCGTTTGCCGAACTCGATGCCTTGTACGCGTTCATTCTGGCTGGAACAGCAGATGTCGACTTAGCATTAAAGATACTCGGTCTCCACTTCGCCCTCGCAGAAGATATGCAGTATATGGAAGAGATGGATGTCCAAGAAATTGAGGTGATCGAAGCCTTGCTTGACCTAGAGGATGGGGACGTGCGCATCGCTCTTAGCGATCTCAGCCCCCTTCTGGAGGTTGCAGAATTCTATGACGAGGGGAATCCTTATCAAATTACCTTTCATCATTCCTCGTTTCCAGATTTCTTATTTGATCATGAGCGATCTAAGGAGTATCATATCGACATGAAGAACATGCATGCGGTCATTTTCCAGTCGCTCTTGCGAGCATTTAGATTACATGGTGAGTAGCACTGGCCTGCGTGGCTTCGGAATCGTACAGCCTCCATCATCACTACCCGTATGCTAAATTTTCGCCAATTATACAGAACCCCTCAAGTTTCGAAGATCCAAAGTTGAATGTATAGACCTCACGATGCATATGAGACAATTGTCCCCTCCTCAGCTCGTTGATCTTCACGATGACCTTGAATGCTTTTCGTTCGGCGCCTATCTCGAGCACTTCACGGCGGTACTGCAATTCTTCCCTCGTCCAGACCCTATAGGCAGAGGCGAGCTCATGGATGGTCGATCAAAGGCATTCTTCCATGTCCTTGTAGAATTGGTGAGTGGCATCTCGCCTCACAGTGCTGTGAAATCACCTAGAGTATACTGATTATGTCACTCAGAGACAGGACGAGCAGTATCGCCGTCATTCTGACCTTTATCTCTCCTACGTGACATCTTGCATCGAAAGCCGCTCCCATCCAGAATCATTCCACGCCCTGAGTACGGTGTGGTTGGTGCTACAGAGTCCCTTGAGGTCCTATGTCGAGAACGGCACGGAGCCGAACCTTCTTCCCAACGGAGTGAACTTTTCTTCCGTCTGGGAGAAACTATGTACCTCGCTTTTCGACATCAAGAGGGTAGACTGTGAATGGGACCTTGATCACTGGCGATTGCTGCGACCTCCCACAGATTATAACGACGCGCGAGCAGATATAGAGCCCTTGGCGGGGATATATGGCGACATCACTGAAACGCTGCGACTACTTCCGGACTCTGTCTTGTCCTATCGACTCGTTCGACTTGCGATTTCATGCGTCGAATACCTTCGTTGGATGGGAACTACCAGTGTAGGACAACGTACAAATTACCTTCGTATTTGGGCAGAAAAATCGAAGCGGGCACCCTGGACCTGTAGATCACGAAAGCGACTTACGTTCGTCGGACGCCAGAAGAGGATTACATGGCACAAAGTCCCTTGGGAACGATTTACAGCTGGGTGGGGCTACTCCTGCTCACAGAGCCTCCTCCAAGCACACGAGTCGCTATATTCGAAGACGGCCAAATCGAAATTATTCTACTGGAAGGCTTACCGACAGTATATGTGGACTCTCGACCTCCTCCGCCGTACTCTTCACGTTGCAGGGGGATCAGACGACTTGGTAGCCGCGCTCTCGAAGCCGTTCATCCAATGGCCAGCCCCAATACTTTTCCCCCGCCGCGTCAGACGCGTCAGACAGTCCATGGAAGCTTATTTTAATAGGGTAAGTCAAGGTTGCTACGAGGAAAATTGAGGCTGTCTGCTAATCCAATTGCCTTTTGAAAGGTTTGCTCGGCATCCTTCCCAACCGATGCAGACGCGTCTGAAGGAGAAAGTATTGCTAACGAAGATGGATATAGGCCCTGTGGGTCTTCGGACGACGGCGAATATTTCAGTTGCTCCGAGTCGTAATCCCGACGTGCGCCACAAACCTGATCTATGTCGTTTGTCCTTGTCCTGGTTATTGCATTTGGGCACTCGTGACAGTGGCGCTGTGCTCAGCCCCTGTCGCGCATCTTGCACTGCGCCGCCCAATACATCGCCTGCTATCAGACGACCAAGAGGTAGCGTTAAATTTCAGAGATTTTTGTCACGCTAGGCTTCGTAGCTCTATCTCTTGCCACATTCTTTCATGATACATACTTATCTTTCTGCCCCATACCGCTCGGTTTTAGACCTCTCGCGACGTGGAACATGACTGAAAAAGAGCTAGCGCTGGTGTAATTACAGCGATTCAGGGCAGGATAAATACTCCTCGTCCGATAACTCTTCAAAATGATCCTCAGCTTCTTTGTAGGGCAAATTGGCCTCCGTAGTGCTGTCCTCGGGGCTTTCGGCTCGTGGACCAAACTTCACAGATGAGTCAGCCCGATGGTGCAAGGAAAGTCGAATATTAAGGATGCGCGGCACATACCTGCTCCATATAAGTGGCAATCGCTCTCTTGACGCTTCTTACGCGTCGCGGAAAGAATACAGAAAGCGGCCAGAGTTCGATTGGGGTTGAGAGGGCGATCGTGAGTTCGTCCGACTTGCCACCTTTACGCAGAGCCCCGTCGAGGATTTCGAGGGTCCACAGATACATTGTACGTATCCCCCTAGGTCGCGTGTGGCGTGTTTTGAAGCATAGAATTTCCTGTGCTCGGTAAAGGCCTTGATGTTGCGACGACCTTTCTGTTAAACCCCACCGTAACCTGTCTTGAAGAGGCGGTAAGGGCATAGCAGCTTGCAACCGCCGTCTCCATAACCATGGCAAGTGTCTAGACTTTTTGACGAAGACCCTAAGTCGGTGTAGGGTTTGCCGCGTTTTGCTTCCAGAGAAACGGCGATGCAAATATTGTATACACGCAATTGCGACACGCGCGAGCCGCTGGGATATTATGCGGTCCGGTGCAAGTTGGCTCATAAATGCTGTAAGTCCTCCGTGTATGAAATTAACGAGGGCTATACTCCCAGTATCCCTCGTGAATAGGCATGGGCAATGCAAGATTCTGTAATAAACGTCTTCCCAATTGAGGTCGGAGGGTTTAAAGCCGAAAAGGGAGACGCATAGCTTCTTCCATTGACGTTCCGGAGTGTCGAAATCAAGTATTGAGGATTGAAGAAAGGACGAAGAGCGTCCTCTTGGGTCCATATAACAGGCAAACCACACGGTGCTCAAGAGGTGAAATTTCTCGGGACAGGGACGGCCTTCAAACCATGAAATTACGTGGTTTATAAAGAGCTCTGACTGGCGGTGATAGAGATCGGGTCTGTTCTAGACACAACACTTAGCAAGGGACTGTTCGAGCAGGAGTGGACTCACGTTGTCTTTCAGATATTTCAGGAAAGAAAACGGTATTTCCATCCAGCGCCAGAGGGCCGTTTCCGAGGTGCCAATCGAACTAGCAACTGCATGTGAATATAATGCGAAGGGAAATTCTTCGAGGTCGTGCTCGAGTTCAGCTGAGGCATATGAGGACACCAGATGGCTGTACAGTCTAATGAACACCAAAGCTTTCATGGTTCGGTGGTCCAAAATTGTTGCTATACAATTCGTGCTGAGCAGACATGCGGTGATAAATCTCACCCAAGCAATTACCACTCACCGACACTGCTTCTGCTAAAAGTTTGCAGGACCCATTGGGCGATGGCTGTATGACTTTTACGGACATCAATATAGTATTCTTTTGACCGTTGAGGGCTGAGAAGGAAATCTACAAAGGAACGGTGGTGGAATTTGACCCAGTTACCACATTCGAGAATCGAACCGAGATCCGTGAGGGCGACGTTCAGTTCCCCACCCTCTAAGCCTAACATATACTCTATGGCTTCAACATGATACAGACCTGACCGCGGTTGGAGGGCAATGTGGACCCCAAGAATCTGCAGAGCCAAGGGTGGATTCTCGACTCGAGAAAGGAGTAACCTGTAGAGGTTGTCGAGTTCTGCAAAAGGAAGATCGCGATTGGTGGGTAGACGAAGGTCGAGGAGAATCTCGAGGCGCTGAGTGGGTAAATGGCGAGGAGAGTCGACAAAGCGCATTGCAATTGATGCATATATAAATTGACCAGAGGCCTTCTGGATTAAGCTTTCTAGTTCCCATTTTTTGGGCCAGCTGGAAGGAATTCGCGAGCGAAAGGGGTGAGAACTCCTGATCTCTCGAAACCTGTCTTCCAGAAAGTGGCGTATATCATCGTCCGGGTGAAAGTCATCGTTAAGCTCGAGATCGGAAATAGGCGAAATTGCCGCAAAAACGGGTTTGATATGTGCTTCGGGACGGCTGGCGATCAGGAATTTGAGAGGGAGTTGGTAACGAGACATTAAGGAGAAGACAAGTCGGATAAGCGCTGTCTGCGCGCCTTCATCCAGGCACTCGTCGAGGCCATCAATAACGATCAAAGGAGGCAATGTATCTTGTGAGAAATGGCCCTGCTCCGACAGTACTCGAAGGGGTTCAAAGATGAGTTTGATGAACTGTTCTTCAAGACGTTCACATGAATATGAGAGGATAAGAGGATGTGCTTCCACGACGGCTTCGATGTGGGCCCGGGCGGCGGGAATAGCCAAGGTGATTTGATATGCGATGGTGGCTGCCAGCGGGTCCATGGTGTTGCGCCGTGAATCTGTGCGAAAGAACAAGAAACTGGCAAGGAGAAGGTTTTGCGCTGCGCATAGTTCGGCCACGGTACGGGCGATGGCGGACTTTCCTGCACCTGCGGGCCCGTAGAGCCAGAGAATGAAGGTGTCTATGTCAATCTTTCCCGTCACCCAGTCTATTATCTTCTTGATTACCGCCACCCTGGTGTTCTCGTGGCATTTTGGGGGGTCGGGACGGTCGTCTGAGTTGTGGAAGGCATTGGGAGAGACAGCGTTTGTGAGGATGTCGAAGCCTTTGCATGAGTCAGTTTCCGCCATCAAGCAGAAAGATGTCCCCTCAAGCTCACCTTTGGATCCAGCAACCTGATGCGCGTTAACAGTGAAGATCGAGTCGCTGATCGTGGTGCCATGGCTTCCTGCGAAAAGATGAGCTATTCCGTTGGGAGCTGGGAGGACTCGGAGTTGAGATGGTGGTCGTGATTCCAATGCTGAACGTTCATTTGAACTTCCCACTGTCCAGCCTAGCCTTGAAAGCACGTGTGGTGACCGTTTTCAGTATCCAGACCCAAGTTCCCGACATCAACAGTTACACTGAGTAGTGACACTGACAGAACATGATACATGACGGCGCATCGCCTCGATTCTTCTGCAATTCTCGTACTGAATTTCACGCGCAATCTCCATCAGAGGGCTTTTATAGTGAAGTGAGAAAAATCCACCAGCTTCCTAGGCCTTTATAACGACGGCTCTCGTGAATTGGGTTTGAAGGTGGTTTGAAGAGAGGAAAAGGCTGGAAAAGGGCGCGAGTCACCAGTTTTGAAATTTGACGGACATTGGACAAGATAACCCGGCCCGGAAGTTCTTTTCCACGCCTTGGAGAGTTCTCTTTCGCTAACTTGTGTTCGACCCTGTACTGTACCCACAACCTCAACTCCGGGTCAGACTCGACTGTTTGTACTCTACCCTTTCCACGACCAGCACTCCGAGTCCTCAGCGGCCACATCCTATTATCTTGCAAGGAAATGTGATGAACGTGGACGAGGGTTCCTTCAGAGTTCATCTGAACGACAGCAGATGTTCTCGCAATATTCGCAGTGTTGGACCTGATTATTGTTCTGTCTCTCTATATGATCCCAGGTGAATGCTGCACGAAAGTGTGGATGGGTGAGCAAAAGCGTCGCAGCTCACTGGACTCCTTGTGTCCGGATAGCAGATGTTCACGAAAAGGCCAGGGGTAACCTCTGCAAGTGGTCCGTCGGCCATCCCTCAGGATCATTGTATGACGTGGGGTTGCGGTTTGGCGGCTTTCCTGAATGTAGACTCCAATCGGTCAACCGCATAAAAGACCTAGCTTTCGAATCAGCCAGTCAGCCTTCAACCCCTACACGCCTATAAAATGGTTGCGGACGATTTGTCGTCATCGATAACACCCATTTTCATCAAGCCTTCAGCATGGGAAGACCTAGATCCCCTCGTACCTACCAGCCTCAAGCCAAAACCGCCCATATCGCTCGGGTAATCCAACATGAACTGGTCCCCTACAAGCAAGTGGCTGCCTACCAGCGTCGCGTTCTCAGCCAAATTGCTCAGCCCAACAACCCTGTCAACCCCAACAACGCCCACAACGTGAACAAGTTCGACGTGTGTTCGGCCAGGCTGAACGCGGAAGGGAGGTGTCTAGACGGTCCTTTCTTCGGAGGGTGTGGTGTTAGTGGTGTTGGAGGTGAGTGAAGGCGTGCTTCTTCGATCGTAATGCTTATTCATCCCCGCCTTTTGCTAGCCCATGTCCCAGCACCGGTGTTCCCTCTGTTGTCTCCTCTCGCTCCGCCCTTTTTGAGCAGCATCCTGGCGGAAGTGCAAGTCTTGGATCCCTTCAAGATGCCTCGGGCTGGACTCGATACCATCAGGAACGACGCCATGGATGTCGACGCTGAAGAGGATGAAGAAATGAACGTGGATGACCCAAACACGATGGACACCAGCCTCGACCCTTGGTCAATGGATTCGCCCGCCATACTTCCTATTCCACCTCCACCACCTCCTGCACTTGCGCAACCCCCCGCGGACAAGAACTTCTTCGGCGGCCCACCACTCCAGAATTTGCAGCCCTTTAAGCTCTCTACGCCTCAGCACATCGAACGCCGTTACGAGATCAATGTCACACCCTCGCCTAACGAGATCGACACTGCCAACGACGTGGAAGCCTCCGTTCTGACGAAGCGACACTATGAAGCCGCCTACGCTCGTATCGAGCAAGAGTTGGCCGCCTCCGCTGTCCTGTCGGAGGAGCTTCCTCATCCCTGGCTCGTACCTCTTCCTGAGTCTCCCTCACCTGAAAGAGAGCCTGCGTTCGTCGCTGGAGGCAATGAAGGCTTGTCCTTGGTCCATGATAGCTGTCCTGAAGCCTCAGATCCTAATCTTATTCCACCGGCCGTTGGTACGCATGCGTCCTTCCAATCTCGCCTGACACACTTTTTAACCTACTGTCAGGTCTCGTCACGCAGACGACCGCCGACGTTACCCCTACACCTCCTATGTGTGCGACTATCGGTACGAGCTTCCCTTTTGTTCTTAACCCCCGTCTTGCTAACTTACCCATAGAACTTCAACACGATACTACTCCAACTATACCAACCACTCCAGATCTCTCGTCAGCACCTCCGATCGTTGACGAAGGTCCATCTCTCTCCGACGGTTGCTCATCGGCATCAGCGGAGCTCGCGACCCCATCAAAAGCTGTAGACGACGCAAATAATGTCGATCCTTCTCAATCCTCCCAAGTCTCCGTAGACCCACCTTACGTATCTCTATGCGGTCCTCGAAGCCTACAAGAACTAGTCGAATCCGTTGACCAACTTGATCTGTCCATCGCACCTGTAATTCAACTCCCATCGCCCACCATCTCGACCCCTTCATCGCATTCTCGCTTCTCTTATCCATCCTCCGTCTTGGACGACAGTCTTCCAACGCCTGATGCGCATATACTCATCGAACTCGACTCCTCGTCTGCCCATGAACTTCCCTCCTTCGCCCCCCAGGACCTCTTCCCAGAGATCGGCGGCTTCAACCCCATGCACTCGACGCCGGCTAGATTCCTCGGCTTTGGACAACACGAGATATGGGACGAGCTTGCGTCGCTTGAGAATGCCTTCTCTACGATTGTATGCGCGCAGGAGACACCAAGCCCGGTTTCGGAGGCGATATTTTCGCGGGTATATGCGTCGAAGGAAGAGGGGGCTTGCGATGTTTTGGGGTCGCAGCGGGTGGTGTTGTCTGGAGTGCCTTGCATCCTCGATTCGTCGGTGGATCATTCTGATCTCTTTCTTGCGGAAGGCACCAGGGCATTACGCGACCGTTCTGAGAGTGGTGGCGGTCCTTGTGACGAAAGCTCTCCTGCGATGAAGCCTCGCACTCCAGCGTTGGTCAAAGCTTCCGAGAGAAAGAGAAAGGCGTCAGTATCGATCCAGGCCCACAGCAACACGAAGAAGGCACATAAGTCGAGAGCGATTTCCGCGAACCGGCGAGAACGGAGAACGATGGCCAGTGTCGGTGTTCAGACGGAGTCCGGCGGACGACCTTCGATCCAGGCCGACAAACTTGTGAAGGAGAGGATCCTGGTCCCAAGCAAGCTTAATACGACTCTCGTTGAAGTCAAACCCTTGAAGGAGGATGATGAGAGCATGAGCAGCGAGTCGGTCCCTACTATCGAATTTATCGCTGAAGAATGCCACGAAGTTAACAAGCCAGCTGTACCCAAGTTTCCAGCGCAACACTGGTCTAGGAATGCTGGACCATTACCTACCAATGGCACGTCTTCCTTTGGCAGTACGTTCTTCAGCATCCTCGTTGTCTTTCTATCTAATATCTCCTCCCAGGTCCTCTTTCTGACCTCCGCTTGAGCCCGTATCGCTACACTCCTTCGTCAGGCACCAAATATCAATTCCCATACAGTGCCCTCATACGCGAAGACGACTTGCATGCGTCTCCAACCAATGTCTTTTCTTCCAACTCGGCCGTTGGTCAGACCGCGGCAGCGAAGACGAAATTAATCTCAGCTACACCGTCAGCGAGTGATACCCCTCGTCGTCGTCACAGCTCAGCATCGCCACAAGTTCCCAGTCGACGCACATCCCAGTCGATCTCTCGTCCATATTCACGACCCCCCGCGCAGAAATCCGTTGAGAAGGACCCTGCTGTTGCCGAGATTGTCGGTAAAGTGAAGACATTTCCTGGCGCCTTCCCTGGTCTCGACTCTGACGGCGAGTCTTCAACATCTCTTGAAGAGGTACCTGCTATGTCTCGTCCCGCATCTTTTCTTTCAAGGTTGACGGAGCTCGTCTTTGGATGGTAAACGTCCTTCCGACGTCTGCATTCATTGACTGTGTCTGCGTCGCCCTCCCATCCCGTACGTCCTTGGATGAGTCATAGTGTGCTCGTCGGCTGATCCTCGTCTCTTATCACAGCTAATTCATTGATCTTCGCCTCACACACATCATCGTATCGATGATCGACCCTCTCAGCACAACGACGCCATTGGTATGCGATAGATATATTTCGTAGGCCTATATGCATCTTCCAGGTAAGCATGTCGTTTATGAAACGTGCATAGAACCTGACCAGGGCAATTGCTAGATCGTCTGGTCAATTCGCTGTCATTCCTTTGTGGCACGGTTCTCGACGTGGCCATGTATTGACTGACGCTACATCAAGGATCCTGGTGGGGGTGCCATCTCAATTCCGTCGTCGGCTGGTTCGGCGACCCGAAATTTCGAGGCTCCAATGACTTGGGCTTTCTGCCATATTCTCGGCATCCACTTAGATCTTGGACTATCTCGGCGGACAGTTGGAACGAAAACATCTGTGTTGTATTCAACAAATCTTCATTCTTTATCGCTTACATACGATGCACAGCCTACCATCTTGGACGACTGCACTATGGCGAACAATATCTATTTCAACGTACAACAATCTCAAATTGCTCAGCTTCGTCGACGACGACGACTCTGGAACGCCATGTAAACATTTTCTGCACGCCTCTGGGACTTGACCCCTACGCACCCTCCTGCTTCGATGGACACTCTTGTTTGATCTGTCAGCCTTTTAGACCTCCCTAGCTGCTATCCGTCTATTCTGAAATCGCCTTGGTGCTTCTCATCTCTGCACTGCCTTGGATAAACCGACCCATCGAGCCTTCTCTGGGTTCACCTACCTTCTCAGCCTCCAAGCCAACCTATGCATCACCATCTTCTACGTCTCTCTCGACTCTTATGGGCCAGCCCTCTTCTCCACGTTTGAGTCGGTGCGCAATACATAACCCGCTTCGGTCGATATCGCATATACTGCTGAGCGGAAGAAAAAAAAGCGAGTTGATCTATCCTTCCTGTTACCTTTCTATCAATACCTACGCGCTCTTGTTCGCTGGGCACGATGCCAGTGGACGGTCGAGCTTCAAAGTTCTCGGTAATTTAGAGTCATGTAATTTATCTAAACATTTCACTTTGTAATTTCATGTCGAGCCGTCGACTCTTATTCAATAACACTGGCGTTGAGCAAATCATTCTCCGACTAGAGGATTACCCGTGCTCTGCACGGGGGGCGGGTCGGGGTCGGGAATTCTAAGCTGAGAGAATACTTACTCAATATGTGCATGATTTATTTCATTCAAATTTCACTCAAGGCCACTCGCCTTCGCCCCTCCGTCGCGCGGGAGCGCTCCGTCGTGCCGAGCGACTTCCGGCGGGCTCAAATCGTACCGGCATCGTAGTTATTCATGGATTTTCCCCATGTAGGAGAAGAAAATAAATGGCACAAATTATAATGTGGCCAGTCTGTGTGATGTCCTCATGTTAGGCTCGAAATACATGCTGTAAAGGAAGGTGAAGGCGCCCCGAGGAAAGGGTGTTGACTCTGTCTACCTGATTCCGGTGCTGACCAACCAACACTCAAACGGGCCCTGCTAAATGTTTTCGGCTTTATCTTCAAGTAACTGGAAGTTTGAGAATTGCTGGGAGGTAAATCCACCTACTCAAATTTGTTGTTCGAGCACTCCTTTTTCTTTGCAATATAAAAGCTCTATATTTTGTGCAATTCCATCCAGTTCTTGCCTCACCCTGCCCGCTCAAGGTTCTCGTCGGCGTCTCTCATACTTGTCGCCTCCTTCTCTTGTCTCTCACCCCCATTTTGCCCATCGTTCAGAGGTGCCATTGCCTCGTCTATTGACGCTTAGCGCCCACATGGTCATTGATGCACGTTGATGAGCCGGCCCACTCCCTGACCACGGTAAATCCCTTTTTCGACTTTCGTCATCGCGTTCCCGTGCTCCCCTCGATCCCCGACACCTTTCCCACCGAGCCATATGATTCCTCAGCAAGTGCATCCCGTGACCGGCACTGCCTCTTTCCCCGTCTTTCCCGTTGGATTTCATCGAGACGCTCAGCGCGCCACCCTTTCCCTGTTAAGTAGCCTTTTTCTCCCATCAACGCTCTCACCGTCTCTCCCCTATTATTCAGAGATCTCTCTTGCCGGCCTCTCTTTCCTTCGTAGATATAAATTATGTCTACACATACACACAAAACAGAAAATTTAGTTCATTTTTCATCTCTCACTGCCCTCGTTCCTCGCCCTCTCGCTCGTAATTCGTAGGCGCCGTAGCCTCATTTCTCACGTTCGTGTTCTTAGCGCCCATGTCCGTCACCCAGCTTCGAGTCGCGCGCGCCGTGGTTAGAGCCGCACAACCTCGGAACCTGTCCTTAAACCTTAGAGCCACTCATTGCGGTGTTTTGGGTGTATTAGTCTTTCTCATCCTCCATTTTCGAGTTGCGCGAGCTCTGGTTAGAGCCGCACAACCGCGGAACCCATCCTCATATCAGAGCCCAATGAGCATTAAAATGGAAGGGCTGAATGTTTACCTTGCTCCTTATCTAATCAGGCAAGGTATTTTGTTAGGCTCAACTACGACAAATTTAAAGGCCGACAAAAGTTGACTCCGTCAACTTTTGAATTTGTCCACCAGGAAAGGGATACTGTTTTAGTATTTAGATGGGGTTGTACATTGTATATACATGAAACAGTTGCCAGCCGAAAACACTACACCTCTTGCCACGACACGTCCAGAATATCCGGTGTTTACTGCCCATTCCAGACGGCTACAGAAAGTCGTTTCAACAAGGCCCCAGCAAGAAAAAAAAATCATTTCAAACGTACCTGGTCCAGGAACAGTGTATGTGGTCGTGGTCTGGGCAGCTTGTGAGTAGATGTCGACTCTAACGCCGGGGTCGTTGGCGCCATATCCGCCAGGGAAGCTGACAAGGTAGTTGGCAGGGGGTGTCTTTCCTCCACCGCCAGTAACGATCAGTTGACCGCACTCGGGGTAGAATTGAGGAGTGTTGGCTTGGTGGAGGGCGAGGAGTTCGTGCTATTTGTTTGAGGAGAATGTAAGGCGACAATATCTTCGAGGGGAAAGATAATATGTACACGGATGAGGTACTCGCCAGCTGCGAGGGAAGCCGGAATGGTGGCGGTGTACGAAAGAGTGTCCATGACTTCACCCGTTCCCCACCTACCGTTGCTGTGATAGCAGGCAGGGAACATGAGCATAGGCCTTCGCCTCTAATCATCTTTCAGAACTCACGGCAGGTTTCCGGAAATCAAACCCGTTTCAGCGATCTTGAACCACTTCAGGCTGTTGCTGTTGTTCGACGTGCAGGCGCCATTGCACTTCGCCATGTAAACCATGACAGGACCTTGAGCATGGGTCCATTGCCTATCCACGTTCCGCACCATTAGCCTGGCTCGCTACTGCGAAGAGAAGAAGGCACTTACGACCACTTCGCAGTGATAGCAGTACCAGCAGCAACAGTCGCGGACAGTTGGCCTGCGCTGGCTTGGCCGTTGTTGTTGCAGCTGAAACTCTGGGGGCAGGTTATTAAGTTATTTAGTAGACGCAAAGAATCAGAAGGATAACTTACGCCAGCAGACACCGATAGGATTCTAGGTTTGAAACATGATAATCAGGACTCGAACTCGCATGGACATTGAAGCAGGATATACTAACGGGTCGTAGGAACCTAGAGAATGGTGTTGAGTCAATACACTCCCCACGACGTCAGCTGGGTTAAACTCACTGTACGGGCGGCCAATGGACCTCTGGCCACTAGCGGAGTTGTATGGCTGCCATCCGGGGTAGGTGGTGCCTATGAACGACCCTCAAGATCCCTCACTGACGACAGTCAGACCCCATACGCACCTCCAATAATGTAGGAGGTCACACCACCGTGCGCGACAGCCTGCGAGACGAGGAAAGAAGCAAGGACAGCGAGCGAAGCGAACATTTTCGATAAGAGCAACGGAGTCCTTTGCTGAAGCTTCGTTCCTGAGCGACCTTTATACCAGCACTCAAGAATGAATTGGACAAATGCCCCGCATGACGACTACGGGGCTATTCATCGGAAGCTCGCAGGACCGTCTGAGTGTTCCGAGGTTTCTTGAAATGAGCGATGGCGTAAGCCAGACACACTATAAAATGCCCAAGAACCACCAGCGACGAGATCCGGAGTGGGGGCTTTCGCGCTGCATGTGATGCACCCCACAAATCCTAGCGAGAGGAAGCTCAGGTTGGAAGGCAACTGGACAATTTTCGCCGGATATTTTCAGAGAAGAATGTGTGATCGTGTGATGGTCCCTTCGACCGAGTTGGTTCCGCGCTATTCATAGCACTGGATAGTGCCAAGTCCGTTTATGTATCGGAGAAGCCTTGGGTTGATATCTTTGAAAACGAATTGAGGGAGATATTCAACGCATAAATAGCGCATGATGCCTCGGATGAACCTGTTGATCGAGGCTCCATTCGGCTAGAACTGACAGGAACTGCAGAACCTCGGATTTGTCATCCAGAGCTTGTTTTGCGCCGGAACATCTTGGTAGATTGCTCTTTATTGCGAGGGTACGTCTAAGAGAACGACACAATACATTGACCGGGTGTACGGGCAATGTCGACTCCAGGACGTTGCAAAGCGTCACTGGGGTTGATGAAAGGGTGTCTTTCTAGTTCTTCCGCTGCAATGAGCCACCGACGTAGAATCCTGATTGCACCGTCACTCACAATATGTGGAGTCCTTCTTTAACGATTACAACCCCACCCAATCATGAAGTCTTCTTCGCCCTCTGTCCAAAAATGCCGGTCCCCACTCGTACAATATCGCCCCCAGCTTTCAGAGCTGCTTCGAAGTCGCTCGACATCCCCATGCTCAGTATAAGGCGGCCTGAGAAATTCCCCCATTTCTTGTCGCCTTTTGGGAAAGCGCCTTTCAGATGACTCGCTAAAATACCTCGTGTTTCCTTCAGTCTTTCGAAGTCGGTATTTTTCTCGGTTTCGGTAGCGGTCAGTGACAGCTCCAGTGCACCGATGGTCATGAGGCCTTCCAGGCGAAGTTTTGGACATTCCTGGATGACGTGATTGGCCAATAGGACGAGATCCGACTCTGCCAGATTCGAATCCGAGGTGAGTGGTGAGAGTCCTGATTTAGAATCCTCGCCCGACGTATTGACCTGGATAAGGACTCTCAGAGGAGACACGCGATCTCCAGGGAGAGCTTTGTTCAGGGAAGTGGCAGCCTTAATAGACCCTAATGTTTGGACGCTGAATAGATTAGGGATCGCTGCGATGTCAGAAAAGAGACAGTTAATGCAATGAGCTCATGTGAGCCACACTGACACGTACAAGCGAGAATTTTGGCTTTATTAGACTGCAAAGTGCCAATGAAATGCCAACGAATATCCGTGGGCAGCTATGAAGCATAAATACCAACCGCAAATGAGGAAGATGGTTGACGTACGACGCGTGCTTTCTCCTCCAGCTCCTGCACGTAGTTCTCCCCGAAATCCAACTGTCCATCTCGATAACAAGCCAGAATGTCGGACGCAGGCTTATATTTTGAGACTGCCACAAGAGTGGGCGAGCTCCCCGGTAAAGAGGCCGCCTTGACGCGTTCTCTGATCTCTTCTAGTGATTCCTTGAGTTCCGCAGTCCGCTCTGGGGAAGGTATTTCGAGTGGGGCCGCTTCAGTCATTCTCTTGGTCGAATAAGGAACCCTCTTATGACGTCTACAGATTATTTTGCGTATAATCGAGCCTTTGTATGGCGAGCCAGAGGTTATTGAAGGTCGGAGGAAACAAGAAGGAAAGTTCATCGACAGGCTCGTCTCGACAGGTGACGATGAGATGGAGGCCCGGAAGTTGCCGAATCTTTCATGTTATCAGATTAGATTAGACAATCTCTTGAACTGAAAGGAGGGACAAGTGCGACTCCATAAACAGCAGCAACCTTGTTCTCGTGATTACAAGGCTCAGAAGGTACTCCAACATCGTTTACCATGGCCGAATTCTTCCCCTCTCTTCCTCACATTGAGAACTGCCAGAAGCGCATACGAGCCTACGTCAGCGGTGTTGGCATAGTGGACACAAAGAAGGCGAAGCTAGTGTAGGTATCTTCGAGTGATCAGACTCGTCAACGCACCGGCTTATCTACGTTGCACAACATATCGCTGTGCATTGACGGAATATCAGGTAGGTGTCCCAACCGTCCACACGCGCATTACTCTTATCGTAGATCAGTTGGCTAGATCGCTACTATCCGCATTACTATTTCATACGAGAGGACCTGCCAGTGCACTGGTATCTCCACATTGCAAGCAGCAACGATGACGAAGAGGTGTATCATATCGGGGCAGGAGGGATGAACGACCGAGTCCTCAACTCCGTCAAGGTCCATTTGACCGGCCCGTTGAAAGGACTCGGAACTATCCGATGGAACGCGATGGACGCCTGGTTCGAAGAGGATGAACAGATATTTATCCATCCGAAGGATCCGTACAAGGTGCGCCGGGGTCCGTCTCCAATGCCATTATCTGTGATTATCTATCCTACACTTTAGCGCATCGACGTACTCCAATCCTCGAGGCACGTTCGCATTGAGGTCGGCGGCCTCGAGGTAGCTGATACTCGATCACCACGTTTATTATTCGAGACCGGCCTGCCAATGCGCATCTACATTCCGAAGACAGACTGCAGAATGGATCTCTGGGAGCCTTCCGACCTTATCACGGGATGTCCTTACAAGGTGCGCCACCATTTGCATTCGCCACCCCCATTTACCATTTGACTCGACGCGGAACCCACGAGAATCTAGGGCGAAGCAAGGTATTACAATCTAGTGACCTCCGACGGGACCCGACGCGACAATTTGATCTGGTGGTACCCCAACACCACCCCGGAGTGTGCAGCGATCCGGGGATATGTGGCTTTCTTCGACGAGAAGGTGGACGTCTGGATCGACGGGGAGAAGCAACAGCGGCCGGCGACCAAGTGGTCTTCTCCGTCCCCGCCTGCAAGTTCCCCAGTACAGAAAATGGAAGATTGAAATGAACAAATCTGGCTTTCCCCTGTCTCCGTTGTGCTTCTCGGTTGGTAGTAAGATGAAGCGTGTATTTCTCCGAATCAAAGTCCAGTCGCCCATTGATAATTTCCACAATTACGATAAGACGGACCATGCAGAACCCAGCACGTTCAAGGGTCCGAAGCAGCGGCGGATGGAAGCATGATCAAGCTCAAAGCGCTCTTTCTAGAGTCACCTTTTTTCATCAGGTAGAATCGGCAGTGCAGACATAAAGATCTCGTGCTGTACGCTGGCCTCGTGTCTGGGGTTACTCGATGTCACTGGCAATGACTATTTTTGGCGCACCTAGATGGCACGCTGGGGGAAGGGCAGTGCTTGAAGCTTGAAGACCCGTCCTAGGCTAAAACACGTTTTATGGCTGGACGCTAATATATAGAGCCCCAACCTCGTGCCCACAGTACCGAGGCCAACGACGAGTCGAGGGATTCGCATTTGGAAGTAGTGGAATAGTCCCGCGATATAGACACCGTTCCCGAGCTAAAAGTCAAAGCGCTGAAACGTCCCATTGGATAAGAGATTGAAATTCCAGCTCCGATTCCCCAAAAGGGAAGAAAGAAAAAAGATCAGCCAAATACAACGATGTCCGTTTCTGTCATGGTCTTTATAGAAATCGTGGACGAGGCAACAAACTGTAGACCTTTTTTTTCGAAACGTTATAATAGGTAGTCATTCGGTAGTCTGTTCCAGGATAACTACCGTTTGAAAGCCATGGGTCCACACAGCCACTCGCGCTTATTGTCGGTCCCGCTCTTAGGGAATGAGACCTCTGCATAGAATGGGAGTAAATTTTAGTTGTCGTGGTGTTGGTAATTGTGTAAACTTGAGTCTAGCTAGTCCTGCAGGTGGAACAAAGATGCTTCGCCGTGGTAGGTGCCTGCGGGAGCTCCAAGGAACAATATTGTAGGCAATTCCTGAATAAAAATTCATCGCCCTCTTTAGGTGACATTCAGAAATAAGAAAGCGACATAATTCCCGCTCTGAGCGGGGAATCAGAGTTCCGATCCCAATTCCTCGAGCCTGAGGCGATGGCCGAGTGGACGCATGTGGACATGCCCAATTATGGAAATTTATTCCAAACTCGTCGACGGGCAGGCACGCCTTGCGTCATTTGTGCCCGCGATCATGATCATGCCTTTATCGATGTTCTTGTCCATCTTGCTCCATCAGCCTCATCAGACTCGTGACTGGCGGGCGTCTCGCCTTGTGCCGGGGACCTGCAGGTTTGCATGCTTATGGAAGGTCATCACGGGCTCGTCCTCGTTGGACAATCGCCCATATGGAGGGGTGATTAGATAACAAGACCCTTGAAGACGCGCCAATTCGAGGCATAATTGAAACAATGGCATGGCGTTTTCCCGAGTTGACTGTCGTCTGATGGAAAATGTGTACAATAAGAAGGACGTGCTACAGCGTTTAAAATTTCACCTAGAAGAAGCCCCACTTTGACGTTCGAATTTCCACGAGTCGTGCGAGAAAAGGCAGAAAGTCAGGAAGGGGTTGCTGATTGCGAACGAATTTGTCCTTCGAGATAAGAAAGGATAAGAACGATAATCAGATCGCAGAAAGAGAAGGCAGGCAGCCGCATGTCGGAGGCGCGCATGATCGCAGAACACGAGGCGGGGTTCGAATGGATAAACATCGGAAGGCTTGGGCGTCTATTCCTATCTCACATCTAGCGCCGTGATTTGCACCATCGCTCTGCCACGCCCTCCACAATTAGAACAGATTCACAAGCGTAAAAGTTCCTTTATGCATCTTTCAGGACATTTGCATGGGATGGACATCCGTAAGAACCCTAGAAGGATTCGGTGCGACATTGGCATCGTGTGATTCAACGACGGTCGTGGAATTTCCGGCGATCTTTCTTGACAAATGTTCCACGTCTATCGCGGAAGATCGAGATTCGCCTTTTGTGGTAATTCGATTGCTAATAAGGCAGGCACCCGAGAACTTGGCCAGTTCTGCGGCAGGTGAGCAGGGTCGCATTTCCTGGTACACCCACCGAACTTGACACCCTAACCCAGCTCTGGATTAAGGGGAGTCTGGAATCAGAACAAAAACTTTTTCCTCACAGAGGTAACCATCAAGCCTCGTCTGCCTTGTCTACGAAAAGGACCTTTGGATGACTAGAGTCTAACTAAAGACTCGTCAAGGATCCGGAATGTCGTAATGATTGCAGGGAGAAGCGGGGATTGACAGAATACGCCGTTACATAACTCTGCCTATCCTATGCGCCTATTCCACGAGCAATAATACAGGGCGTCTAGGCGTCCATCAGCACCCGTTGTGGGCGAGTAAGGAGGACAATGGCCGACATCGTGGTGCCAACAGAGCCAATTAGGAAGGCGAAGCGAACAACTGATCAAATCACGGTGACGAGACTTGTGGGCAAACGCCACCAAGACACCACGATTGGACAAGGTCATCTATGGCGTCCTCCAAGTGCCCTCACCTGCTCCTCATGAAAAGCGGTCTTCGAACTTTATCACGACTTGATCTCTTTGCACCTTCCCCCCGGCTGGTTGACGAATGTGAGCGGCGTCTGCCTTTACCCACGAGTTTCGAAAAGGGGTAGTACCCGGCGACCCGTGAGTCTTCTTTCGACGACGTCTCGTCCTGAAGACTTCTATCACAGATTGTCAGATTTTGCAATTATGATTCGAACAAGTCTTGGAAAGTATCCGTGTAAACCCAGAACCTCCGGATAGAGCGTAGCGCTCGCGGCTTTAAATTCAACACGGGTCAGTGGCTCGTGTCCCAATTATCGCCCTTGCCCCCAGCCTACTTTGATCCTTGCCACCATGCTGTTCTACATCGACCTCGATACCTCTTCCCCCTACCTCAAGACGATCCCGCTTGAGGACGAAACAAACTTTGGCGTGTGCCCTCGGGACATCATGCCGTATGATCCTCTCGTCAACATCGTAGAGACTACTTTTGGTAGCGGCAGCAGCTACGACGGACCTTCAGTAAGTCGAATATTCCTCCGATTGTGTGTCTACGACCGTGATTATCCCCAACGCGCGCTCTAGTTTTGGCACGCTCCCGACTCAGATTCGGCGTTGCTGAGCGTACGTCCTCTACCAGCCGTCTTCGTTCAGTAGCTGATAAATAAAACAGCCTTTGGGCTACCTTTTGCCACTTCCCGACACGTCGCCCAGCTACGATACTCCGGAATTTATAGCCTTCGCTATGCCCTCTCCGACGTCGTCAACGTTTAGCGACTTGCACCCAGAAGATGCCCCTTCATCCCGAAGGCGCTCTGTCCGTCTCGCTGCTTCCACTTCGACCGTCTGGAAAGAGGAATCATCTAGGAAGAAAGGGACTGCTCGCGCAAGAGATGTAGCCGCACCATACAACAAAGCGAACCGCCCAGTAGCCAAGAAAGCCTCCAAAGACCGCGACATCACGCCCATCCTCGATCCCCAGTTCGTCCCCGTCAAGAAGTCCGCCGCCAACATCGCAGCCAGCGAAGCACGCAGGAAGAAACCCCTCCAGTATTTCTGCGACGTTCCTGGGTGCGACTCAGGCTTTACCGCAGGCCATAATCTTCGCCGTGAGTTACTCTACTCTTGATGGATAGCTACCCAGAAATCTCATAGAAATACCAGTCCATCAGCGCATCCACTATGACGACAAGCCCTACAAGTGCAGCGCGTGCACGTACCGCAGCGTAGGGCCAGCCGATGTCAATCGGCACATCGAAACCGCGCGTCAGGATAACCGGCATAAATCTGCAAGATTAGTGCAACGCAAGCCCGGAAGCGCTGTTTACGAGTGAGCTTGGCCTACTCGCCTGCCTCCATCTCGGCTGTTTGTGGCTCGTCGACCTCTTGATCCCGACGACATCCGCCACCGCCACATCCCTGCGTAAGATCTCTTAGTTTTTCCCTGCCGCCTCTTTCTCGCTTTCACATCCAATTTGCATGCTATCATCTCGACGTACTGCTTTCCCCTTGCATGTTGTTTGCTCTCATGTACTTCCTGGTATCCTTCTTTCGGACTACGTCTGGGATTGTGGCAGTAGTTTCAGAAGCTCTTCCCTACGACCCAACGACCTATGGTCGAGGGATCGATTGGACGCTTCCATTGCCCGGTCTTGAACTTTTCTTTTCTCTCCTCGCAACTTTCTGTCCCTTGTCGATTCCCAGCATCGTTTTCGTCGCATACGCTTTCTCGTTTTCCTGCATCGTTTCGTTGTTTCGCATATCTCGCTAGGCATGTATCATCAGCATTCTCATTGACTGGAACAGATGCGTCGGGTCCCAGTTCAGCCTGGGCAGGCGTATCTTTTTGGATTGTTCATCATCGAGTTCAGTGCGTCGGAATCCTATCGGTCAGTCGTTTCCTTTGCTCTTTCTTTCATGTCTCTCGCCGTCATGTGTTTTCCTCTTTTCCGTCTCCTTCTCCTTCCCGAATCCTCATCTCTAAATTATCCCTAAGTTATGACACCGCGGTACCGTAGAGTAGATCGGGTCACCCTACATCATGTATACTTGCCAGTGGACCATGTATTCTTATCCATGGTTTCGGTTTCTTCTCTTCAGTCATCCATGCGATGCCCAGTAGTGACGTACAAGCTCGACCCTCATAGGGGGGCATGCTGAGCGTTGCTTCAATGTTTGTTGGCCCACACCTTGCTCGCCCGGAATCAGGCAGGAGAAGCAGGATTCTATTTTTCTATCCAGCACAACGCGACGCCGAAATCAAGATAAAATATGGAACAAAGACGACGTCAACTTGATCAGCGATATAATTATACAATAGTTTAAATACAACAACCAGAAGCCAACTTGGTGCGATGGGGATAAATGAGCATGGGTCACTGAAAGCGAGCAGGAATAGAATACGAATTATGGGACAGGCAACCATAGCGGACGGAAGAAGAGCGACGGGAGACAAGAAGAGATAGCTCAGGTAGATTTGACGAAGAAAAGGAAAGCAAGAGACAATTCAAACCAAGCAGCACTAAGATAATATCGCTGCGCTCCCTCCTTCAGGGATACATTCTTTTTGGCGGCTCTGGGCGTCCCCCGTCGTCCGCGTCCCGGTATCTTTTGTTTCCAGTACTTGCAGAAGCACCAGCGCTCGCACTCCGACTGTGGCGAGGCCATGCGTCGGGCACCCGTGGCTGTGGTTGTTGCATTTGCTGTGGCATATGTCCGGACGCCTGCCTCTGCGACGGCGCCGTCACGGATGCTTGCGTGAAGTACATCTCAATCGAAGGTTTCTTCAGCCTCTTCCTGGCTCGCCTACTTGCCTCCGCAGCGCCCACTCCTTGATGTGCACCCATATTCCCCATCATCGGGCTTGTTGGGTTCGAGTGCACCAAGCTCTCGATTGTCATCGCGCCACTACCACCGGGCGTGCCCGGAACCGTCAACGGCGTTGGTGGTTTCTTTTTGTACTGCATATGAGGTAAGTGTTCATGGACAAGCGCTTTTTCATCGGACGAATGACGGCGCAGAAGAAAGGGGCTTACGGTTTCGAGTTCTGGTTTGCCACGCCACTTGGCAACGGCCTCACAAAAACGGACAGCACCACGCTCGACGGGTTCAGCGGGGTACTGCCAGGCCAGATCTTCCATGTGAGTTGAGCAATCAGGCGTTGAAGGCGGAATATCGTAGAACTGCGGCTACAGTTAGATGGAATTGACAGGAAATAGAAAGCGTACACGCACTCTCTTGAGCCTCTCCAACATCTCCAGCCCATATTCCTCCTCTGCATGCCCTTTCACTCCATTGGAACCATCTCGAAGACTGGGAAACAAGATCTTGACGGCATCCACGAGGTTAGGCAGCTCGTCCGGGGCCAAACCATCAAACTCTTCCTCATCATCATCTTCATCGTCCAACTCCAATTCGTCCCTTCGCTTCGCAGCATTTTCACTAATGCCCAAACCAACAAGCAATAGACACTGCACAGCCTGCAACCCGCTCCACCCTGCTGTGAGGTAACCCTCAAGTACGGCTCGGGTAAGGAGGCCTGCGAGGAGCATGTACCACTCAAGCGAAGGCCGCAGTGCGTACTCATACATCCTGTTCCTCTGCGCTTGAGCGTCCTTGCTCGCAGAAGTCCCAGCGTTAACGGCGTTACGCGACAATGACGGCGAGCCGGGTAAGGATGCGTACCCGCCCGCACTCCCGCCCCAACCGACAGAATCGTTCCCCGTGCGACCAGGGGTCCCAACGCGGCCCGATGGTGTTCCAGACGCAGTGATTTCCTCCACTGACGCTCGCCTCTCTTTCCTTCCCGTTATCTCTATCCACGCCCCGCTCTCTACCATCCTCACTGGCGGCGCCACTGACGTCTTCTTCACCTCTCGCCTCCCTACCCAGCTCCGCCGCAACCAGAGCCGACAGTCTGACGAAACGCGCTATAAGCTTACTTAACTTCGTGTTCCCAGCACCAGTGGCTTGGTCGCCCCCTTCCTGGATCTTCCTTCTCAGCGCGCTTCCCCGCACTCCAGGCCTTAGCAACCCCGAGCCGATCCCGCTGCCATCCTGCCATCCCGTAATACCACCACCCCCAGGTCCGACACCGCCAGGCATGGCCTTCCAGCTATTTGTGTTGGCTGACGAGGCCGCGGCGTGAACGTTGCGATTAGACACACTCGTCGATCGGCCGCGTGAGTCCCTGCTTCCTGCTGGACGGGTTGGAGACTTTGCTTCGACGCAGATTTCGCAACCAGTGTGAAGATGCCGTGGACAGCGGAAAGCTGGAGGGGAGTTTGCGGTGCTGGGATCTGCACCGGCAGAGTACAGTGTGCGAGTCCGAGAACTGGCGCGGGGACGGGGATTCGTTGGCGGTGGCGGAGGGGGTAAAGAGGGCTGGGGCATCATTTGGTATTGCATAGTGTTGTAAGGGTATGACTGGGGATAATCGGGGTATGGGGAGCTCTGCATCGGCCGTGAACTGGGTGGTTGCTGTGAAAGGGGCACAAATGCTCCAGACACGGTTGCGAATGTCGTTAGCGCATCTGGGAGGTCTGATACAGACGGTGCGACAGATGGAGAGTGGTCCGAGGGTGTGGTGACTCTTGCGTTGGCCGATTGGGTGTGACGGTAGGGAGGTGGTGGGGCTTGTCTGGCGAAGAGATCGTTGATGATCGTCCCGAGAGCCAGTCGCAATCTAACGCCGTTTGGCAGGCGATGAGGGTGGGCGAGGCTAGATGCATGCAGTTTGGGTGAAGTGGGCGGTGTAAGGATGTCTTCGTCGTTCGCCGCGTGTACGGGTGGCGGCTGTTCCAGCATCGAAGTTACCACTTTTTCGAGACCCTCTGCACGCAGGCGTAAACTACGAGCGAGAGCGAGGTCTTGTCGTCTCAACCTCTCTTCTTCTTCGTCATTGTGAGGATGCCCTGGACCTCCGGCACGCGCTCGAAGCGCCCCGACCTCCTCACCTTCACTGCCTTCCTCTTCGTCTTCCTCGTAGTTCTCGGGCCTTCTTCGATGGACGTAGTTTGGAGACGAAGGACCGCCCGTCCGATCTGTCATGCCCAGCTCAGCTCTAGCCTGGGCAAATCGGGTTCTCCCTAATGTAGTTGTCAAAAGTCAGTGCACCCTGGATTGTCCGGGAGAAAGTGACACAGACCATGAACCCATAGCATATGATCTAGAATGAGCGTCCGGGTACTCTTTTCTCGGGGCGGAATGGAATGGAGGTGATGGGCATGCTTGTGCGCCGGTGCACGGAAGGAGGTCTGAGGAATCGCAGTTCCCGAGCCACGACCAAGTGTTCCAAGATTGGCTGTAGGCGTGCTGGGGACGTTCTGCTGCTGTTCAGGCAGGGGAAAAGGGGCATTTCTGAAGTTGTGGGTGAATGGAACGCCCTGATGCTGTTGGATGAGCATGAATGGCGGCTGGGTAGCCATATTGTCGAGAGCAAGTGAGGGCTGGAACGCCATCTGCGGGGAAGTGCTTGTCCGGATTTGTAACACAACTGATCGCCAGTCCCGAGTTTGCCCTAAGTGCCCTGGGAACTCTTTCCCTTCTTCGGTCAGGGGCACTTGGTCATTTCCCCACCCGCTTCCCCGTCTTCTTCAAGAATTTGACAGCCGTTCCGAGGCTTCGAACACCAACAAACGCGGCTTAATTAGCAGGGTCGACGCATCCCTCCCATATCACGGCATGCGTGGGTCGGGCTCTTCATGGAGTCCTGTGATCGTGACTACAAAGTCAGCATACGAAATAGAAGAAAGAGCCATGGGCAAGCATACTTTCAACCAAAATCCCTGACTCATCGCGAGTTAGCATACGAGGTAAGACAAGGTCGTAAGTCATGTAACTTCGTCCGTTAACGTAGGATAAGCTTGATTTCTTCGAGGGTAGCGATTTGGTCGCACCACACTCTACGCCTCTGATCAAGCTCCCTTCAATCGCCGGATGGTACAGGGAGCCAGTGCGGAACAACAGCTGTACAGAGCCGGGAAGGAGATTTTGCGAACACCAGATCGGAAAAATAAGGGCCATAACATGGGTGGTCCGCGTTCTGCAAGTAAACAGGTCAAGAATAGGCAGCTGTTGATGCAGCGGCAGAACTCGCTGGGATTGACGAGGAGCGTTCCTGTCAGTAAAATAAACGGAGATACAGGTCTAGGCTCACCTTGCGCCAATTTGCAATTTCATGCTTATCGTAGACTCGTTCATGGGACGACATAAAGATTGAATCCATGTCCAGCTTCTGTCCCAATAATGGGAGACTATCACAGGATGGGGATTCAGCCACTTGCAGTATGAAGAAAGAACCTTGCACGAACTGAACGAAAATTCCAACAGCGTTCGTCAGTATATCAGATCGGCCAACGTTCTACGACGGGGAAACCAGAGTTGGTTATTGCTTGTCACCTAGATAACGATGGTTCTGGGTTAACGTTGCGCCTGCTTGTCATTTAGAAAAAGATCTGAACATACCACGAGGTCCATAAGCAACATATGGATTTTTCTTCTCGATCTGGCCGAAATTCTGCGCACAACGACCGTAAAGTCTGCGGCGGAGCATAGCTTCCGTGGAGCGAGACTCCTGGGCCACCAAAATGTGATTTTAGACGAAGATTTGAACCTAGGATCAAACACGTATGTCCAACGTTCTTTCATTTGTTATAATGGCCCACTCACCAAATTGCCCAACGGGTCTGTATGATAGCCCGAAATGCAGCAGCTTCCCTAAGGTCCTATATTTATATGCACATGGATGACCTCATCCTTCCCCATAGCTTCCTCAAGCTCACATTTGGAGCATTCACGGCGTCATATGTCGTTGAAACGTTAACCAGAGATATATGCGTCCTTTTATGACGAAGAGTGAGCAGCACGAGCAAGGGGACCAGCAAAACATCGACCTACAATGCAGTCCCTACTGCATGAGGGCAAGTGACGGAGAGCATATCAACTTCACCTTTACAAAGTAGATCGAACTGGGTCAGAGGAGTCAAGAGAGGAAAATTGCCCGCATATACTCACCGACACGCCAGCCAAATGACACCATCACCCCAGCAGTTGCCGCATCTTGCCCAGCTCATCCGCCCGGGAGCCCGGAACCGAGCTGTCATGATAGCATGGTCTTCCTGGTCTTCTACAAGGGCGTACGAAGGTCTTTGAGGACCCTGCATCGTAGGTACACGTCGACGAAGGGGGAGAGAGCTATTCGTCATAGAGGTCACGAAGAAAGGGCAGTCAGCTGAATCATGATCCAGCGATTTCATGAACACGGTCGAGGCGTTAGCGGCAAGGCACCGACCGGGTCAGAAATATCCCTCGGTTGTGTATCCGTTACTCTTGTTCCGCAAAATTCGAGGATGACGGACGGAAAATGGGCATGGGAGGATTAACAATCTCTTCTTCAGAACACACAAGGAAGACGTCTAGCGCCGAAATTTTGAGAGAACGAATCGGAATTATTCATCGAATCGACCAATTGGTGTCGAGTCTCGAAGACTCGGATGTACTGATATCCTTTTCCACTCACTGTTTACTTGTCTTTGATCTGCCTTTCTTTCGATGCTGCTTGGGAAACCTACTTAAGAATGAGCGGTTGCATGAGTAATGATGATTTATTAATTAATCTTCGATCGTCACTCTGCTCAGAGCACCCACACATCTACTTTCTTCCAGATTGTCAGAATTATCCCGCGGCCAGGCAGTGGCTGTTACGAACCATACCAGGCGTCACTGAGCGGGCAATCCCTGAGCGTATGCGCTCCAACGTCGACGACCGCGGGAAATGGCAGAACTGCATAAAATTCTTCTGTCTGAGCACTCCGCGAGACATGAGGCAATCCTCGCCCAAATAATAAGCCCGAGGATCCGCAATTGCAGGGAATTTATACACCCGCAGAAATGTTAGAAGGTGTACAGTACATGAATAATAGAAACAGACCGAATAACGAAAAAAAGAGATACAAATCGAGGTCATGAAACAAGAAAAAAAAGAGAATGAGACAGCAAGAACGAAAAAGAAGAGTACATTCGCACCGAAGAATCGCAGATATATCAATAATCATAAAACCTTCACCGCTCGCGACCAGGTGTATTCCCTCTTCTGGGCGTCCCAGGCGTCTTCCGAGGCGTAGCAGGCACCCCAGTTAGTTTCTTCTCTCCGACGGGCGCATACCCGCTCTCCTTCTCTGCCCGTTGCACCTCCCTCGCCGCCCGCCTCGCAGCGTCGCCCACCTGCGCTGGTGGCCGGCTCTGATCCACCCTGGACAGCGCACGCATGATGTCCAGCGGATCGGGCACCGTGGAGACTGACGAGCCAGCGACGTAGGTAGAGATCAGCTGCGCCGATCCCTCGGTACCCCCAGAGTCGCCTGAAGAGAGGATAGGCCGAGTCCGCGAGGCAAGGTTCGCCGAAAGCACGTCGAACCGCTCATTCAGAGCCTTCTCCGCGATGTTGGTCGTTGCTCTTGCCGCATTCGCGAATGTGTATATCTGGTCGACCTTGAACTCGAGTCCAGGCATCCGGCTCTTGATCTCTGCCTCGAGCTCCTCGCGGTTCAGCCCCGACCGCGTCATCCCTCGACGTCCTCCGCCCGCTATTCGATCGTCACCCTGCGCATGATGGCCCAGCACGGAGCGAGCAAGAGCCAGCGCAGGGTGGAACTGTGGCGGCAGCTCGTGTTCGTGAGGGAAAAGCTGGCTCTCGACGTCTGGCGGTTCCTCGCCCGCTGCTCGCCGTTTGCCCTTGGCTTTGGCGGATAGTCCTTGCTGGTCGGGTTGGAGCGATGCAGCCCGTTTCTCGAGCGACGCTTGAAGCTTCTTGGAGTACGCATCGTAGCCGTACGAAACCCGTTTCCAGGCTTCTTCTTCTGCTTCAGCCCTGCTCATCGTCAGCCCATACCATAAAGTCACGACACAGTGCGGGCTTACTCCTGAATATGGCTCGCGTAAGTAATCTCCCACTTCCGATTGCGGACGTTCTGCTCGTTCTCGCGCAGGTTCTCTGGCGGAGGTTGGGTGGCATTGGACGAGTGTAAACTCAGATCGACCCGCTTCTCGGCCAGCATTCGGACGATGTCATCTTGGACGGTCTTCAGGATCTGCACTCCTTCGGCAGATAGCGGTGGTAGAGAAGAGGAGGAGGCAGGGGTTGCGGTGGCCCGGAGCGAGCACCATATGAGTAATTGTCGAATTCGTTCTGGCTCTGGCAGGTCGCAGTCAATGTGCTTGTAAAAACTGCTCTCCGACACGGAAGTATGGGGATGTGCTACGAACTATCGTAAATAGTCAAGACGACGTGGAGAGGATTGAAAACGCACTGATGATACCCGTCGCCTCAAACGACGAGCTGATTCTTTTCCCCCGCCCACTGATTGAACTCTTCCGCCGATGACCCTGTCCTGACGCCCCGTTTGCCTCCACCGGGCGGCCACGACTCTGGGCTATCGCATCCATCGCAGGCTGCCTCAGTTGCTTGTTGCGTTCCGCCCGCGGAGTATCGTTGTCTGGCAAAGGGGTTGAAATATCAACTATCTTCATCTTGCCCTTGCTGCGAGCTGTCCCACTGCCCTCTGGGCGCTGCGACTGGAACTGAAGAGAAGTCTCTGCCACAAGAGACGAATCGATCGCCGTGTGTGCCCGCGAATTCCGGCGAAGGTGGTCGGCCTCGTCCTCCATCGCCCTTACATCTCGCTCTACAGCTGCGTCGTCGTAATACGCGGATGATGCCACACGGTCGCGGTTGGCTGTCTTCGCTTGTGATGTGGCCCTGCCTCGGTTGGAGGACTGCGAATCGGCTTTGAATTTCTTCGTTGGTGGTTTGGACGGACCAGCTGTGCTGGTCAGGGAAGGCTGGGAGGAGAAGCGCGGTGGTGCGAGATCGGCCTGATTCGTGTGCACGGGCTGAGAGTGCGATGGTTGGGCTTCGGAGGCTCGTACAACCAAGAGGCTGCTTGGACCATCATCATTGTTGACTGTTCGACGCGTAGGAAGCCAAATAAGCACCTTCTAGAGTAAAAATGAGCATAAAACACGTACGTTTGCGCTTCGTCGGCGCGCCGACCTTCAACTGCAGAATCGCGAAACTCTCGTCGGCTCGCGGGTTCGAGTTTGAAAACGACAAGACTCACCTCTTTCTTCGCCCTCTTTGCTGCAGCCGCATTCAAAAGTGGGTTAAAATCTTCTGGTTTCCGTTTTCCAGATTGAGGCTGCGAGGGTAACATCTGCTGGTGGGTAAGGTTGACCAACGTGGAGAATGACTGTCTGGTCATAAAGAGGAGTTAGATGTAGATGATGGTCCGTGTGCAGAAAGCCGAGGAGGAGCGACCAAGGGATCGCGATAAGCGAGCTCGCCGTCGTCGACGATGAGGGCGGAGGTCAAAGGGAGGGTGGCGGGGTTTGAAATTTGGCTCCCACGTTCCTCTCAGTCAACAAACCGCGTGTGAACGCGACAAGAAGTAATTATGTAATAATCCAGCTTGCGAAAAGTCTAACACTGACCCACATGTCCGCGCAACGAATTTTCTTTACATTTTGCGCCACCAACCAGGGGTCTGGTTTAAATTAATGAGCCTTTATCTTTGCATAAATCTATACCTACGTCATAATACAAGGAGGTTTGTATGCAATTACATAATGCCCCTTATTCTGCCCCTAAGTGCCAAGTTGGTTGATCAAATCAAACTCAGAAATCCTTCCGTCGACTTTCCAGATCTCTCAATAGTGAGACTCCCTCTCTATCCTTTCTGTTACACTCTCCCGTAGACAAACTTCACGATGAGATCACAGAACCCTCAAGCTTCAAGCTTCAAGCCTCGCAGTCTTCCTCTCGGACAAGCCTTGGAAAAACTGGACTGCTTATGAAACGGCGAAGTCGCCTTCCTTCAATTGTTGGCAGCAAGATTCTGACAATCTCCACCAAAGCGCGACACAAGATGAGTACACTTAGAAAGTTACCCTGCATCGAATATCTATTCTCGCCTGCGCATCCCTGCAGCAAACCATGTCGGGGTTTTCTTGTCTGCCGGTTACTCTATCTTGGGGCGTCAGGATATTATGAAACTCGAAACAGCTATCTTTGAATTGCGTAGGCTGGATAGCCGGTCTACTTTGTTCCTCTATAACTTCTGGTCCGTCTTTCCGCCCCTAGAACCTCCAGTGGATCATTGATACTCAGATGGCATCGAATTCGAAAGACTACCCTCCGTCGGCGCTAATCTTCTCACCTTGCATCCTCTCCTATGATCACTATCGCCTTGATATCGAAACGTGCTTGATGAAGGGCCTTGATTCTTCCGAGGGCTCATTAACGAGGTAAGGTGTTTGGTACATCTGACACGCATCAGTCAAGATGAAACACGAACTCTTGAGAGGTATCATGATGGCTTGCTAAAGCCTGTTGTGCGCCATAGGGTCGCACCATCGACGTTTTCTTATAACTGCTGGATCACTAAAGCCTCCTTTGTCGATCCCTACCTTGACAGGTTCTGCCTATGATCGTCCTTCTACCCCTCTTTGCCGTCTATCTCAACTGATATCCCATCGCACATATGCGAGCACACTAGTGCAGGCAACAAGCTCGAAGCACCCAGGTACGCGGCTCTTCCCGTCGTCTTTGAATTACCTTGATCGGATCGACTTTTCTTTATCCACATAAAGGCCTCATATCGTCGCTTCCCATGTCTCTGAACGATCTTCCTCTGGAACTCGTAAACATCATCGTCGACCATTTCAGTGACGACGTGAAAGCCCTTAAAACCCTAGCACTTATCTCTCGACCATTCTTATCCACCTGTCGCACCCACCTTTTCACCTCTCTCCGACTCAATACACTCCATCCATCCTTTTCCTACAAATGCGTTTCATGGACCAAAATTCTCCAACGTTCCTCCGAGATTCTTCCGTACATTCGCGTCTTGGAGCTCGGGCCGCCTGTTTTCCGACTGCGAGCCAGAGACCCCAAGCTGTCTTCCGAGCATTGGAACGGCGTTCATAATTCGGGGCTGCCGTCAATCCATGACGACCGCGTTCAAGCCATTATGAAAGGCGCTGTTAATGCCCAAAACGTCACTCTTCGATTCGAATTTCAAACATGGAACCGATTCTCTGCCACCTTCCAGCAGTGCGTCCTCGACCTCGTTCGACGGGACTCTATATCAACCCTAAGCCTAGAGGATGCCGTGGCCCTGCCCTTGCATAAACTGCGGACGTGTCGGCGTTTGCGCAATTTATCCCTCATTTCCATCAGCAACCCTCAGGAGTTTCACTCTGATGACGACATGGAACCCGACCACAATACAAGAGGACACCTAGAGTCTCTTACTTTATACGTCTCCGACGAGTGCGTCGAACCCTTGTTCGGGTCACCCGCAAGCCCCCTGGATGTTTCAAACCTCCAACGGTTGGCCGTGAACACCACTGGGTCTGATGGTCGAAAGGCTTTGGAAATAATCCCTTCCATTGCCCAATCCATTACCATCCTAGAGCTGCGAGTCGACGATGGAAAAGGTACGGCATTCCGAAGATTTATTTTGTGCCTTCTTACCGGCTCTAAAGAACCTCTCTTGCTTTGACAGGGTACGACCTGTGCTCGCTCGACAATTTCCCCGCCCTATCTTCTCTACTCATCAGCGCCACCTACGACCGACACGCTCGCTCGCTACTCACGCTGGCTTCGTTCTTTTCGAAAACACAAAATCCAAGCAAGCTCGATCAGCTCCAGATTCTCCTCCGTCACGACGTTCCCCAACTCGAGCACGAAAAGGGATCGCATGACCTGATGCGCCTATGCGCTCACAATGACTGGCAGACTTTTGACCAAAGTTTACTAGGAAGGAACATGTTTCCTATGTTGCGGGTGATGAAGCTCGTATTGCGGCCCAAGGATGTGACGACATTTATCAACGCGCACCTGATCTCGACATTGCACCTCTCTTTGATCAAGGTGATGCCCAGACTGTATGCTTTGACGAATCCGACTATTGAGGTATTTGATGGCAAGTGTGGCGTCCTTTCCTGGCAGAAGCGGCAACTCAAATTCTGACTCCATTTATCCTTCAGATCGATTTGAACAGTATACGACTCAAGGATACACAATTCCTTAGAAATATCACAGTTTTATGTTTGTTTTCAGATGTACAAGATGTGTGCCTATCATCTAGGCGGTTCCTTTCACGCCGTCCTTAACTGCCAACCAAGCCGGCCTCGAAGAGAGCTCCGTGAACCACCTGAAAAATTAGAATTTCAAAATGAAATTGAAATTACAAATGAGGTGAGATCGGCGGTTCCCTGCCAAGCGAAAACAAGAATACGAACCTGTGGACGTTGGGCTTCGTCTCAAGGACGTTGGCACCTGCGACGGGGAGCATGGATCCGTAAGGGAGATGATACAAGTCGGCCAAGGTCAATTCCTTTCGTTCCGGTTATCCTATAAGCGTCTTGTCCGAGGTTGAACCTTTTATGAGGACTCACATCGCCAGCAAGGTACTTCTGCTTGCTCAAAATGTTGTCGTACGCGTCCAATTTGGCGGTGAGGGTGGTCAAAAGCCTATCATAGGTAGCTTGATCGAATGTCAGGCCGAAGTGACTAAAATGAAAGTAAAGATCAGTGACGTCCAGGATGAATTAAATCGCGACGTACGGCTTGAAGACTTTCTCAAACACCAGCTTGGAGGCGTTGTCGTCGAAGTTCGACATTTCGACCGACGAGGCCTGCTGGAAGAGCGCGGCGGCCTTCAGCTCGGTGGGGAGGAGGCCCTTCGTGCCTTGATCCGGATACTTGGCGGCGATGTACTGGCAGATCGCACGGCTCTCGTAGAGGATGAAACCATCGTCGTCCTGTAACCATCGTGCAACATCAGGGACAAAAAAGATAGGGGAGATCCCGAGCATGAAGACTTACGATGTAGGGTACCTGGCCGAAAGGTTGGTGCTTGACGAACTCGGGTGCCTTGTGCTCGCCCTTGGAGAAATCGATGGGATGGAACTCGAAGGGGACCTGCTTCTCGTGGAGGACCAAAGCAACGCGCTTGGTGCAGGTGGAGATTGGGCTGCCGTACAATTTGAAGACCATCTTTACTTGCTGTTTTCAGAGGAGACTTGGAGGGTCGCTGGGTAAGAGTTGTGTATTGTTCCATCGTATAGAAGGTTCTGGTATTTATACTCTTAGCGAGCATTATCGGAATGTATCTGGGTGGGAGTTTACAGCCTCAGTATGTCCTATCGCGATCGCGTTGATCTCGCTTACAGGGGAGCGCCGCGGTGACCATATGATGCGGAGAAGTTCTTCGTAACTCAGTATGGGAGCTGACAAGCTGCTGACGTATACGTAGAGGGTGGCGGCCAGCTCTTGAAGTGTTCGACCGACGGACCTGCTCCTCGATGCAGTAATCAACTACTAATGCAGTACAATATCGGCCCGAGATCGGTCGTTTTGGAGGCATACCTCGGAGACTACGGGGGGCAGGTCAATTTTAAGACAACGGCCCCAAGGGATTGAGGCGTTCTAAAAAAGCAGCATCGGCAATTTGAGCCCCATTTCACAAGCAGTGGATGACGAGAACAGCAGGTCAAACCAGGAGGTCAATTTCAAAGGCCCAGTTGTTACGTTGCAGTCCTGTCAACGACCAACCGATATGAAATATTGAAATAGAACAGCTTCTTGCCCTATGCATTAACCTGCCGGTTGGGATAGGGTAAAATGAGGCTGCGCAGTTTCCGAAGGACCGATCGATATTAAGATGCTGAAGATAGAGTTGAGGAACTTACATGGATTTCGGCTGAGCCCTGGAGGCGACTCGGGACAATGTCGAAAATTGTTAGTCAGAGGACAACGAGCGTATATACCCACCTTCCCGATTATCCTCTTATGCTGCAAGCCCGCAAACCGCCGCGCGAACTCGCAGATCGGAGGAAAGCAGCCGTTCTTGCTTGTCAGATGTGCCCTCGGCGCCTCGTGTGCTCACAAGGAGGATTCCAGAAGACAGACCCATGACATGTGCATCACAACCTGCAGCAACTCCAAGCAGACGAGTCTCAGCGGGTGCCCAGCGCCCACGGTTTCCGGAGAGAAGACGAACATTCCAGAAGGGGTTCAACCTTCATCCGGTTCTCCTGACAAAGAGTGGTCGAAGATAGCAGCAAAGGTTTAGTGTAGGTACCCGGAAGCGAGTTTCCTTGATGACGCAGATAATCGTTGTACTTTGAAGCCTCAGGCGGCTTTGGTGATGGTCTGCACAGAACCAGAGGGCCGCAAGCCAACTAAGTGGTGTATCATGTTCTCTAGCGAGTTGGGAGATTTCTTTGTCGTCCAGGAAGTCGCAATTTTCTCTAAGCTATGATTGAGGGTTGGTGTGAGGGTGACAAGCCGCTAGAGCTGAAGAAAGAGCGGAGGCTACATCAACTCCCAAAAGGGGCTACTGCACGTGCTCTACACTGCGTACCGTCATCGTCAACTTGAACGTCGAACGGTCTTCCCTTCCAAACTTCAATGATCTGTGCGAAAAGGGTATTTCGTTGCTTCAAAACTTTAGAGAGATGGGGTAACTACATCACGGGCGCTGCAGGACCGTACTTTGTCGCCCTCGCCGTCATTCTCATAGCCATCGGTGTGGTCTGCTTCTGTGAGTCCAGGTTCCTCCTTTTCGCTATTCAGTTCACTAACGGTTATCTGTTAAACGTCTGTTAGTTAATGTTACCGCTGCCGGACTTTCGTACCCCATCATCACGATACCAATATGCGTCCTGATTACCGTTAACCTCCTTATGCACTATTACTACGTCGTCACCGTCAAGCCCGGCTTTCTGGAAGATCCTCCTCGCGAGCCTGGAACCGGATTTCTGTGGGCGAAGAAGGGGAGCAACAAGGGGAAGCAGAAGGTTCTCACAGGTGGAGTGAGATGGACTTCGAGGGGCGTGAAGATTACACCTGCAACAACGACAAAATGTTGGAAGTGTAACAAACTACGGCCGGAGGTGTGCCTTCATTGTGTTTTGTAACCCATTTCGTTCAGCTTACGCGTTTCATTGAGAGAACGCACCACTGCAAGATATGCAACCGGTGTGTGTTGAAGTATGACCACCATTGTCCTGTGAGTTTCTGCCTCCCCTACCTTAAGCTTTTTCTCATCTTCCCCTCAGTGTGAGTGAGCTTCGAAGAAGTTGTGAAGATTTTCCAATGGATTAGTGTAGGGATTAACCAATGTGTGGGATTGCACAACGAACGCCATTTCGTCTTATTCATGTACGTTATCGCCACGTCTACAAGATTTCCGTGCCCATTCCGATATTCAGGGCTTACCTCGTCGTCGCCACATTCTTCTTTTGCCTCGCTGGATACGACAAGTTCTTCGAATCTCTCGGTATCTCTAACGATGTGCGTAGATATCCACACTCGCCGCCCTGACCTTCCCTAATGCCATCTTAGCCATGGGAGCACGCGGTCCCAGAGATCATGTTTGCGATGATCTACATCCTATGCATAGTTCTCTGCTTTGCTGTTGGCGTCATGCTTTCATACCATATCTATGGCATAATGTGGGGTGAAACGTCTGTTGAAGCTCAAGATCACGAAGAGTACCGAAAGAAGGCGAAGGCGAGGAACGAGGTATGGTCATTCGTCTTGTTATGCTTGCGGTGTGGTTTATTCATTTGATCCCCAGGACTTCGTCAACTCTTACGATCTAGGGTATATCCACTCTCGGGGCCGCTGATCTGCTTACATCTAACCGCTTGAGCCAAATAGGAAACGGAAAAACCTTCAATTTTTCTTCAACATCGGAGAGGGTAGCTAGTATGTTTGATCGCTCTTCGGTTTTCTTTACCTCTAACCCTCGTGCCTAGCTCAATAACAACCCTCTTCTTGCCGCTCCGGTTAATGCCATACACCGACGGCTTCTCGTGGGCAAGACGCGAAGGACACGACCGACATCAAGGTCTACGGCAGGGCGAAGAGCTAACGGATGAGGATGATGAGGTGTAGGGACGATCTATGGAACCGCTGGTTAGAGATCTAGTACCCATTGTGTGAGTCTACGTCGCCATCTTCGCTTCCACGCTTCCTGCTTTCGCTATGCGTCTTTCGCTGCTGTGTGATGAAATCTGCCGGGGCCAGATGACGCTTCGAGAGGGCGACGCTGGGCTTCTCGGCACAGATTCGTTTTCTGGGAAGTAGTGTGATCTATGTCCGGCTTTTCCGTTGACGCCACGATTCGTGGTGCTCTTGTTTCCTGATACGAGCGTCATTCTTCCTTCTTCCTTCTTCTCTTCCCTTTCTGTTTTGTTGCCAGTGCTTACCCCCTGCGCATAGATTTTACGCCATGACTGATAGAGTAGACTTATACACGGTTCTCTCAGTGCTCTATAAGACACGAATCGTCTTCAATTGTTGGAAGGGGCATCAAGATGGTTGGGCAAATTGATATGCCGTTACCGTGCTGAAAGATCGACCAGAAATTGCGAATTCATGCTCTCAGTGCGTCTCTTTCTTTATTTCTTCTGATTATTACCCTCGTTATTAGGCAGTCTTGATTCTTCAATCGGTTTGCATGCGTTCAATAATGACGTGGCACCATTCGCTCTTTCAACTTATCTACTTTATCCTTATTTCAAGACCCAGCAATGCGACTCAAAAAATACTCTCGGCTCTCCTTTCAGCAGCCCTGTTTTTTATCGAAGCTGCTATCGCTGGTGTTCTTGAAGAATCCTTCTGCAGCTGCCGTATGCAAGGCCGCCAACGACCTCCGTAAGCTATGTGGTTTCCGATCGAAAGCCATCAGATCCTGGACGTGGTATCAAAAGCAGACGACGAACCTCATTTGGTCGTGGTAGTATTGCCGCAGTTCTTGATACTGTTGGTAACGGTGGCGTCGATGGATGAACAGCAGGATGAGGCAAAGCGAAATCATGACTGATTTACAACGTGGTAAGCCTTTCACTTTGATCGAAGTGCGAAGAAACGTGGACTTACAGAGTGCGACAAACAGAGCAATGGCCACCCATTGCCATGCAGGGACACGTTTTGGTGTTTGCGGTGGTAATGCACAGACGTTGTCGGTTGTTGCACAGTTGCCCTACGAGCGTTGTCCAGGTCAACGTCGAAGTCAATATCATCAGAGAAGAAACCTACAAGTTCGCATTGTGCGTCGAAAGTGCACTGTTCTCCGAGGCTCCTTGTTCGCTGACATGTTGCGCTGCCTCCGTTAGGGCTCTTAGACGTCGGGTCGCAGAAGAAGTCGGGCGAGAGGCAGTTGTGCTTGAAGACGAAGGAGATGAACTGGCCTCCGCCAGCGACGTTCTTGTTAATGTCGCTGACGTAGGTCGTGTTCTCGAATTTGCAGGGTTCATTGAGCTGTTGAGTAGCGGACCTACAAAGAGACAGACCGTAAGTTGTCTTCCACTTGTGGCGCGTCGAAGCTGACTCACATGCAGGACAGATTCAAGCATACAGCCCTATTTGACGCCGTTCCATCTGCGCTCGACGCTGGCGGTGCACACTGCTCATCCCTGCCCAACTCACACTTACCTCCAACGGCGACCTGCAGCCGACACCCACTCCCATTATCTGGACAGAATTCGCCCTTCCCACACATCGGCGGCAGATCGGCGGTCGTGTTCGGCACCATCATCCCTTTCGATTGGAGCGTCTTCAATTTGTTGCCTCCTCCAAAGTTCGCATATCCGAACGGATATTCGTCACGCCTGCACAGTCGCGGGAAGCATATGCCTAGCCCAGTAGCGTTGACGGGTGCTTCGGGCGGTTGGGCGCAGAACATCGTCTCGGTGCACTCCGAGATGAGCTTGTGCGAGGACGGGTTGAGCTTGACGTTCTTTGGCGAGCAAGGGATTGGCTTTCCGGAGGCTGTTCGTGCGACGCCTGAGGGGATTGGGAAGGGGAACGTATACGTTGGTCGGGCCAGGGACGGGCCAGAGTGGGATGATGCGCTCGATAAAGGTGCGGACGCCAGGAAGGTGTTCGCCGGTGTTGGTGCCTCTGTAGGCACGGATACAGGCGGGGCGGGCGTGGGCATGGGTGGAGGCAAGGTTGCGCCAATGAGGAAGGTCGATGTTCGGGTATCGGGGCCCTGGGCGGCGATGAGTGGAATGGACAACAGGCACAACAAGACGTAGTGCCGTCTCTGGAACTGTGAGATGCCCATCGTCACACGCAGCTACTCGTCCTGGTGAATTAATGGGAGGTCGGCGGCAGAATTCGCAACGAGAAATTGGCCTCAGCCCCGAGTGATATAGGTAGCTATCGTCATCGTCAGCCGCCTAGTCTGGCCGGTCGATTTGCCTGTCTGGTTTGTGGCCTGTCCACGGAGGATGGGCGTCAGCCGCGCTTGTTGATCTCCGGAATAGGCTGCAAGACGACGCTTCAAGCCTTCATGTCCTCTGAGGATCTGAGGAGCCAGGCTGAATGTCGTGCAAGGACGAAATGCGTCAGGCAACGAGCCCATTACGACAGGCTGGCAGATTTATATCGTAAGTTTCGGGGCTTCGTATATACCCTTACCTTCCGTCCGAGTCGCTCTTTGCCCTTTGTTCCTTTATTTTCCTCTTCGTCTCTCCTTCATGGGATCTCCATGTAATTATATCCTGGGTTGGAATTTAATTTCCGCAACACCTCTACAATATTGGTGATCCCCAGACCATTCCGTCATTCCATGACCCAAATCTGTTCGTTTCACTCCAGCTCCCCCACTCCCCGTGATAATTAGAAGCCCAAGCTCAAACTTCAAGTCGCAACGGTGGCATGCTGTAGCATGCTGTGTCGTAAGTTTATTTTCGTCTCTCCCAACGCACAGCAAGAAGTGATGCCTGTTGCTAGCGGGTGCCGTGGTCGAGCCTAGTTGCTCTTGCCCGCCCCTCTCAGGTACCACCCCTCTGCATCATTCTTTCTGCCATACAACATAATGTCCAGTGTGCTGGCTGGTAGCTACAAGCCTTCCGTTCAAGGCTCAATAATCAATGTCAATACGACATATCAGACCTCCGGGACCACAGGTAAGCCCAGCACCCCCTTGGTTCACCTGGAGAGTATAATATTAATGCCATGGGTCCAGGATTCGAGATACTCACGAAGGCGGTCGCTCCTAATGCCTTCCATAACTCGGATGACCGTCCCGATCCCCCAAAGTGCCACGAGAAAACCAGGATTGCAGTCATCAACAAGATAATGGACTGGCTCACAGTAAAAGTCGATAGAGATCCCGTGATACTTTGGTTGTATGGACCTCCTGGAGTGGGTAAATCGGCCATAGCGCGCACGATTGCTGAGCTCTGTGAGGCGCAAAATCTGCTCCTCGCCAGCTTCTTTTTCTTCCGCTCGAGTTCTACACGCAACACTATGAAGCCGCTAGTCGCCAACATCGCGTACCGCCTCGCCTGTGTGATCCCCGCCGCTCGCAGGCATGTTGAAATCGCCATCGCGGCCGACCCCCTACTGCTTTCCTGCTCTCTCGAAACACAATTCGCTAAACTCGTCGTCGACCCACTCCAGGCCCTGGCGGAACAAGGCCTGTTCTCCCAGATGCTGCTCCCTCCAGTGATCCTTATCGACGGTCTGGACGAATGCCTCGACAAAACTTCCCAGATGAAATTGATTCAACTTCTCTGTTCCTGTCAACTCCCTCTCAAATTCTTGATAGCAAGTCGTCCCGAGCAGGACATCAAGTTTGCATTTGCGTCCATCAGCACGAAGATCACCGTATCACATCTGGAGCTCAATGATGACTTCAATGCATACGAGGACATTCGCCTATTCCTCACCGACAAATTCAGCAACATCATGCTGTACCACCCGCTCCGCTCAGAACTCCCTGCTTCTTGGCCCAGGGAAGAGCAAATCGCAAGTCTTGTTCAAAAATCATGCGGTCAATTTATATACGCATCGCTAGTCGCACGCTTCGTCGACTCCCCTCGCCATCTACCGGCGCGGCGTTTAGATATCGTCCTTGGGATCCGACCGCCGGTCCATCGAGACCTCCCGTTCGCGGAGTTGGACGCGCTTTATACCTTCATCCTCTCCTCTTCCGTGGACGCTCTCTTAACAGTGAAGATCCTCGGAGTCCGGCACGTCTTGCAACAAGATTTTTCGATGGTCAGGGATTTGCGCGACATTGTTAGTATGATCGAAGGTATTCTGGGGTTGGAACGCGGCGATGTGCGAAGTGCCCTCAGCGACCTGAGTTCCCTTGTTGAAATCAAGGACAACATAGCTACCCTTGAAAGGAACGCGATCTTCTTTCAGCACTCCTCCTTTCAGGACTTCCTCCTCAATAAGGAACGTTCGAAGGAATACTCTATTGATCTCCTCGAAGGCCATAGAGTGACCGTCCAGTGGATCCTAAGGAATTTCCCAAGAACCGGTGCGTCTCCATGAAGCTATTCTGAAGGCAAAAATTCTGTGGAGTGCTAATGGTCGTCTTATAGGGCCGAGAGCGTCCCACATTATTCCTGATGCTGTCGACCTTCACGTTCATTTGTTGAAGCTACCACTAACCGCGGAACTCAAGCACGACCTTGAGAATTTCTCGTTTCACGATTATCTGGAGACACAACTCGAGCGACTCGAGAAGGCCGATCAAACAGCGAATCTCAACCTTATTAGGGACCGCTTGACTAAAGACTTTTTCGGAACTCTTACCTACCTCGTAAGCATATCCCACAACACTCTGGCGAGGTAGTATAGTTCGACTGACGTTATATTCTTGTCCCAGTGCCAGTCTTCCGAACTCCATGACCATCACGCGGCACTGTTCATCGATGATATCACCGCTTCCGTCAATCGCCACCCGAATGCGGAGAAATTCCACCTGTTGAGCACCATTTGGTTTGTTTTGCAGAAACCTCCGAAGTCTTATCCCTCGACGGAACTGTCGGTCAAGATTGCTCGTCAAATATTCGAGCCTCATCGGGTATGGGAGGCGTTATGTGCGACTCTCTGTGGGTTGGACTCTGCGGATGTAACTTGGGACAGGCTCCATTACGATTTGTTACACCATCGGGACTCTCAATTGGCAGCAAGATTCTTTCTTAATCCGTTGGGAAGCTTACATGGGAACACCGACGAGACTAGGAAACGTGTTCCTGAGCCGGTCCTGTCCCATGGGCTGGTCCGCCTCGCAATCTCATGTGTGCAGTACTTACGCCAGCACGCCGGATCAAAGAAGACGAGCCGGACGCGGGACCTACTTCGTTCCTGGGCGAATAAATCGAGGCACTCCCCCTGGATACAGAGGTGGCGGGCGCGGAGTGTATCTCCCCAATACAGAAGGACCAGGCTATGGAAGAACGGCAAAACCAGATATGCGTACAGAACGTACCGCTATCCTCCAAGTCTCCGTCGACTGCGCCAGGGATTTTATTCGAACCTCGGACGGGCATCAACGTTCTATGGGAAAGCGCATTTTAAATATGCTTGGACTCTTGACCTCCTCCGCCGCACCCTCCGAGCAGCAAGACGGTCAGACGAACTCGTCCTGGAACTCTCACGGCTATTCGTGCACTGGCCGGCACCCATCATTTTTCCACGTCGCATCAGGAGAGTTAAAGTAGCCCTCGATGCGTGTGTAAAGGATGTAAGTACCCAACATCATTCCAGCTACATGGCGGACATGCTGACAACCATCCAAAGGTTAGCCAGGAGTCGGACGTCGGCGAGAACAACATCGTCATTTTGTCGGTCTTGTTCGACAAAGTAGATAGTATCTCCTGCTGCTCAGATGACGAGCAATATTTTTCTTGTTTCGAATCGTCGTAGAAGTGGACTACTGGAGATAATCCAGCCTTTGTTGCCCCATGTTATTGCGCCTCACTGGGCCTAACCGAGAGCCGAGTTTGCCAGATTGGGTATCCTCCCAACCTGAAGTCGATCGAGTAATATAAAACTCACCTTCCGGAGAACAGATATGTAAGACCGATGATACTTGGTGCATTTGTTGAATGCCTGGACACACTAACAGACTGGGATGATATGGTTACTTTGACAAAATGTCGGCCAGCCCCTGCCTTGCTCCAAGTCGTCGGGGCTTGCGAGGTGTCATGCAAGAAGCTAATATTAATATAACCACCACAAATTATAGTTCGAATGACTAGTAACGATGATTACTCCAGGATTAATCTTGTAAGAGTGGGCAAGGGGCGTAAATTAAATGAAGTCAGTCTCTGCGAGGCAGTGCTGCTCAGATTAGATTAGATTACGCCTGATTTCGCTCTTGGAAGAAACACGTGTGTCAAACTGCTTACCGTCTGGTTAGCCTGCCGGCCATGTCATCCCCTGCAGCACATCCTCAGCCAACTGTACACATCCTTGGAGGAAGTCACAGGTCCTCAATAGAGGGCTCGACCATTAACGTGAATCCCACATATCAAACGGTGACTAGGTCTAGAGGTAAACACCGTGAATCCCAGAGCCCTCTTAGATGAGCTAATCGAAAAGAAGGGATCGACATCTTGACGAGAGCCGTCTCCCCCAATGCCTTCCACAACTCAGACGACCGTCCCGATCCTCCGAAATGCCATGAGAACACGAGGGTGGCGATCATCAAGAAGATAATGGACTGGGTGACGGCCAAGATCGACACAGAGGCTTTCATGCTCTGGCTCTACGGTCCCGCCGGCGCAGGAAAGTCTGCCATCGCCCGTACAGTAGCAGAACTGTGCGAGGAACAGGGACTGCTCCTTGCCAGCTTTTTGTTCTTCCGCACAGATGCACGACGAAACACGATGAAGCCGCTGGTGGCCAACCTCGCGTATCGAATTTCCTGTGTTATTCCAGCGGCTCGGGCACACATCGAAGCCACTGTGGAGGCTGATCCCCTTATCCTCTCATACTCACTTCAAGACCAGTTCGTCAGACTCCTCTTCGAGCCTCTTCGACTACTGTCAGAACGAGGCCACTTTTCCTCAGTTCCATTACCTCCGTTGATCATCATCGATGGCCTCGATGAGTGCCTAGATGAAGGCTCACAGACCTCACTCATTCGACTTCTCTTCTCTTTAACGTACCGTTACCAACTCCCTCTCAAGTTCCTGATCACCAGTCGTCCAGAGGCAGACATCAAACCTGCCTTTGCAGCAATTTCGCCCGTTTCCCACCTTGAGCTCAACGATGACTTCTTCCCTGACGACGATATCCGCCTCTTTCTTGAAGACAAATTTCGAGAGATCAGGTCCTCCCATCCATTCCGCTCGCGGATCCCTTCCGACTGGCCCAATGAAATGAATGTGGATACTCTGGTCCAAAAGGCCTCTGGCCAGTTTATACATGCGTCGCTCGCTGCGCGCTTCGTTGACTCACCTCGCCATTTACCCAATCAGCGCCTCGAGATCCTCCTCGACCTTCGTCCACCCACCAATCGTGACCTTCCTTTTGCAGAACTTGACAACCTCTACACGTGGCTCCTTTCTCGCGTTGAAAATCCGCCCCTGGTCTTGCAGATCCTGGGGGTCAGCATCGCTCTCAAAGGGGGATCAAGTTCAGTCTCCATCGGGAACGTAGAGTATATATTAGACTTGGAGGATGGGGACCTGATTGTTGCCCTCACTGATCTTGGCTCTATTCTTCGATGTCATCTGAGAAAGCCCTTCGGCGGTGTACAATTCCACCACCGTTCCTTTGAAGATTTCCTTCTCAATCCACAACGGTCAAAAGAACACTACGTTGATGGTCGCAAAAGCCATACGGCAATTGCCCAAAGGGTCCTTCGGGCTTTCAGGCGAACTGGTACTGGTGAGTCGCCACCGCTTGGGTAAGATTGTCACCGCACGTGTACTCGTACTCAGCGTGGTGAATTGTATAGCAATAATTTTGGACCCCCGAGCTAACAGCACCCCATTTCACATTGACCTGAAGGGGCATTTGGCATCCTCATATGCCTCAGCATCATTTGAATACGACCTCAAAGAGTTCTCCTTTGCAATTTATTCGCATTCAGTTGCCAATTCAATAGGTGCAGACAATACAGAAGTAATGGTTAAGGGCTGGATACAACCATCATTTGGATTCCTGCAGTATCTACAAGAAAGTGTGAGTCTGCTCCAACTCGAACAGCCCCTTGCTAATTATCGCTGTCTAGAACAAACTTGATCTCTATCGCTGCCAGTCAGAGGACTTCATAACTCACATTATTTCTTGGTTTGAAGGCCGTCCCTATCCCGAAAATTTTAATCTTCTAAACGCTGTGTGGTTTGTTTGTTATACATCCCCAAAGCCGCGCTCTAGTTCCTTTCGATCTTCAGTACTTCTTCCCACTGCCCATCTATGGAAGGAGCTGTGTGCCTCCCTTTTTTGTTTTAAATCCTCTGACCTCACCTGGGAAGACGATTACTACAGACTTTTACATTGCCCCCACCTTGACAAAAGACATGGGATCATAGCCTTCATTGATCACATACATGGAGGACTCACTGCATTTATGCGTCGACTTGCTCCTGGCCATAGGTTGTCCGATCAGCTTGCACGCGTCGCAATTGCATGCATACAATATCTGCACCGACGCTGCTCCGGAGGGAAGATGCGCCAAACCTTACACCGACTTGCAGTCTGGGCCAGAAAATCGAGACGCTCGCCGTGGTTGTGGAGACGGCGGATACGAGGTGCTACACGGGACCTGCGTGTTCCTTGCTGGTGGCATCGCGTGACTGGGTGGTTACCAGATCGAAGCCTATCCCTGGCGCAAGAGATTTTATGCTTCAAGGGGCACCATAGGCAACCAAGACTGACGCGTCTCATGTACTGCTGGACCCTCCAAATCCTCGATGGGGCTCTGCGCACAGGTGGGAAGTCAGACCAACTCACGAACGCCCTCTCAAAGCCAATTGAACTCTGGCCGCTTTCTGTATTCTTCCCGCGACGCGTAAGACGCCTCAAGAAAGACATTGCGACCTACATGGACAAGGTACGAGGCGGAAATTGAGTTACTTGAACTGTCGAGCTGACCACTGTGTGTAGTTTGGCCCACGAGGCGAGAGCCCTGAGGATAGCACGGCAGACTCGGAGGCTGGTTCACAATGTGAAGAGGATGAAGACTGTTTCGAGGAGCTCTCGGATGAGGGGGAGGTGTATTTCTCTTGTTCCGAATATTTGTAATTTGTATGCAAGTTTACCGGCTCTTTTCATTGTCTACTCATAGTTGACTTCACGATGATATTTAATGCTGATACTCCTGAATCTCCTGTCCCGAAATTCTTGGTCGAACCAATATCTCCGGGCCGTCTGCTAGCCTTTCTTCTTCGTCATACAGGTCCATGAGTCCATGACAAAAGGGAGTGCAGAGCGCCTGTGCCGAGAGTGAAGAAATGAGAATTTCGACAATAACAGGCGCCGATTTAACACGGCGCTTAAATGCGGTTAGAGCGCGTATGCATCAGCCAACCTATTATTTCGTCTCTTGATTTCTAATCTTCTTAGAATATCGAGTAAACTCGGCGGACGAAGAGTCCTGGCACGTTTCCTGCGACCACGACTAACACCATTACTCGTCTTTTACCCATACTGACCCCGATCTCGCACTCATCGATGCCGTCCGCTTAGGTAGCGGCGCTGGGGTCCGCTCGGGCGAGTACTGCGGCCCCTCCATTGTCATTTTCCACCCCACAAATTTCTGCATACAGCCACAGCTCGATATCACACTTCAAAGCCTCAATAACAAACGCTGCTGGACGTAAGCCTCGATTGGCGTGCGCCCTGCATAAACTCTGCGCATGATATCTCTACCATCTAGTTGAACGTCGAGAGAAGGGACACCCTCAAGGCTCGCCACGGGGAATCTGAAGGCTAGCTACAGCCCCGCGCGATTTGAAGCGTACGGGAAATTTGCGGCTTTTCCAAGGTCTTTGACGTCAAGAAACCCTCGTTGCTCTGAGAGGGTGAGCAGCTCGGCACGAAATGCACGAGGAGGCTGAAATTTAACGAACGGCGCTCTTGGGTCTGCCCACCTTGCTATTCAAGGCGCAGGACACAGTTACATCGACGAGAGGTTCTCGTAATACGACTTCGTCCAGAGCCGGATAAGCTGATCACGGAAAATTTCAAACGTCGGGTCGGCCTACCACACGATGGTGCATGAACGGGGTGTATGGAGGTGCTACTTGAGGCTTCTACCGTCGATCAAGGTTGGTTTCCCGAAAGCACATCGGCTGCCAAACAAATTTGTGGACAGTGAAAAGTATGTCTAACAAAGGAGACATCGTCAGCATTGTATTCCCGTTAACAATCGGAGGAATCTACCTCGCAGACCCTGCAGTGGTCAACGATGTTCTCCTACTCTCCCTGCCCTTCTTCAATGCTTGCCTCGGATAGACTTCTCAGGTGTTATATCCCTCCAATGATATTTGCTAAGACAAAGACCCAATCCAGGGTGAGCGGATCGTTAGGTTAAACGGAGTGTAGGCTGACAAATATAAAAAGGGGACGACGTGGCGGTAGTCGGAGAGCATAAAGGCGCCGGTCAAACAAAGGAACGAAAACGGCGTGAGGAACGCGAAAGAGGATGGAATGTTCATCGATTGGGGGAAATCCAGCGCATAGCAGCCGTGAGGAACAGTTTGACTGCGTATATGCGCCCTAAGATCCATATTTGAATGCTAATGTGAACAGGAGCCAAGCGTGTTGCCGATCAATGTTGATGAGGCTCATCGGTGCCGCGATATGCCTGGCCAGCAGCAGTTGATCACGGAAGAGATCGAATGCCATCACAAGAGACTGAAGATACGACGTGCGAGCGGGAGATTATGGTGTATGGAAGTGCGATGCTGGACTTGAGGAATTTCCACCATCGATGAAGTTGTCTGACAGGACATCAGCAGCCGAGCAAAGAAATTTGAGCTAGAGATAGGTCTAAAAAGGAGGCGTCGTCAGCATTTAACCTCATGAGGAATTAGAGGAATTTACCTCAAAAACCTTGCTGCGAGTTAATAACGCGCTCCTATACTCCGAATCCCTACCATTCTTCTCCGCTTGCCCCAGAAACCCTTTTCCTGCACTCCAGAATCGGGGCTCGCCGGCGAGGACTAAGATAGCTGCTAAGAGCTTATTCCAATCCACGTCGTTGGACACGTTGAACTTTGAAGACGAAGCCAAAAAATATGCCTGCTTGAAGATGGGGACGTTTTAGAAGGTAGATCGCGTAGTTGAATGAAGTGAAAGGGGAAGAGGATATGAGGCGGCGGTAGGAAGGGTAGTCGAAGATAACGATCGTATCAGACGAATGAAGGAAAGGCGAGTGGGATGCGAGGTTGTGAGGGATGGGATCGTCGATCGTTGAAGGGAAACCAAACAAATAGGAGTCGCGAGGAAGACGTTTGAGTGGGTATTTGAACACCCGCATTCGAAGAACAACGCGAGCAGGAGCGAGGCATGTTGTTGAATCAGGCTTATCGATGCTGTTGATATCAGATGCATGGGCGGGGAGGACAGAACAGAGGCCTCTTAGAGATGTCGAACCACCATTCGAACTTCCTGATGCTGGGGCCTTTTGCAGATATCGTCGCACCTGTTGTTCGAGATTTTGTCTTGCTAGATGGCATCAAAGGATACCGTACACCAACAGCTCTATACAGCGATCTATGTGCTATCATCAGCATCTCTTTGGTCCACGAGAAACTGGTAAACTCACCCGAGTCAAAGACATGAAATATAACCTTTCCGACAACGTCGACGACACAACTCCTCTCACTCTTGTCGATGTTCTTCACATTTCTGTGCTCTCTGACGTAAACCCAGTTATTTGTTCCCGGGACACGTTTACCACAAGCGGCGGCGCCGAGGAGGTTTGAGCGAGGTTGCAATAGACGATTCGACCATTGTTCAAGACGGAGGGGGTTCGACCGGCACCTGCAGTGCTCCCTGCGAGATAACTGGGCGGTGGGGGGAATGCATATCCTCCTCATGCTTCATGCTCCGAATAGCGCTGTGGAAAAGTTCCCGGCCGGTGAGAGACTTGAGTTGCTTGTTTTTCCGGCTGCCTCGCTTTTATCCTCGTCCGCGAACATACTTGAACAGGACAGCCAAAGCAGTGGAGACGCTGAGTGGGGATGTTAAGGGGGGCCAGTCAAGGAAGTGTGGTCGTAGTGCCGGATCGACGACTTGACACATTATGATACACTGAGAGCTTTGAAGCGAATGAAGCGGGCGAAGAAGTCGCTTTGACGATGGAGTTGAGGAGGAAGAGGGAGGCGTAGGATCACTGGTTAAAACGAGGAAACTGGGTGAGGCTGAGGCTGAGAATGAGTTAGGGTGGAGGCCGAGAGGCGTTGGCGGTGCAGGTCAACGTGCAGGTGGGTTTCACACAGCAGGGGGAGCTAGCCATAGCGGGGAGGACGGCTCGAGGAGAGGTGCGGGGGGATGTCGGCCAGCGACAAGTGGAAGGAAGGGTGATGTTGAGGATGTGACCAAGCGGCTTTGAATGAGGGCCATGGGTTGCTCTGTACGTCGAGGGATACGGCGTCTCGAACCCAGGGATAGCCGTGGGACATGGTGGATGAGTCGGCCCGAAGAGGACCTCAGACACTTGGTTGGAGACCGGGGACCCAGCCATCAAACGCCCTTCCGTTCTGCTGGAGCTCGGCTTTTCCTGACCTTCGTTTCAAGAGATCCTTGTCTATAGCCAAAGATAGAGCAAATTTTGTCGTGATCTGGAAGACGCGTCCGACGCACGCCTGATGTCTTACGAGCTCCAGCAAAGAAATGGTAAGGAATGAAATTGCATCGTTGTTTACTTACTGAAAAAGAGATACGCCCAGAAATTATGCATCATCTCAAGTAATGGGATATAAAACTTGTCGCATAGAAGCGATACCCGGCATCCCCACCAAGATTTCCGATGTTCCAGTCACGCAAATTAACCCTGCCTCTCGGATGTGTGAATACTTACCTCGACAGAATATCCGAAACGAAGGCGATCCGACTCCTACGTACCTGCGAACTCTCTCTCAAGTTGTTGATAGCGAGCCGCTCACTGGCAGAGTAAGACATCGAGTTCGCCTTCAAGTTGATCAGCACGAAGGTCGTCGTGGCGCATCTAGGACTCAACGACGCGTTCAAACCGTTCGCGCGCTTCTCACCAACAAGCTCATTAACGTCAAGCAATACGACCCGTTCAGTGCTTCTTGTCCCAGGGAAGGGAAAATAGCAAAGCTCCCCTTGCCACTTACCAGCCCACTCTTGGAGAATCATTCTCGGGATCCGACCGCCCGTCCATCGAGAGTCCCTGTTCGTGGAGTTGGATGCGCATTCCACCCGTATGCCGCCCTCTGTGGTGGCCCCTCTCTTGGCAGCGAATATTCTCAGAGTTAGGCACATCTTACTCGAAGACGTGTGGTTGGTCAGGGATGTACGAGACGTCAGTCTCATAAACGAAGGTATTCTGGAACTGGAACGCGATGAAGTTGACGTATGTAGCATTCGCAGCGACCTGAACTCCCTTCTCGCTATTAGGGACAGCACAGACACCCCTTGAAAGAAATGCAAATTTCTTTCAGCATTCCTCATTTTGAAGGAATAATACTCGACTGGTGTCGTGGAAGTCATAGGGTGGTTGTCCCTGCTAGCAGATCCTTTGGGTTTTCCCAAGAACTGGCACGTCTCCCTACAGCTCTACAGTTGACCTTCCCGTTCATCTGTTGAAGGTAGCACCGACCGCAGAGCTAAAACGCCACCTCAAACTCCCCTTTCACAGCTACCCGGGGCTACAGATTCAGCGTAGCCCGAAGAAGACGCGTCGGCCGGAGAACCCCCTTCATTTCTGGGAAACTAAATATCGAAGCGCACACGATCTCGCCCCAGAATGTGCTGCGCCACACTCCTAGCCGAAATTTGGAATTACCGGATCGGGCCTCCTCCCAAGCAGAGCTGGTCGAGACAGACAGTACAAAATTTACCTACAGGCAACCACTCTATGACTGTAAAAGGAGTCCAACACTGAACACCTATATCTCCAGCTGCTGGCCGGCTCGATACAAGTAATTTGCCTGGACGCTTAGGCTGTCCAGGTAAACCGCGCATCTTGGCATAGATTTTGATGTTTGACCGCTTGCCCCTCTCATTAAGGCCGCGTATTCATCTTAGACACGGCGAGTAAAATTGGCGAATTGTTGTATTATGAATTCTAGTTACACGAGACTGAGGCGACATTGCGCAAGCGAGGCGCACGCACGACACTCAGGGAGCATCTGACAGAACAACGCCGGCACCACGGGTAAAACAGGTAAAGAGGCCTAACAGAGAAGGCGTTGTCAACGTCTATCGCATCGCCGAATGAGTTGACTCACACTTCGTGATTGTAGCTGTGCCAAAGCTCTTCGCCTCGTACACGTAGCCGGAAGACAATCAACAACAGCGAGCACCTATCTCCGATAAATCGTCCATTTCATCATATCCGCGTACTCCGGGCTCGCGCCGCGTGAAGAACCGCTCCTCGTTGGTGGAGTCGACCGGCCGCTGAGAGGCGGTAGAGGACAAAATCTGGCGAGACAAATGACGGAAGAGGCATTAGGATAAGGCAATTGTGTCTTGCACGACGTGTGCTTGAGCATGAGGAGAGCCGTGGGTGTATGGGGCTGTAGTATCACAGGATCAATAGGGAGACTTGAAGGAGGGGTGCCAATCACCAAAGGATAGGATAAAGTCCAAATGAGAGGAGAGGGAATGGACTGCCAGAGGCGGATCGATCGTGTATCGCCCTCAAATGCGCATCGCGTACATAGCTTCGAGGAGGGTGTGGGGGTGGGTGCATATAAGGATCCTTATGCTCGTTTTTTGAGGTTGGTGTCGGCGTGTTTTATGGAAAAGATTCTTGCGGTGCCGCAAGAACGGCATAACGAGCACCTCGGAGTCAAGGTGTTCGTCGTCTCCACGTCCTATTGATTTCTCCTGCCATATGGTATCGAGAGACCTGTTAATACGAGCGTTGAAAATCCGGAGGTAAGCATGAATCCTGAGGTCGAAGAGTCGGAGGACAAGCGCGAGGCAGACAAGCGGTGGTGGTCGACGAAGAGCGCGACGAGGCGAGATAGCGGAGGAGAGGGACACAGGAGACACGACGAGGTTGTTTGAATGGATATGTGCCTTCCACTGACGCTATTTCGAGATCGATGCAGGCAAAATCAAGGCCCTTGCCACTCGTCTCGTGGCTTTGAACAGAGATGGCGAGGGCGGAACAAGATTTACCGGCTTTGTCGACGTCCTTGCAGCCGAGGGGTTTGTCGGCGGTATCCAGACGGTTTACTTGAATTGCCTGGAAGATATCGTCCAGTTTTCGAGGCTTCGACTGAACTCGATGCTAGGCAGCGTCGAAGGGAAGATGACTTGGAGGTATTCTACGCAGCGGCAGATCTGCAGAGTCCCATCAGCAACCTTTTTTATCAAGAAGTCGCTGCAACTCACAGAACGCCGACAATCCTCGACGACGTCGATACGACGTCCCCTTTCCCTCCTGTCGACATTCATCACTTTTCAGTGCGCTCTCGTGAAGGTAAACTTGCGGTTGTGGCACCGTCGGAGGCAGCGTGGCGTTGCCATGTTGAGAGAGCCCAGCGAGGAGAGATTGGTCGATGAGGGGCAGAAAGGTCTGCATAGGGGGGATCGTCGTAGGGATGATATCGAGGCCGAAAGAGGTCGGTGGTTGGGCAGTGGTACATGACTACTGGGTGTAGATTTTTATTGAATATTGCCCGCCATGCCATGGGGTTATGGGAGAGAATCCAGGCCCACGCAGAATAGTAGATACACAGGTTGTCGATCGGAGAGGTGGCGAGGTCGGATTGACGGAAGCTTCATGAACCTGGTATGATTAGATTAGATTAGATGCCCTCTCGTGTTGATGGGTGACATCTCTCTTTCCTCTCATCAACTCCTTCCGCTATCGCCAGCTACACCTTCCCTCCAGAAGACTGGATTCAATGGCAAACATCCTAGCAGGAAGTTACGGGGCATCAATAGACCATTCAACGTTCAATGTGAATACCACCTATCAAACGGTGACTGGGTCTAGAGGTGAGTTCAACGAGTATCTGGGTCAGCCTCTTGCACGATAAGTCAATTGAGGACAAGGATTCGACATCTTGACAAGAGCCGTTGCTCCGACTGCCTTCCACAACTCAGACGACCGACCCGATCCTCCAAAATGCCACGAGAACACGAGAGTGGCGGTCATCAAGAGGATAATGGACTGGGTGACGGGCAAGATCGATACAGAGGCCTTCATGCTCTGGATGTATGGGCCCGCTGGCGCAGGCAAGTCTGCCATCGCCCGTAGCGTGGCCCAGCTATGCGAGGCGCAAAACCTTCTCCTTGCTAGCTTCTTGTTCTTTCGCCCAAATCCGCGACGCAACACCATGGACCCACTGGTAGCCACCCTCGCATATCAAATCGGCCTAGTTGTTCCCGCTGCCCGGGCCCACATCGAACCTGTTGTGGAAGCTCATCCCCTTATTCTTTCTTACTCCCGTGAGCGCCTTGAGGAACAATTCATCAAGCTCATCTTTGAACCCCTTCGACTACTTTCGGAACAAGGCCACTTCTCACAAAATCCATTACCTCCATTGATCGTCATCGACGGCCTCGACGAAGGCGTGCAGACCACACTCGTCCGAGTTCTCTTCTCTTTAGCATCCCGTTACCAACTCCCTCTCAAATTCTTGATCGCAAGTCGTCCGGAGGTGCACATCAAACCTGCCTTCGAGGCCATTTCACCCGTTTCCCATCTCGAACTCAATGACGACTTTAGCCCCGACGAGGATATCCAGCTGTTTCTCAGGGACAAATTTCAAGAGATCAAGACCTGTCACCCCTTTCGCTCGCATATCTCGTCGGATTGGCCCAATGAACGGACATTGTACGACTTGGTCTATAAGGCCTCTGGCCAATTTATATACGCATCGCTCGCTGCGCGCTTTGTCGACTCACCTCGTCATTTACCCACCCAGCGTCTCGAGATCCTCCTTGACATTTGTCCATCCACCAATCGCGACCTTCCTTTTGCAGAACTCGACAACCTCTATACATGGCTCCTTTCTCGCGTCGAGGATCCACCCTTGGTTTTGCAGATCCTGGGAGTTTGCATCACTCTCAGAGAGAGACACTCCTCTGCTTTTATTCACATCATAGAATTTATAATAGGCTTAGAGGGTGGTCAGCTGGTCTTTGCTCTCGCTGATCTTGGTTCAATTCTTCAATGTGATCAGAACAAAATTGCATTCCACCACCGTTCCTTTGAAGATTTCCTTCTCAATCCACAAAGGTCAAAAGATTACTACATTGATGCTCACAAAGGTCATACAGCCATTGCCCAAAGGGTCCTTCAAGCTTGTAGGAGAACCAGTGCCAGTGAGTAGCCATCATTGGGTGAGATTGTCACTACATGTGTACTCAGTGCAAATTGTATAGTGCCAATTCTGGACTCCGAAACCAGGAGTGTCATCTACAAGATTAGGCTGGAGAATCATCTGGCACTCTCATATGCCTCACCTGAACTGGAAGATGATCTCAACCATTTTTCCTTTGGGCTATATGCACATGAATATGCAATTGCTTGCTCATTCAGGACACCCAAAAATCAAGATATCTTAAAGAGAATGCTGTGGAAACCATTTAGACTCTTAAAGTATTTGAAAGAAAATGTGAGTCTTCTCTTGCTCAGACAATAGTTCCTTGTTAAGTAATATATCTAGGACAACAAATTTGACCTCTATCACCACTACTCAGAGGACTTCACAAATCATATTATCTCTTGGTTTGAAGGCTGCTCATGTCCAGAGAGATTTCATCTCCTGAGCACTATGTGGTTTGCTTGTTATACAGCTCCAAGGTCACGACTAGGATGCACTGAGACCTTTCTTCACTCTTCAATAATTGAGTCTGGAACTTCTCAGTGGAAGAACCTATGTGCCTCTCTTCTTGGTTTTAGCATTTCTGACCTCAACTGGGAAGATAATTATTACAGATTTCTGCATTATACGGCTTACACATTGAATAGCAGCCAGAAAATTATGGCATCCTCAACTATGATTGATTGCCTACATGGGGGCCTCCCTGTGTTTATGGGCCGACTCGCTCCAGAGCATATATTGTCCGACCGGCTCACACATGTTGCAATTGCATGTATACAATATCTACATCGACGTTGCTCTGGAAGGAAGACACGCCAAACCCTCCGCCAACTTACGGTCTTTGCCAGAAAGTCGAGACTCTCGCCGTGGTTGTGGAGACAGCGGACACGGGGTGCTACAGCCCAGCCTATTCGAAGGATGCGTTACCTAGAGACATATCGATCATCACCATATCAAAGTCTCTACCGAGTACAGGAAACTATATGCTTCAAGACTCATTATATGCAACCTGGGGTGGTGCGGAAAATGTACCGGTGGACCCTCGAAATCCTCGACGGGGCCCTGCGCAAAGGTGGGAAGTCGGACGAACTCACAAACATCCTCTCAACGACAATTGAACTTTGGCCTTTGTCTGTTTTCTTCCCGTGCCGCGTGAGACGCATCAAGAGAGCGATCGCCATTTACATGGACAAGGTACGTGGCGCAGATCATTAAACTTTGAGTATACTTGGACCGTCGAGCTTACTCCTGCATGCAGGTCGGACCACAAGCCGAGAGTCCCGAGGGTAATGAAGCAGGCTTGGAGGGTGATTTGCAGTACGAAGAGGATGGGGACCGTTTCGAGGAACTCTCGGATGAGGAGTATTTTTCTTGTCCTGAATCTTCGTAGTTTGTATGCGTGATTGCTAGCTCTCTTTCATTATTTACGCCAATTTTTCTTCGCAATATTTGTATTGAGAAGTAGGCGGACAACTTCAAGAGCCACTGAATCTGATCCTGGTGTGCCTGTAGCTGCGGTCGGGCTGAAGTCGCTAGTTGCTTGGTCTTTTCGTCATCTGCCTGCTAGCCTTTCCATGCAGGACCTGCGTCAGTAAAGAAACGAAGAATCTGAAATAGCGGATGCAAGATGGTGCTTAAGAACACCGAAATTGGGTATGCATTTGCTCGAGCATTCATCCACTGACTTATTTTGGTGAGGAAGGAATCAACTCGGTGGACGAGTATTCTACCGCATTTACTGCAGGTGTGCGAGAAGCTTCAGGTGCGATACCTGGACATGGACATTCTCCGTCTTTTCGAGTCCAACACCACACCGCGGCCACACTACTCGCTCTCAGCAACACTAATATTCCGACCTAACACCCATCGGCGGTCGCGCCTCGCTCTCATCCTACCATCCTCATCCTCCTCATCTTCCGGAGCCCCGGCGGACGGTCAGGCCCACAACGGAGACAGCCAAGCGAAACGAGCACCACAGCCCTCCCACAAGGCTTCGTGCAGTATGCAAACCTCACTATGAACCCTCTGAATAGGCTGCGGCGCTAGGGTCCGGTTCGGCGACTCCAATGACCACCACTTTGACACTTCCCGCCTTATCTTCGCATACGAGCAATGAGCAACTCTCCAAGCTAGCTCGATGTCGTGGTCGAAAGCGCTAAAAACGAATGCTGGACGTGCGCCTCGTTTGACGCCACACCAACACCCTGTGAACGATATCCATACATCTGGGTGGATCATGACACGAAGGAAAGGACACCTTCGAGCAGGTTCCTGAGGATCCAACGGCCAGCGATACCGTGAAGTTTGGGTATATTAGTGCGAGACCCACGAACCCCACGAAATCCGCAAAGAGGCTGATGGCGAACGGCGTTAACGTGCACACCCACCCACTGTCGTGAAGTGTGGTAGGCGGACGTTGTGTCACTGAAGGTGCAGCACAGCCTTGCGTTGACGAGACGGTGTCGTGATACGACTTCATCCAACAGCAAACACGGCGAGCTGATCAAGGAAGAGGTCGAACGTCGGGACGGTCTACCACACGAGAGGTGGCAGCATGGAGTCAAGTGTATGGAGGTGGGATGCTAGATTTGAGGGTTTCTGCCCTATATTTGAGGGTCTCCCACCTGGATGACGGCCGATTGCTCGAAAGGGCGTTGGTTATCGACCAAAGAAACATCGCGAGAGGCATTTCTAACGAAGGAATGGCTGAAGGGAAGTACAGCCCATAGTAGTCGGGAGGAACATGATTGTATATGAACACCCGTATTTGAGGGTCAACGTGGCCAGGAGCGAAGCCTGTCGCTGATCGACGTTCATGAGACTCATCGGCGTTGTCAATGCCGGATGTCGGGGCGGCAGGGAGGGCAGGACAGAGACCTCTCAAAAACGTATGCTGGCATTCGAAGTTTCGGTCCTGCTGGGGCCACCACAATATAATCGTGGCCGTATTTTGGGTTTTCATCTTGTTGGATAACGGCGAGGGACATCGTAAACCGATAGCTCTATGAAGCAATCTATGGGCTATCATCAGCATCGTTTCGATCCACGAGAAGCCGCATAGCTCACCCGAACCGAAGAGATAGACCATAATCTTTCCGAGGACGTCAACAACGCGACTTCTCTCACTCTTGTAGATGTCCATCACATCCTCGTTCTCTGACATAAACCCAGTTGTTTGTTTCCGGCACAGTCACCATAGGATGAAGTGGCTATGGGGGGAGTGTGAGTCGTAATGGACAAACTGAAGATTGGTTAGGAGGGAGGTTCGTTCGGTGCCTGCGCTGCTCGTTGCGGGCAAAGGACGGAGGGGTGACAATGCGAATGCTTCTCCTTTTCTCTCTTCAAGTGCCGATGAAAGTCGTAGAAAAGCTCGCGGCCGGTGGGAGGCTCGAGTTGCTCGGTCTGTCCCCTCGTTGTCATCCTCGTCTACTAACATGCTTGAAAAGGACAGCCAACGTCGCGGAGATGACGAGTCGCGGCGAGCTTGCGGACAGTGTGAGGTCCAAGTTGCTCGGACTGCATGAGCATTGCGTCCTTGAGATTGTGTACCTCTTGAAAAAGATATGTACGGGATATGGTGGGTCGAGGCGTTGGCGCGTGATGTCTTGACGGCGGCCAGTGAGGCTAGCCTGGTCGTGGCGATAGATACAACGACATGGGGTGCAACATGCCGAGGGCTTGGGAATAGGGGGGAGGGCAGTCGATTTCACGATGAAGAGCAGAAGGGAGTGGGAGGAGTAGGGTTGCGGATCGGGGGTGGAGGATTGCGGCCGTGCGAAGTTCTCGACCAAGTCAGCAATCCAGCATCTCCCGTCTGCCCTCGCCCTCATCTCTGCTCTCTCTGGCATTCCCCTCGCTCTCTCAACCAAGTCCACCACCTTTACGCAAGAAGCCCTTTGGTCGTCGTTGTCTTCGTGGCCATCGTCATCGTTGCACTTGATCAAGTTAATAACCCGTCCTTCCTCCCCTTGTTTTAACCGTGACTGACACAATCCTCTCTCTCGCCAGTAGCTACCACCATGTCCTCCACAGTCAAGGTCTTCATCGACGATCAAGGCAAGCCCACGAATATTCCGGACTACGAGACGATCATCACGCAGTGTTTCGTCCTGCGTCGCCGGCAGGCTACCGCTACCAACATCAGCGGTGTGCGAATCGCCCTCGAGTCTCGACAAGCGGTCTGAGCACGACGTCAGCAACATCTGGGTCAAGTCCGGGCGCAACATCACCATGGGCGAGGCCAGGACCCAGCGCTTTGACGCGCAACACCTTCAAGACAGCGAGAACCTTGCCGTGCGTGCCCCTCGCGTTTAGCTCGCCTTCACGTGGGGCAACTTTGGTTACATTGTCACCGAGTACATCGACGGGCAGACATGCGACAACTCTGATATTGCCCTGGTCGCCGCCGCTGTGCAGGTCCTGATCAACATCCCGAGCCCCAATTTGACGCCTGGACCCGTCGGAGGAGGCCTGATCGAGCACCCCTTTTTCGTCGACGGCAAGTCCTCCATCCGGTACGAATCCGTCGAGGAGCTACAGAATCATGTGAACGGGGTAAGTGTTCTCTTTTATCCGGTCCTGTCCCTCTCATACCTTGGCTGCTCTCCCACTCTTACTACAGATTCTCTCCGAGACGGAGAGGAGGGGGCGTGTTAGCTTCACCACCGAGGTCGCCAATCACGGTCTGCGCCTCTGCGTATCTGACCTGATACCTGTCAACTTCATGAGGGATAGGGACAATAACTAGGATCGTGGCGGTGGATTTTGGCGGCTACTCCTTCCTACCGCCCTCCTTCGCCTTCACGCTGCAACACGGAGGCTGTTCAAACTTCGCACACCGCATCGCCCCCATGCTTGAGTATCCACCATCACCGTCTACACATGTTGCGGCATTGGTGAGCGCCTCCTGCGCGCTGGCCCCATGTTCTAGCAATGATATCGGGATCCGGTGAGCAGATCTCCTTGCTCTCTTTTCTTTTCCTTACCTCTCGCCCCCTTACCAGAACACCGAGCTCACTCACTGTACTGCACAGGCGTTACTCAGCACTGAGTGAGCTCGTAGATTGACGTGTTGAACGTTTCCGTTCGTTGAGCGACTTCCCTGATGGTCTGGACCTTCAGGTGGCTGTGCCATCCAAAATAACCCCCATCTCGGCTTTCTCCCAAACCTCGTTCAAGGTTCAAGAATTTCCCCATCCATAATCAACTACAGATGGGATTTCATCGCACTCTCTGGTGAGACTCCCTATCTCCTGCGATATTGAATGAAAATGGTACGTCTTGAGAGCTTGAGATCGCATACGTAATCTTATTCACTCACGGAGAAGGAATTTCCCCAGAAATTCATTTATCGTCTCAAGGCGCAGACCGGAACTGCTGCACATCCACGAGATGTTGTCGAGATAAGAATTTACTTCGTGTAGGGACGGACACCGCGAGCTGACCGCGGAAAGGGCTTGAATGCTGGAACCGGTCATCAGAAGAGGTTGAAATGACAGTGCACGAGGTGCATGGTAGTACGATGTTGAACCTGAGGGCTTCTGTCGTTGATGAAGGCTCGTAACACGAAAGGACGTCGGCGTCCGAGCAAAGAAGTGCCAGTGAGAAAGAGGTCTAACGAGGAGGGATCGTCAGCGTTGTTTCGTGAAGAATCGGAGGAATATACCTCAAAATCGCTCCTCCGGGCCAATGACGTGCCCCTTCTCTCCGCGCAACTCGAGTGCGCTGTTCCTGCGTGATTGATAGCATTTAAGCAGTGCGGCTTGAAGACAAGGACCAAGATTTGCTGAGACGACGCTCAAATCCAGAGGATCGGCAGCGATGAAAGGTTGAAGTAACGATAGATCGAGAAGGCGGAACGGCGAGCGCCATATACAGGAAGCTGGAACACGACTGATGACTGTTGGGTAACGTAGAATGCGTGCTCGAGGATGAGGCTGATGGCGAAGTTGAATGACGCGTGGAAGGAAAGTACGAGGTGGCGGTGGGGTAGTCGAAGAGCATGACGGTGTAGGATGGACGGTGGAGGGGCAATTGGGACATGAGGGTAGCGAGATGTGAAGGAGGATAAGGTATCGTTGAGGAAAGTCCAACTTGACGAAGGAGCCACGAGGAGCATTTTTTGAGTGGGTATATGCGCTTGAACACCCGTATTTGAAGGTCAACGTGTGTACGGGAGCGAGGCCTGTTGCTGATCAACGTTAACGTTGATAAGGTTCTCTGTTGATAAGTACCGCATGCGGGGGCGACACAGAGGGTAGAACGGAGACCTCAGTGAGGTCATGCTTGTATTTGATGCTTCATTCCTGCTGGAGGCTTCTCGCAGATATAGCCGTGCCCATTGTTCGAGATCTTACCTTGCTGTCCAGCGTTGACGGGTATCGTATACCAATAGCTCGATACAACGATCTACATGTTTATCAGCATCCCTCTGATCCAGGAGAGAATACAGAACTCACCTGAGGGAAAGACATAAACGGCGACCTTTCCGAGGACTAGACAACGCGTCTCCTCTGAGTTCTTCCTTTTGTCTGCGTTCAACACATTTCCTTGCGAGATATTGGACGGTGGGTTGACGTTGCGAACGCATATCCCTCTCTTCCTTCATGTTTCGAACGCCGGCGAGAGCTGCGAAGACAGTGGCGGATGGTGGGGAGATTCAAGTTACTCAGGCTGCACGGACATCCCGTCTTCGTCTTCGTCTACGACTTGAAAGGGACAGCCGAAGGATGCTGAATGGGAGCGTTGCAGGTAGCCAGTGAGGCCAGCTTAATCGTAGCGACAGCGAAGAGGGCACACAAAAGTAGGAACCCAGGTTGGAGCAAGGGGACCGTGTGGGGGCAGGGCACAAATGAAGATCGAGGCGAAGAGGTGTTGACGGTGCGATGCAGCGGAGAGATACAGAGGACACATTCTGGGAGGATGTTGGCCAGTGCCGGTGAGGACTCGGAGTGCTGGTCGTGGAAAGAGCGGGGTCGTCGTGGTTGACGTTGAAGTTGCAGGTTGAAACATTGACGTTTGACGTTTGGTTGGGCACAAGGTAACTTCCGGGCCGGGTTAGGCCGGGCCCATTGCCCTCTGTCGGAAATTTCCATAGTGCCTTACAAGGAAGTCTGCCTTATAAAGCACCATTTTGATCTTATCACCGTCTTGTGATCCGAGGCTCCCTCACAAGGCGGACTATTCTATGCCAAGAGCCAGATGATCTAATAATGATTAGATCGATTGATAAGTTCCCAGCCCCACTGTACATTGACGTCGATGTCAATCGTGTTGTTGATTCCAGAAGCTGCCCAACACGAAACTTTCTGGTCGTGGCACCAGCCTTCCGACTACCACGACCATGCCACCCAAACAGAAACCAAACGGCAAACAATGCGCTCCCGCTCAGCAGAAGTACTGCGAACGATGCAAGACCTGGTGGCCGGTGCAAGGCTTTCATAGCCACGAGCGCTCATGCAAGAAGAAACTCCACCGGCCGGATGGAGACAACGCGTTTCAGGCACTTGTTGATCAACGGGAGGCACAATGTGAGTTCAGAGTGTAACCTTGAAGGCTTGATAGCTTGATAACAACCTTTATCCCAGACAATGCCCTCCAAGGTCATCTGCCTATGCCTCCTTCCAGCAGTAAGAGAATCAATCGAAACTGTGGCCGCTAAATGACACATTTCATTGTCCCAGGTGCTGAAATTCAGGCGGTAGATTTTGAGATGGGTACGGAGTTCGAAGGGAACGCAGGTGACGGTCACCCAGGTATGAGAGTGCTGACTCATGATACGTGCACATGTCTGATCAACTTGCCATTTCAGCGTCATGCAAAGATACAAGGCCTCATTCCCCTGAGGAAATAGATCGGGATGATATTCCTCCCATCCCACCCCTCGATCCTGATGCAGCTCTTCCACCTGAAGAACAATTCATTCCCGACCGTGATGATATTAAGATCAAGCACCATCCAGCTTCTGGCAAGCCAGACGAATACTATCGCTTTGATGACTACAATCCCCAGTCTGACATCCGCCTGAAGCAGGCTTCAATCCCAATCGACCACGAGCCTTGGAAGCCGTTCTGAACACGCCTCAACTTCGAGATCGCTGAAATTGTTTTAGACATGCACATGAACTCGAAGCAGACCAAGACCCTTCTTTCCCTTATTTGTCGTTGTATCGAGACCCCTGAAAGCTTTACCATTCAAAGTGTGAAGGACCTTTCGGACGCCTGGACCTTTGCCCGTACCACTAAGACATTGGGGGTGTGTTGATTTTTCCTTCGTTGCTTCGTCATTTATTCATTAAGCATATTATGTTAGTTTGAGTACAGAGATATCACAGTTCCATACAAAGGTGAACAGCTGGCATATGACATGTATACACGGCCGCTATTCAACTGGTGTTTTGATCTGCTAAGAGACAAATCCGTTGTGCCACTATTTCGCTGGAATGCCGAGAAGCGTTTCAAATTTGATGGACGCCACTTTGAGCAATTCTACGACGAGCCGTGGACAGGGAAGACTTGGTGGGATATCCAGGTAAACAATGATTATTGACTATTGGCGTGAGTGCTATTAAGCTTATCATATCCAAGTCCCGACTGCCTGCTGATGGTGTTCCCTTTTGCATCATCCTTTATGCTGACAAGACCTGACTCTCCTCCTTTGGGACTGCCAAAGGATACCCTGTGGTTGCACGCTGTGCCAACCTTCCTGTCCAGGTTTGAAATGGAGATGGTGTTGGTGGTGGTTGGTTGGTTGGCTGGCTGCCGATTGTGAGTCTCAAAAATTGATGTCCGTACACAACCTAATCAGTCATTATTCCTATCCAGGTCGAAGAAGACGCTGGTGAGAGTGGAAAGCAGGGGTTTATAAATTTAAAACGTGTCATTTGGCACCGTGCTTTTCTCGAGATTCTGGAATCCATCGCAAAGTACACTTTCACTGGCTATGAATTGTGATGTGGAGATGATGTGAGACAACGAATTTTCTTTTTCATTTTGATCTTATCTGTGGGCTACGAGGAGCAGTAAGTGTTCATGTCAATTATTGTGCTTGAATCCAATGACATGTTACTGAAAATCCTCTTCAGGTGCATGATGGCGCTGATTCGAGGAACCCGCAGTCGCCATCCTTGCCCGATATGCCTAGTACCAGAGGCAAAGCTCTCAGACCTATCTGAAGTATATCCACTACGAAGCACAGAGGAGATGAAAGAAGTAATTGAAACAGTGCGCCAACTGAAAGCAGCTGAACGTGAGGAGGTTCTCAAAGATCACGGGCTGAGAAACGTTGAGGTATGTCGTCAATTTGTGGTGCCTTTCATCTATAAATAGCTCATCTATTTGCCCAAAAGAATGTGTTCTGGAAGATGGATGGAAGTGATGTGTACAAGGTGTTATCATGGGATCGCCTGCATGCATACCATGGAGGCCTCTTCTCTGACCACCTTTGGGTCAAATTTAAACAGATAATAGAAGGTCTCGGAAGAAAAAGTGCAAAATCGGTTGACGATCAGTATGTTCTCATCAATCTTATTAATTCCATGTTTTTATGCCTCAGCGCCAAGGATCGACTTAATTCCTCGCTGGGGTGGTCTCAATCATTTCTTGTTGATCATGAAGGCAGGTGAATTTGCGGACAGAGGTAAATATGAGGACATATCAAAGGTAAAAGACTTCCTTGTCTCAAAAAGGCTCTAATTTCTATGTTTCAGGTCATCATTTTCGCATCGCACAACATATTATCCCCTGAGATTACACCCCAGGGTTATGCACTCTTGAAACTCATGCAAAGTTACCTTGAATTGGATATGTTCATGTCTCTTAAACTGCATACAGAGACGACAATTGCTCGAGGTAGGGAGGAATTGTTGATCTTCAACAACCTACTTCAGGTTTGTCAGTTTCAGAAACACAATTGGTGGCGCAATTTCCTTAATGGAGATTATTTTTGGCTAACAGGAGTATAAACCGTTCAATGTACTCAAAAACTGGAATGTTCCCAAGGGGCACACTCACCAGCATGCGTTCAATGACATTGAGAACAAGGGAGTCACCCAGAACTATAATACAAAGCTCGGCAAGAAGAAAAATGCGCCACTGAAGGTACAGTACAAGTTTCATACCAATTTCAAGGATGTTGCTCCACAAGTTAAGTCCGTTCACATTCATTGATAATTTGTTGATTTTCATACCTTTTCTGACAAAATCCAACAATTAGATACTCAAGGTCAATGAGGCTGACCTGATCGCAAACATGATCCGAGATGCCCTTGATCACCTTGATGACTTCACAGAGACACAACGGAATCTCAACGAGCCATCAGATGACCATGAAAAGAGCTCAAACAATCTATTGCATGTTTCTCTTGGCTCAGCTCTCCAACCATGTTCCCTCAGAGAAATTGAAGCCAAGCATGTGGACACCTCTGGCTTCGAGCAACTACACATCAAGATTGGGCAGCGCCTGACTCGCATTCTTGAGAAGAACATTAGGATTTCTAAGGAGGAAAGGGTATAGTGCCAAATTCCAAATATTCCTGTGCCAGTACTAATTATCACGCAATAGATACAAGTGTATCAGATGATGCGAGTACGATATGAAACGAAGACCAACTGGGAACAGCAGGTCGATATTCTTCAGGTAAACCCCAGCTTCCACCATCGAGAACAACGGGATTTTGTGCTGGTCCAGGCTGACAAAGACTGGCACATCTTTACCCAGCTTCTTCTTATCTTCGGAATTGTTGTGGATGGTACAGAACACCATCTTGCCCTCATCCTCCCATACGATGAGCCCGTCACCCATCGATCTGCAGCCCTTCGCTCAAGAGACAAAGACCTTCGCTTTACGTGCGTACGGTCACGGCATGGGACAAACTCGGCAGTCATCTCTGTCAATTCTGTTGTACGTGGTGCACTTTTCATACAGGATTATGGGGGTTTCCCAGATGATTACCTTGTTTTTGAGGTTGTTGACGATGATATGTGGTGGAGAATGAAGTCCTTGACATTGATCACAAAGGCTCAGTTATAGATAACCTCCCAATATTTAAATGGACTCCTAGCCATTCAATCAACCACAAAAAAAGAATGGACTCGGATGCCCGGGAGAATAAAGGCATTAGTCTTTCCTGTCAGGAAATAATTAGCACTGATATCTTGACAGGGAATATCCATGTACCAGCTTCTAGCGGTGAGCAGAAGGTTGACAAACAATAAATCAATGTGCTCCACAATCAGGCGGTCAGGAGATGGGGGATTTCATGGTCTTTTATGTATTCCTGTGGTCCGTCTGCTGCGTTTGCGACATACATAAGACAGTGTCTGCGTCCACACTCTTGAATCGACATGTTCCAGTTGTATTACACCCTACGGGTCCCTGATTTCTTCTGTCATGCCACCCTCCTCATCTTCTCATCTATTTCCAACCTATACCACCTCCTCCCGATCGGTTGGCCGACAGTCAGGCAGCCGTAGTGGCTCCCCGTTGACAGAAGCTCCTGGAAACGAGGAACTGCTTCTCGAGGTAAGTGTCGCTACATTTCTGCTCTTCTAGAACTAATATCTGGTACATAAAACAGCAAATCCGTTCACTGCAGGCCAAGCTTGCTGATCTAAAGGGAAAATACTCAGCAGCTATGTCCGAACTCTCCGATTTCAAGCTAGCAGCGACTGCTAAGAAGGGCTGCCGCCAAAAAGGGACTCCCATCGACCTAGCCACCCATCTTACCTGTCTCGGTTGCTTCCACCATGCCTTCTTCTCCACGATCTTCAACCCCACCCAAGCTCTTGGCCACCCCCAGCCAGATTTTGCATACTTCGACCCAAAACGATATGAATCTACCGAATCGATCGAATTGGGACCAGCCACGGAGGTCTATGTTTGTGTACCCCAGGAATATTACCCATTGATCCTCTCGAGTGATGTTTTCGCTTGGCAGGTAAGTCGCCACTCTTTCCTTTCTGAGATTTTGTTGCTGATGGATGGGGTTATTGCAAGTATGGCAGTGGTGTTAGCTCTGGCTGCTCTTCTGCCATCCATTCTGTTCGAGCTGAAGGGCAGGCCCTCTTTCAAATTAGCTCAGTTTTCTTTCACACCCCGAAGAGTGGCAAGGATAGTACCACCACGGCTGAAGACGGCGAAGAGACTGATGCCTCTGCGAGTGATGCTGGAACCCCTGGCCATCGAGACTTCCACTTTCCACTTCTATAAGCCACGAGAATACATCACATACTGTATTTAAACAAGGTATCCTTATATATCAGGACTGTGGTTGAACAGTCCACCTACGGAGAGTGGCCTTGCCAGATGTGCCGGGGCTCGTGGCTGTGGGCAGGGCATGTCAACATATGCAAACAACACAGGAAACAGTGCCTGGACACTGTTTCTCGTCGTTTGGGGTGCTCCTGCCCCCGTTTTCGATGGGGAAAAGGCGCCAATGATGAGGAAACATATTTCCTCGTCGTTGTGCACCATTTCCCCCACTGTCAGGGGGCGGGAATGGGTGGATTGGGCCAGGTGCGTTTGGATGATGCAGCCTTTTTTTGGGCCCTGGTACTATTTTTAGATAATACTGTAATTACAATGACACATCCCTTGTAATGCTCTCGCCGTCATCTGTCACAACGTCCGGGAGCTCGGGATGTCTCATAGCACATGAAAAAACTACAAAAAAAATCATATTATAATTTTAAAAAATATATACATGGTACGGGTGGCTCTACCAGCCACCCACTGTGAAATAAAGAGATAATGAGCAGAAACAATGCACTGTGGTGCATCGTTTCTGCTCGGCCACCCTCTGCTCGTCATTGGGGGTTGTTCCTCTGCTCGGTGGGACACCCTCCGCCCCTCCTCTGCTCACCATTGGGGCCGTTCACTATGCTCATTGGGGGTCGTTTGGCCAGCCATGTAGGCTAGAATTATACATGAAACTAGGCTACTGGCAATTCTCGGTCATAAATCATAGCTGCCAGTAGGCAGCCAGGCCTTTTTCTATGTCCTGCTGTGCTGGGGCTCGGAACTGTCTGCCAAGGCTGTGGGGACACTAAACAATGACCAAACAATGCTCAGGCACATTGAATGGGGTGCTCGTCATCGTTGGGGGGTGGGACAGCGCGCGGGAAAGCTTCCAAATCGGGTATGATGCAGCAAATGGCCTCTCCGGGATGCCCGGCAATGTAACTGGCCTCTAGCTCGCTGTTGGGGACAGTGGGCAGCCCCGTTTTTTGGGAATATAATGTTGGGGCATATTCTTACCTATTTCAGGTGTTTGTGTGCCCCACAGAGGGCGGGACAGCGTGGATGGGTGATGGGGTGGACGGATGACATTCTATTTTTAGAACACAACATCCGGGGAGCTCGGACACACTTACTACACACAAAAAAAAAAACACAAAAATCATATTAAATTGAAATAAAATTATTACATGACATGGGTGGCTAGTAGAGCCACCCACTCGAGGTATATAGACAGAATGAGCAGAAATGGTGCACCATGAACGCCATTTCTGCTTGGGGGACCGCCTTGCATCGTTGTGGGTTGCACTCACCTTTGGCCATACTGGCCATGCTCACCCTCACCTTGTGCTGGTCTTGCTTGGGGTTGTGCGGTGGCGATCCTGCTCGTGCTCGTGCCATTGTCATCATCGTGGTCCTTGATGTACTGTCCCCATCGTTGTGCCGTCCTCATCCTCATCATGCTGCCATGCTGCCATCCTCCTCCTCATTGTCATCCTGCCATCCTCGTCCTCATCATCGTACTGTTGTCCTTGTCGTTGTGCTGCCGTCCTTGTCGTCGTTGTGCTGCCCTCATTCTCCACCCTCGTGCCCTCCCCAACATCGCACCATCCTCATCCTTGCGCCATCGTCACCCTTGTGCCGTGGTGGCCAGGCCGACATAAGCAGAAACGGCAGCAATATGCGCGCCGTCTCTGATCTGGGGACCTCCTGTGTGGCCTGCACCTCGTACATGGTTGTATTCACCGTCACCGCTGTGGAGTCCATGGCGCCATCGTCTTCGACTCTCTGCCACAGGGCCTTCTTGGCCCTCGTTGCACTTGTCTCGGCTACACAGCCATCGTGCTCGTTGTGGAAGGGGGGTGCCGACTTGGTTGTTGCGCATCCCCAAGCTGTCATGGTGGTCCGGTTTGCACTGTACGCCACTCGTGTACTCGCTGTTTTCCTCCCACTGTGTGATGCTTGGATGGAGGGCAGCCAGAAGGCATAAAGGGGGGTGAGGTGATGAGGGAAGGCATGAGGGAGAGCGCGAAATGGGCTCGAGATGAGACGGTGTGAGGCGAGGGAGGGTGAAACCCTCACATTGTCATTGTTGTCACGCTCGTCGTGTCAACATCGTGGTGGGATAAGCAGACCGGACGTTTGGATTGAGCCGTGCTGGTCAGCGAGGGCACTGTCTTGCTAGCCTTGCTGCCGTTGCTCTCGTGTCGCTGCCACTGTTTTGACTCCGCCCTCGCCCTGCTGATTTCACTGCTGTTGCCCTCACCCTTCCTCTCATCTTGGCACCGTCGTAAGCCAATGTGCTGAAGCCACCCTCCCGCCAATCCGCCAGATGTTTGATTATCATCGTCTTCTGCTCGTCCACATCCTTTGCCCCAAAATACTCCCTCAGCCAAGTTACACGGCATCGACGAAACACCGTGGCTCCGAGGATGGAGGTAGGATGCTAAGGGTGGGGTGAAGCATGGTGGGCGGGTGAGCGGGTGTGGGTGTGGGCGAGAACGAGGGCAAAGGTGAAGGCGAGAACAAAAAGGGGGCATAGACGAGCCGGTGAGTAAATGGCAGGGAGGACAGATGGAGGTGGGGGAGGACATGCCGGCCCACATCCCTATCGAGAGGGGAGGGGCGTATGGCGGTTTCGTCGTGTCGAGTTTCGCTGCGTTGTCATTGACACAGGGGGGCTCCTGCGAGGGGGGAAGCACTTCAGTAGGAGATCAAGTGCATAAAATACATTGATTTACCTTTATCTTTGTGTTTCGGGGTTGGCTGGTAAGGGGAAGGCGTCTAGAGGGTGGTCATCGTCGTCGTGGATAACGATCAACGACGTCGAACCGTTGTTGATCGTTATCCGGTAAACGCCACGCCTCCTCCAATTGGCTGGAGGAGTCAGTCCGGCACCCACTGTACCGAGATCACCACACCCGACTCATCGTATAGTGCCCATTCTACCTCGCTGATGCCACAAATCGAATATTATTGGTACTCACAATGTAGATATAACTTAAATAAACTGTTTTCTGGCCTGACATGTGGGATGGCCACTTTAAAACTCCTCGAAAGTGTGCATTAGTTCAATTTGAGTTACACTACACACTGCATCTGCTTGCAAGAGCGACAAGTTGGCATTCAAACTGTTCATAAAACAGATATACAAATTATAAGTACACTTATTACAAGTCTTACATTTTTATCCACAGTTCTTCATACATAGGATATGGTCCTGGGGTAGGTATTGTGGTAGACTATAGCTGATGTCACTACTCTAGGTTTCCCTTCGAAATATTTCCCTCGGATATGGATAGATAGGTATAATTATATACCAGGAAAGAATACCGACACTAAAATTAAGCAACTTTCATGATTTGTGCGATGCAATAGCGATTCCGTCGTGCATGAGCAGAACTGTGGTGGAACGGGCTGTGAGCTCCAACCAATCAGCTCACGGATGGCATCCGCCGGATAACCCATCAACGACGATGAGAGTCGTTGCTCGTCCTCGACCGCCACCTGTCCATCCCCCTTGCCATCCAATGCCTCAAATGACCCCCAGGGTTGGGGGAAAAAGTATTTTATATGTTCTATTCATGTATATATATGCTAATACAAGTTTTTATTCGACATTAGGCCCCCGAATGTCGACTCGAAGTCGATGTTCGCTTTCTGCTTGTCTCTCACCCCTCCCCTTCAATAGGGATGTGGGCAGGGCTCAAACGCACCCTTAACCACACCACACCAACTCACAACTGCCTGGCCACTCCCCATCCGCCCTGCTGTCACCCCATCGCCTATTGCCCTTGCCCTGCCCTGCCAATCACCCACCCCTCCCCTTCAACAGGGATGTAGGTCCGTCTTTGTCCACCTGCTGACACTTGCCAATGCCTCTCCTCACCCCTTCCCTCTCCTCTTCTTCCCTTTCCTCTCCTCTCCTCTCTTCCCCCCATTCGAGGAACCACGGCATCTCAGAGATGTCGTGCTATGTTGAGACGGGGTGGTATTTCTTCTCACGCCTCTCTTTCACATTCTCCCTCTGCTCAACCCATGGCCCGGTGGCGACACAGTGACGAACTGACCAACGCCGCTGCAGGGATGTAAGCACGGTGACAAAGACGGGAGGAACGTGAGAAAAATGATGGCATGAATACAACAGTGAGCGCGAGACCAGCATACCAGAATGCAAGACGAACACGGCACAGTGGTGGCACCACGAACACCAGCAGAGGCAACATGAGCCAGGCGGGACGAACACAAGCACGAGCAGGTGGAGGACGACGAGCAGGTGGAGGAAGAAGCACAAGGGGGGTGGGCGGTTGGTGATGGCTAGATGGGGGCAAAAGAACACTGCAACAATGAGCACGATGGGACAAACATACCAGGAAAGCCAGACGAACATGGCTGCGAGACGACCACAGCAGCCATAGTGCGATGAATGCAGTGGTGGCGACCTGACCACAGCAGCGAGGGAAGAGGGCAGGTGGCTCGAACACGACCCGCAACATGAGCAGGGTGGGAAACAGAAGGGCGAGTGGGTGGTGGAGCAAGAACACGAGCACGAGCAGGCCAATACCATGGTGTCAGCCCACTCCTTGTTTCTCTATCCACCTGCTGCCCATCTCTTCCCTTGCCCTCTGCCTCAACCACCTCTCACCTCCCTCTCACCATCCAATGAGGCCCACGTTCGACTACAGAATGACCACGATGGTGACAGGATGGGACGGTGGCGACACGAGTATGAGCACAGCAGCCAGGCGATGACAAGGCCGAGTAGACACGATGGCAGCACGAACATGAGGCCAACATGGACACCACAGTGTCGACGACCGAACGACCACAATGACCAGGCGAGAACAATGACCGACGACAGCTGACAACGACGACCATGCGACAGTGTGAGGACGATCATGCCACGACAGCACAGGCGTGGTGACGTCGGGGATGGCACAAGGGTGGAGAACGACGAGGACAGAAAACGACGTGGACGGCATGAGGGCGGAAAGCAACACGGATGGCATGAGGGTGGAGAACAACAAGGACGGCACGACGAGGAGGACGAAAACAGCACTGGCACGAGCGAGGACAGCACGACAAGGAGGACGACAACGGCATGAGCCCGACCAGGATGGCCACCACACAATCCCAAGCAAATCCAGCACACGGTGAGGGCGAGCATGGCGCGAAGGCGAGGGTGACCCACCACGATGCGAGGGTGAGCAGGCCAGGTCCCCGAGCAGAAATGGCGCGTTCATGGCACGTTGTTTCTGCTCGTTTTGTCTATACCTCGCAGTGGGTGGCTAGTAGAGCCACCCACATCATGTAATAATTTTATTTCAATTTAATATGATTTTTGATGATTTTTTCCCGTGTGTCCGAGCTCTCCGGATGTCGTGTTCTAAATTTAGAACGACATCCAAACACCCGCTTGCCCATCCACCCCGTCCCACCCTCCGTGAGGCGCGTAAACACCTGAAATAGGTAAGAATATACCCCGACATTATATTCCCAAAATATGATGCTGCCCACTGTCCCCAACGATGAGCTAGACCCCAATTACATCGCCGGGCATCTCGGAGAGGCCATCTCCTGCGTCGTACCCGATTTGGAAGCTTTCCCGCGCCCTGTCCCGCCCCCAACAACAACAAGCACCCCATTCAATGTCCCCGAGCATTGTTTGGTCATTGTTTACTGCCCCCACAGCCTCGGCAGACAGTCCCGAGCCCCGGCAAACCCAGCAGCACATAGAAAAAGGCCTGGCTGCCTACTGGCAGCTATGATTTATGAATGAGAATTGCCAGTAGGCTATTATTGATATATAACTCTGGCTGTTACAAGTGGTTTGGCCCTCTGCTGTTCATTTCGAGCCGTTCCCCTCTTCCCCCCCCTCTGCCCGTTGGGGCATCCACTCCTCCTCCTCTCGTCGTTGGGGGCCGCCTGGCCCTCCTCTGCTCGTTAGGGGTTGTTCAGCCCTCTGTGGTTCGTTGGGGGCCACTCGCCCCTCTTCCCCCCTCCTCTGCCCGTTGGGGCATCCTCCGGCCCCCTCTGCTTGTCGTTGGGGTTCGTTCGACCCTCCGCTGCTCGTTGATGGGCGTTCGCCCCTCTTCCACCCTCCTCTGCAAAATGGCAACGGCAACAGCAAAACAGTGAAACAGCGAGAGCGAGAGCGAGAGGGCAAAGGCTAGAGGGTGAGGTGGGCGAGGTGGGCGAGAGGGCAAAAGGGTGAGGGGCAAAAGGGGCGAGAGGGGCAAAAGGGGCAAAAGGGCGAGGGACGAGAGGACAAGGTGGGCAAGGTGGGTGAAAGGGGCAAAAGGGGTGAGAGGGGCGAGAGGGGCAAAAGGGGCAAAAGGGTGAGGGATGAGAGGGCGAGGTGGGTGAGGTGGGCGAGAGGGGAGGTGGGCGAAAGGGCGAGACGGCAGGGCAGAGGACGAAATGAGGGCAAGGTCAGCGAGACGGTGGAGTCAACAAGAGGGTGGGGTTGATGAGAGGGCGGGGTTGATGAGAGGGTGAGGTTGGTAGGGCAAGAGGGTGAGGTGGTAAAGGGTGAGGTGGGTAGAGGGCGAGGTCGGCGAGAGGGCGAGGTGGGTAGAGATTGAGGTCGAGGGCAAGAGGGTGAAGAGGGCAAGGTGGGTGAGAGGGCAAGGTGGGTGAGAGGGCAAGGGCAAGGGCAAGGGCGAGAGGGTAAAGAGGGCAAGGTGGGTGAGAGGGTGGGGCAGAGGGCAAAAGGCAGGGCAGAGGGAAGGGCGAGGCAGAGGCAGAGGGGCGGACGAGGGCAGAGGGCGAGGGTGGGGGTGAAGGGTGCCCCTGCAGCCGTCGTCATCGCCCTGCCCTTGTCACCGTTGTCGTCCTGGCCCTGCTGTTGTCATTGTCGTGCTCCCGCTGCCACCGTCATCATCCTGGCCCTGCTGTCATCATCGTCAGCGCCCTGCCCCTGCTGTCATCAACGTCGTCGTGACCCCGCCCCCACTGCCGTCATCATTCTGTCCCCACCATTGCCATCCTCTGCCAGTCGAGAGGGTGATGGTAGGCGAGCGGAAGAGCGGGTGGTTGTGGGCAAGGAGGTGGCCACGGGCTGGGAGGTGCCTGAGCCCACATCCCTGTTGCAAGGGGAGGGGCTCAGTCGCTTTGTTGTGTCGTCATTGACATGAACGCGGTTCTGTGAGGGCAAAGGTAGGTTAGTAGGGATGTAAATACATAAGAAACATATATACTTACCTTTTTTTTGGGTTTCAGGGCGGCTTCGCAGTGAGGGGGTGAGGGAGGTGGTGGGGAAAGACAGCCATGTCTGCTAGAAATCTATATCAGACACTGTATTTTTACAAGGTATGCTTATATGTCAGGACTGTGGTTTTACAGTCCACCTACAGAGAGGGCCTTGCTGGGTGTGCTGGGGCTCGCGGCTGTGGGCAGGGCCTATCAACACAAGCAAACAATGCGGGAAACAATGCCTGAGCATTGTTCCTTGTTGTTTTTGGCATGCCTGCCACCGTTTTCGATGGGGAAAAAGCGCCAACAATGAGGAAATATATTTCCTCATTGTTGTGCACCATTTCCCCCATCGTCGGGGGGCGGGAATGGATGGATTGGGCCAGGTGGGTTTGGATGACGCAGCCCTTTTGGCGGGGCCTGTAGCTATTTTTAGATTACTCTGTAATTACTATGACAAACCCATTGTAATGGTCTCGCCGCCGTCTGCCACGACATCCGGCGAGCTCAGGGTACACCAGAAAAATAGTAAAAAAAATTGTTTTAAATTGAAATAAAATACATACATGATGTGGGTGGCTCTTACCAGCCACCAACTATGAGTTAAGACAAAAAGAAATAGAAACGACGCGTTGTGACACACCGTTTCCGCTCTGGTCCTCATCCCTGCCTTATTGCAGCAAAAAAATGCAAAAAAAAATTGTATTATATTGTAATAAAATAAATACATGCTGCAGGTGGCTAGTAGAGCCACCTGCTATGAAATAAAGATCAAATGAGCAGAAACGGCACATCATAGTGTGCCGTTTCTGCTCAGGGGGACAGGTGGTCCCCCTCCTCTCCCTCCTCTGTTCGGCGGGGTACCCTCGGCCCCTTCAGTGCTCGTTGGGGGCCCACTCTACCCCTCCGCCTCCTCCTCTGCTCGTTTTCCCCCTTTGTCACTCGTTTGCTGCCTTTGTCGCTCGTTTGCCCCTTTGTCGCCTGTTGGGCCCCTTCAGGTGCTTGTGGGGGCTCTTCGGGTGCTCATGCTCCCCCTCTTCGTGCTCTCCCTTCTGGTGGTGGGTGCTGAGCAGGAGGCAAAGGGCGCAGGTGAAGAGCGAGGGGGGGAAAAGGGTGAGGGGGGGCAAAGGGCGAGGGAGGAAGGCCGGGACGGGGGCAAACAAGGGAGGGAGAATCAGGGGCAAGGGCAAAGGCAAAGGCGAGAAGGCGGGTTGACGTCCGTTGACATCCTGTGCCTGCTGTCGCTGTCCTGTGCCCACCCCTGTTTGTACCCGCCGTCATCGTTCGTCACCGTCCTTGCTCATTGCCATCCCCGTTTGTCGCCGCCCTTGCTTGTCGCCGTTCTTGCTCATCGCTGTTGTCGTTCGTTGGCATCCCTGTTCGTTACCCGCCCCCATTCGTCGCCGTCCTTGCTCGTCGCCGTTGTCATTCTCGCTCATCGTTCGTTGGTGTCGCCGTTCGTCACCATCCTTTGTTCGTTACCCGCCACCTTTGGTCGTCGCGTGCTGCTGTTGTTCGCCCACCAGTCATTGTGGTTCTCCTCTCGTTGCTGCTGTTTGTGTGAGGAGGGGGCACCTCC